CTACTTCTGCTGTGAATCAGCATAAAGAAAATGTTCCTCTGTGTCTCTCTGTATATCCAACATACTTATTCTCGTGAACTCAGTCTTTTTTAAACTTCTGCATGTGCAAAACAAATGAGGCTTTCGGTTCTTTCTGCTACAGAGAAAAACTGTCCTCTACTCACCAGCATGGTGACAGTTAGCTGAGCCATGGTCCTGAGCATGCCCAGAGTTGTCTGAGATCTGCCTGTAGAAGAATATTGGATCTGGGGCTTGGACAAGCTTAGGATTCACCCAGCGCCTAGCAGCAGTGGATGGGGAGCTAGGATTCCCAACAGAAAGCCTGGCCCAGCACAGATTCCCCAGCCACAGTCACGTTGCTGGGATATCCAGACACTCGAGTCTCTGCCCAGACTTACCTGGACTCCTATTCCTTTTTTTTTTTTTTTTTAAGATCTATTAATTTTTATTGGAAAGGCAGATTTACAAAAGAAGGAGGGGCAGAGATCTTTTGAACACTGGTTCACTTCCCAAGTGGCCACAATGGCCAAAGCCAGGAGCCAGGAGCTTCTTCCAGGTCTCCCATGTGGTGCAGGGTCCCAAGTACCTAAGCTTTGAGTCCTATGCTGCTTTCCCGGGCCATAAGTATGGAGTTGAATGGGGAGTAGAGTTGCTAGGACACAAACCGATGCCCATATAGGATCCAGGACCATGCAAGACAAAGATTTAGCCAATAGGCTATCATGCTGGGCCCACATTATTCTTTTTACAGATTATCAGAGGGAAAAATAGAGACAGAGAGGGTTCTTCCATTTGTGATTAATTCTGCAAACTGTTGTAATAGGGCTTTTCCAAAGCCTGGAGCTTGGGGCTTTTTTTTATCAGTCTCCCATGTGGGTGCAGGGGTCTAAAGACTTAGACAATCTTCTGCTTTTTTTTTCCAGGTGCAATAGCATTGGTGGGAAGTGGAGCAACCAGGACTGAACCAGTATCCACAAGGACTTGTGGCAATGCATGTAGCAGCCTAGCTCACTAAGCCACAGCACTACCCCTATAAACCTTTATTCTTTTTATTAAGGACCAGTCTCCCCACACTAGCAAATTTCTGCTAATTTCCGATCTAACAAATATATTTTTTTAAAAGATTTATTTATTTATTGGATAGTCAGATATACAGAGAGGAGGAGAGACAGAGAGGAAGATCTTGCATCCAATGATTCACTCCCCAAGTGACTGCAACCGCCGATGTCATGCTGATCCAAAGCCAGGAGCCAAGAACTTCTTCCGGGTATCCCATGCGGGTGAAGGGTCCCAAGGCTTTGGGCCATCCTCGACTGCTTTCCCAGGCCACAAGCAGGGAGCTGGGTAGGAAGTGGGGCTGCTGGGATTAGAACCGGCATCCATATGGGATCCTGGTGTGTTCAAGGTGAGGACTTTAGCCGCTAGGCCATGCTGCCAGGCCCACAAATATGTTTTCAGTTCTAAATTTCGTAGAGCAGTTGCTGTGGATTGCTTTAGTTGCTGTTTCTCCAGGCAAAACATGTGTCAAGTTAAAAAAGTGCAGCCTTTGTACTCTGATCAGCCAAGAGTTAACATCTCAGAAATAAGCAGGATGGGATTAGCTCTTCTAACAAGCCTGGAAGACAAGAGGATTGGCACCTAGAGGACACTGGAGCTCAGAAAGGACCTGTGGAAAGTTTTCTGAAGGAAGCAAGAACAGTAAGTATAGAACTGTTCATACTTTATTATTCCCATTTCTTTTCCTGATGTGGTTTTTGGGAAGAGTGAGATGAATGTAAATCATTTTGTATGCACTACTTGACTCTTAGACATCCAGGTGCAGCATAACCAATTTATTGCTAATCCTGCCACTCAGCCCTCTCCCACATCCAACTACTCAACAAGTCTCACAATTCTGCTTTCTTGGTACCTTCACAATCTATCCCTGGTCTCTTCAATTCCCAGCTTAAGGCTTCTTCCCTAAGCTATGGAAGTATCCTCCCAACGCTTTCCTCTCTTCCTACCTCTCTGAGTAACATCGAATGAATCTTCCTGACGTGTTACCACAACTTTAACTCCTTTGCTCTGATTGTGGCCAGCACTGAGACAGAAGCTTAAGTCACTGTGACACTGGCACCCCATAGTAGATGTGTTTGAGTCTGGCTACTCCCCATCTGATCCAGCTTCATACTAATCAGCCTGGCAAAGCAAGGGAAGATGGCACAAGTGCGTGGGCCCCTATCACAAACACGGGAGACCCAGATGGAATTCCTGGCTCCTGGTTTCAGCCTAGCCCACAACTAACTGTTGTGACCATTTGAAGAGTGTACCAATAGATTGTTTTGTGTTGTTCCTTCTTTTCCTGTTACTCACCTTTCAAATAAAAATTTTTTACAAATGAATGATTGCAGTACCTACAGAATGTACAAAATTCATTTTTAGATTAATAGATTTTAATTACAAAAATATGCATATATTTACCATGCATACTATGTTTTGAATTATGTAAACATTGTGGAATGGTGAAGTTGAGCTAATATCATGGGCATTCCCTTACATATCATCTTTTTGTGTGTGGTGAAAACACAGTTTATTCTGTTGGCAATTTTCATGTGTCGAATACACTGCTACTTAACTATAGTGACCACAGTAAGTATCTTTAATTTATTCTTCCTGAGACCTTGTATAAGGGTTAGGGAGATGTTGATCCAAGGATGTAAAATTCCTGTGTCTTATTAACAAGGTTTTCCATTTCTTTCTTCTTTAGTTCCCACACCTCTGTTCCTCAAACCCTTTATGCCTTCCGGCCACTGTCTGGAGTCACCTTGCTCTCTGATTCTCCCTGACTGTCCCAGCTGTCCACTCTGCATGGAGCACTCTGCAGCTCTAGCTGCAATGCCTCTGTGACCGCAACCACACTTTCCCAGAAAAGCTTGACTAGATCATTCACACAGATCTGGCTTTTCTCTCTCTCTCTCTCTCTCTCTCTGTCTAATATTATTTTCACTGGAAAGGCAGATGTGTAGAGAGAAGCAGAGACTAAAGGATCTTCCATTCTCAACAGCTGAAGCTGAGCTGATCTGAAGTCAGGAGCCAGGAGGTTGTTCAAGCTCTCCCATGCAGGTACAGGGGCCCCAGGCTTTGGTCCATCCTCTACTGCTTTTCCAGGCCACAATCAGGGAGCTGGGTGGGAAGTGGAATTGGGATTCACTCCCATATAGAATGCTGGTGGCATTGCTGGCAGCAGCTTTATCACAACACTGACCCCCTAATGATTCAGTTTCTGAGAGCGAGGTCTTTGTTTTACTTGCACATAAAGGCAGCGCAGTAATACATGTCAAATTGCTTTCAACCCAAATGCCTGGAGTTCTATTATTATATTTCCAAGCATATTACAACCAGCCCAAGAGATGCAGAACCTATCCTTTTCTTCATAGTTTCTTGGTCAATTCTAGCAGCTCACTTGCTTTTATCTTCTCACAGAAGAGCAGCTGCTCCTGAGTGGCTACGCTGACTTTCTCAAAGGGTCTATTGTTTTGGCTCCCCCTAGATTTTGCATTCTGAGAATCCCAAGCACTGACTCCATTTCAGGGACTGGTTCTCTCTTGGGCCTATTTAAGTTTATTCATTGTATAGTGGGAAAGCTTCAATTGCCAATCCACATTAATTTTGAAATAATTAGAACCCCACATTCATATTTTGTCACCTGGGTTCACCTATCCCGTGAATTTCAAAGAAAGAAAATAATTTTGCAAAGTCATTTTCTTTGTTCTACTAAAATGCTGCCACTGACATTATTTCGAGTATGGGTTTTGTTTTGTTTTGTTTGTTTGTTTTTTGGTCAGAGACTGAGTCAGGAATCAAACCCAGGTACTCTGATAAGAGCATTTCGTTTTTAAGATTTATTTTATTTTATTTGAAAGATAGTTTACACAAAGAAGGAGAAACAGACAGAAGAAAGAGATCTTCCTTTTCCTGACTTACTCCCCATATGGCTACAATGTCCAGAGCTGAGCCAGTCTGAAGCTGGGAGCTTCTTTTGGCTGTATATGATGCTGATGCCATAGGCAGAGGTTTATCCTCCTATGCCATCAGTAGATGTTTGGATATATTCATTCTGGGAGAAGGATGTGACCAAGGTATAAAACAACTCTACAAATAGGATTTCCCAATTATTCTGGCCACAGAACAGAGAATCATTCCAAAATGCCTAAGTTTAGATAATAATTCTAACCATTGTCCAAGGCTGATTTAACTTTTCAAATTCAATTTCTAACTTCCTAAGAGAAAAAATCTTTCATCCAGCTTGGGTCGCTTGTCAGCCTTTGGTCCAAGCATCAACAACTGTGAGAAGTGAATCGTAGATTACTCTTATACAAACTGATTTATTGTATTCCATCCCTCTGGAGAGATGGGTTAGATTCCTGTTTCCCAGACAAAGGGAATGGTCATTGACTTTCAGGAACACAGCCACTCATCAAAAGTTGATCCAAGAATCAATTCTCTAGTCACAAACAAAAAGATTTTTATTTTGAATAAATAATGTCATTATTACTGAATCCTCCAGGCAGAGAGACAAAGACTGACAGTAATCTTTCATCTCTTATTTCATCACTCAAATCCCCACAGCAGTCAAGGATGGGGCAGGCCCAAGCCAGCAGCCTGGAGCTCGATCCAGTTCTCCAAAGCAGAGGCAAGTAGCCAAGCACAGGAGCTGTCATCCATTGCCCCCTAGGGTGTGCATTGGTAGAATGTTGCAGTGGAAATGGAGGAACTAAGATGCACATTCAGCCCTCAGATACAGGATGTAGGCATCCCAAGTGGCAACTTACCCACTGTACCTTCCTCTTGGACAGCACCACCACAACACTGTTACATGCTATATACCATCTTGGAATTGCTTAGAAATTCCTACTAAACCTTAAGTATGATCTCTAGAAGGATTCCTAAATTTGCATGTAGTTGGCCAAGCTTTTCTTTTTGTCTCCTTTGGGATCTCTTACAGCTTGAGAACTGGAGAGATGTCACACCTGATGGACCACACATCAGGGGACCTGCCAGTGAGAGACACGGACTTCACACCTCTGACATTACCAGCGTCAAAAGGTAATTCCAGTACTGGAAGATGGTTGTCTTTGAGAATCAAACAATGTTGATGTGCAGCAGTTTGCTAATCTTCATAATGATCTCTTTTTATCTCTTCAGTCTTGTCAACATTTTAATCTTAAATTCTTTTTTTTCTTTTTCATTTTTTTGTTTTTTCTCATGTGAAGTTCTTTAAAAAAAAAAAGATTTTTTTTTTAATTGCAAAGTCAGATATACAGAGAGCAGAAGAGACAGAGAGGAAGATCTTCTGTCCAATGACTCACTCCCCAAGTGACCACAATAGCCGGTGTTGTGCCGATCCGAAGACAGGAGTTGGGAACTTCCCACACAGGTGCAGGGTCCCAAAACTTTTGGCCATCATCAGCTGCTTTCCCAGGCCACAAGCATGGAGCTGGATGGGAAGCAGGGCCACTGGGATTAGAACCAGCATCCATATGGGATCTCAGCGCATTCAGGCGAGGACTTTAGCTGCTAGGCCTCCGTGCCAGACCCTAATCTTAAGTTCTTAAGATATCAATCCTATGATGCCACCACTTCTAAAGCCAAGAACTAATGTGTGAATTTCATTTGTCTGTCTGAGTGCTTCCTCCTCCATCCCCACTAAGCAGAGACAGGCAATTTAAGAAGGGGTTCAGCAACAACAAACCTCACCTACTCATATATTATGATGTTTCTGTAACATTGTTTTTACACTCCCATTCCTCAACCCTTATCACAGATACTGTTGATTCTATTTTCATTGGGTACCTCGTATAATTATGTTATTTGAAGCACAGGACACTTTGTGTACTGCCATGTGTGTACTGAGTGCAACCACTAAAACTACTTTATATGGTACAGCTGAGCATGCAGATCCACTTTTAGGTATAAAAGAAAAATACAGAAAGATTACATGTATATTTTTGAGACATATATCAAAATGTTCATAGCAGTGTTATTAAGGCAACAAATGGGATCAACTTAGATATCCATTCCATAAAAAATGAGTAAGCTGATACATATTTGTATAATGAAATATTAGTAAAAAAATGAAAACACAGTGTCTCAGTTACTTTTCACAATTTTGATGAATACCAAAAACAGTATCAAGCAAAATAAAACATTACGGATGAGTAAATACAGAAAGGTTCAAGATGAAAAACAAGGAGCAGGAAATGTGGCGTGATAGGTTGAACACGAGCATTTGATATGGGTGCTAGTTCAAGTCCTGTCTGCTCCACCTCCAGTCCAACTCTCTGCTAATGTCCTGGAAAAGCAGTGGAGGATAGCCCAAGTACTTAGACACCTACATCTTTTTGGGTGACCCAGAGGAAGTTCCTGGCTCCTGGCTTTGGGAAGTGGACCAGAAGATGGAAGACCTCTCTTCGTAAAAATATCTTTCAAACAAAACTAGAATTTTAAACAAAGATGAAAACCATGAGTTAAAGATAAAGAAAAAGGAGCCCAATATGGCAGCTTAGTGGCTAAAGGCCTTACCTTGAACGTGCCGGGATCCCATGTGGGCACTGGCTCTAATCCCAGCAGCCCTGCTTTCCATCCAGCTCCCTACTTGTGGCTTAGGAAAGCAGAGGACGACCCAAAGTCTTGGACCCCTGCACCCATGTGGGAGAACTTGAAAGAAACTCCTGGCTTCTGGCTTCGGATTAACTTGGTTGCGTCCATTGCTGCCACTTGGGAAGTGAATCAGCGGAAGGAAGATTTTCGTCTCTTGTCTCTCTCCTGCTCTCTGTTTATGTTACTTTCCAATAAAAATAAATAAATCCTTAAGACAAAGATAAAGAAAATGAAAGAGTTCACTCTATCTTGTTTAGCAGTAATAGAATATTTCAAAAATTTATGAAAAATTAACTTAAAAAATGTATTTTGTTGCAAAAAGTTGTTTAATTGAATTCAGTTTTTTAAATTTGATTTTTTTTTCAATTTTAAAGGGGCAATGATGAGGGAAAGAAAAATAGACAAATCTCTCACCCAGTTGTTCACTCCTCAGATGCATAGCAAAGGCTGAGTCAGGCAGGAGCTCTTGGTTCCTGGTTTCAGAATGGCTCAACTCTGGACATTGTAGCCATTTGGGGAGTGACCCAAATTGGATGAAAGATCTTTCTGTGTTTCTCCTTCCCTCTGTAAATCTGCCTTTCAGAAAAAAATAAATCTTGAAAAAAAAAACCCATCATCCCATGTCAAGAGTGCCTAGGGTTTATCTCCAACTTCTAGCTTTGTCCTCATGCTGATGCTGGGAAGTACTGATTATGGCCCAAGTCCTGGGTACCTGCTACCCAGCTAGGACATCTTGACTGAGTTTCAAGTTCTTGGTCTTGTCCCACCATTGTGAATGCTGGGGAGTAAGTCAGTGGATGGGCTATGTGTGCATGTTCTCTCTTTCTCTCCCAAATAAGTAAATAAATTTATTCTTTGTCATTATGCTTTCTTAGTATTAAAGTTTTTTATTTGTTTTCATTTGATTTGACAGACAGAGATACAGGGAGATAGAGAACTCATTTTCCATCTTCCCAAATGCCAACAAAGCAAGGAGAATTCAGCTCTCCCAAAAGCCTGAAACGAACCCAAGCACTTGGCCTATCACCTGCTGCCTCCCAGATGTGGGCATTGACAGGAAGCTAGATTGACAGCAGAGCCGTAGAGGTGCAAACCAGGCACTCTGGCAGTGGATGTGGGCATCCCAAGCAGGTTTCCCAACTGCTACGCCAGACAGCTACTGCTTCATCCTGGTTTTGCGTTGCATTTCCCTGAGGAATAATCATATTCACATCCTTTCATGTGCTTATTCAGCTTTTTTATTTATTTGAGAAAATACTATTCAGATGCTCTGCAGGTTTTGCAATGAGATCACTTTTCTTTATGTTATTGAAAACTTTGTAATGTATTTCATATACTATGTAGAGTGGAGATTTTGTGCTCTCAAAGCTTTTACTATTCCTTGAACAAAGTTCATGAAACACCAATTGGCTGAGGGAATTTTCCAAGTTGGGAGAGTCCTAGAATCAGTGACAGGAAAGCATGCACAGGAACTCCCTACATGCATGCCCAAACTGCTGATTTATTTACTTTTTAAAAAAGATTTCATTATTTTTATTGGAAAGTCAGATATACAGAGAGGAAGAGAGATAGAGAGGAAGATTTTCTGTCTGTTAATTCACTCCCCAAATGACTGCAGTGGTTGAAGTTGTTTCGATCCAAAGCCAGGAGCCAGGATCTCCCATGTGGGTGCAGGGTCCCAAGGCTTTAGGCTATCCTCAACTGCTTTTCCAGGCCACAAGCAGGGAGCTGAATGGGAAGTGGGGCTGATGGGTTTAGAACTGGCACCCATATGAGATCCCAGCATGTGCAAGGCAAGGACTTTAGCCACTAGGCTACCACACTGGGCCCGAAATTTATTTACTTTTAACAGAAAGTCAGATATACAGAGAGGAGGAGAGAACAGAGAGGAAGATTTTCAGTCTGTTGATTCACTGTCCAAGTAACTGCAACAACCAGAGCTAAGCCAATCCAAAGCCAGGGAGGCAGGAGTCTATTCCAGGTCTCCTATGCCGGTCTTGCAGGAATATATATATCGTATACTTGATTACTCAAAAATTTATCCTCGGGGCCTGTGAGCACATGAAAGATCTGTATTGAGTTCCATGTTCCTGGCTTCATCCTGACTCAGCTCTCTGGCTGTTGCAGGCATTAGGTGATGTGAATAGATCTCTCTGTCTCTTTCTTGTTTTCTGTCTCTCTGCCTTTCAAATAAATATAAATAAGTATGTTTTAAAAAATATTTATTTATTTTTATTGGAAAGGCATATTTACACAGAGAAGGAAGAGACACAGAAAAAGATCTTCTAACTGCTGGTTTACTTGCCAAGTGGCCACAACAGCTGGAGCTAACCCAATCCAAAGACAGGAACCAGGAATTTCTTCTGGTCTCTCACAAGGTACAGGGTCCCAAGGCTTTAGACTTTCCTCAACTGCTTTCCCAGGCCACAGGCAAGGAGCTGGATGGGAAGTGGAGCACCCCGGACAGGAACTGGTGACCATATGGGATCCAGTGCTGGTAGTCCAAGCATTAGCCTTTTTTTTAAAAAGATTTTATTTTTATTGGTAAGGAAGATATACAGAGAGGAGAAGAGACAGAGGGGAAGATCTTCTATCTGATGATTCACTCCATAAGTGACTGCATTAGCTGGAGCTGTGCCGATCTGGAGCCAGGAGCCAGGAGCTCTTCTGGGTCTCCCACACAGATGCAGGGTCCCTAGGCTTTGGGCTGTCCTTGACTGTCTTCCCAGGCCACAAGCAGGGGGTTGGTTGGGAAGCAGAGCCACCGGGACTAGAACCGGCACCCATATGGGGTCCCGGTGCGTGTAAGGTGAGGACTTTAACCACTAGGCTACCACACCCGGCACCCAAAGGAGTAGCCTTTTGAGCTACCTTGCTGTCTCCCCCAAAAATATACTTTCTATACTGGAAGTTGAGTAATATGTTGTACTACAATGACATGAGAAAGATCATTTTAGGTCCAGCAATAGGTGTTTCAGATACTTCCTGAATTTCCTTTTAAATTGTTGGCTTAAAACACTCATTTTCTATGGATGACATATGATAGATGCATGTACAAATGTTTTCCCATTATCCCTTCTTGGACTTTAGGTAAGAGTGCAAAGGCTCAACCATCCTTGAGCAAGCTGAGCCGGGAGGAATTGGAAGATGGTTTCCTACGACTTCGTGATGAGCACCTTTCAGTGAAGGAACTTTTTTGGAAGCAACAAGATGAAATGAAAAGGTATGTGATGTTTTCCTTAAAAATTTAAAAACTATGTCTACATCAGTCCTATTCCACATGCACACATGCACACACACACACACATACAGAGCAATACATTTACTGAGATGTCTATGCTGAAATACAACTCAATTATCAGAATGGTTTGTTCCAAAAATCATTTTGAAGCAATATTTCTTTTTTCCGTTTACCTGCCAAACCCATCAGTAGACTCTGCCCACAGCCTGCATAGCATCATCAAGATCCTGGTTGATGTTAATTCAACTCACAGAGCAAGAGAATGGGCAGAAGAGAGAGGATGAAGACACAAGAAAAGATTAGACTCTCAGAGGAGCAATAGCTGGGGCAAGGAAGATAGTCTTTTTATTATTAATTTTATTTATTTTTGATGGTAGTTGATTAGGGTCATTAGAATCAAGGGCTACAGGAAGGTGGGCGAGATCACCATTCCCACATGCTCTTTTTTTTCCTTCCTGTGTCTGGGGGCAGAAGGGGAGACAGCAGAGAAGCCACACCCAGCCTTCCAAATGCCTTTGCACATTGGGAAGCAGGACAGCCACCCGACACCACCGCAGGTTCCCCAATATGGAGCATGCTGTGGGGGTCCTGCTCAAGAGGTTTCAGTAGTTCAGTAGTTCTGAATTTCTGAATTACTGCCAATCTTACTACTCCAAGCATGACAAAATCGCTCCAGAATCCACTAGGTGACATAGTTTACCCTAGAGTCTCCATTTACTCAGATATTCACTGTGGTGACTATACCTTGCCTGGGGTAGTTGATCAAGTTGTTATGTCCTCTGTCATGGTACCAGGTGTCCTATGCAGGCTCTGCCATATCCTCCATGTGCACCTGGATGTGCTGTCTACTCCTCTGTCTGAGCAACTGAGGAAGCTCAGCTTTGACACATGCATTCCATGGTCAGACCATGGAACCTGCAATTCTGTTCATGGATGGGGTTTTGACTCCAGTGATTCAGTTTGGGGGTTTCCCGTAGAAACTTCCTCTGAGGTGATCTCAGACCTGATTCTTGGGTGTGCATGCCAATACAGGGTCTGGCACAGTCCATTGCCCAAATCAGTTTATGCCTATGCTGGTGGTTGCAATTGCTGGGTCAGTTCTGTGAGAAGGAGTCTTTATAAAGCAAAACTAAGATCTTGTCGATCTTATACCACATGCAGATGTGTTGTGATGGCATTAATTATTAAGTACTCTTACAGTTTAAAGACTATGAACTAATTTAAAAGAATGAAATAGGATTATGAAGAAAATGAACTACAAAGACATAACTTATACAAGATCACATCTGTTAAGTAGCAGAACTATAAGCTTTCAACTGCAGCCTCCCCAATCCCATCCACCACGCAATGATCGAGCCTTGCTCTTGTCAACCCTGCCTAAAGTTAAGGTTCGTTTAGACATTTAGGTAACCAAACAGAATTTTCTCTACTTTCTAGAAGCACCAAATCTGGTGCACCCCTGCATGTTCTCCAAAACCTAACCGAAGCCTCAAAACTGCAGTAGGGTTTTACCTACTTACTGCCTTTTGTTCCCCAACTGCTCATTTTCTCTAGCTGTAATGAGTTATGAACCCAAGTTGCTCAACCACAGGCATGTTGCTGGTAGTTTTTGGCTGGAAGGCACTGACACCAAAATGTGTCAAATGTATCTTCAAAATGTGTCTTAGAGATAAACTCTGGGTGGGTCTCAGGACAGGGCATCTCAAGCCTAGATCCCAGACGCCAGCCACCACATGCATGTGGTGAGCTGTTCCTGGGCCTGCCTGGGCTCCAGGGGCTGCTCCCTTTGGGGTGAGTACACCGACCACCAATGAGGAAGTCTCGAAGTCTCCTGTGACTGGGCAGAGCAGGCCTGGGGCGGGGCGGGAGTGGGAAGGTCCGGGGCACATCCTCCACTCTCATTGAGCTGTGGACAGGATTGGGGAGGGGCATGACCTTGGGCCTGGGGGTTTAAACTTCCTGCAGCCTCTCAGCTGTGGATGAGTCTTAGGACTGGGCGTCTCATGCCCAGATCCTAGGCGCCAGCCACTACATGCGAGTGGTGAGCTGGCTGCCCAGCCAGGGAGCTCTGGGGTTTTGGTTCTTTGAATCGCTGCTTAGGTAACTCCAGGTTGAACCCACTGTGCTTCTTTGATGTGAATCAATCCTAAAGATTCCCAATGACAGTAACTCTTCCTTTGAAGAACTTGTAATCACTTAACAATGCTGAGCACCAAACACCAGTTCATGCAAAAGCTAAGGCTTGAGGCTTGACTAGCAGGATCATATCTTATTACCTGACATGATGATGGATCAGCAGACGGATCACATTTGACAGGGCCATGGCATTAACTAGCACTCGAGAACCATATCCAGGGATAGATTCTGTGGGGGATGTGTAAGCCAAACCCTGTGGAAATTCCAGCCCCACTGGTTAGCTCAAGAGTTGGGGTAGTGATGGACTAAGCTAGGTGTGATCAATGAGCTTGCCATCAATCACAGGCAAAAGAACCCGCAACAGTCTGACTGGTCAAGCAGTAGCACCTGAATGTACATCCTAAACAGTGTGTGGGGTGAGTTGGGCTGCAAAGTCCACCAGCTCATACAAGGCCAAATGGAAGGTCAGACTGCGCTGGGCACTGGCCTAAAACCCAATGGCATGTATGAGAACTGGGTCTAGGAGTGGGTCAAGTGGAGGAACTTGGGAAAACTCCCCTGGCAAGTCATAGCTCCTGCTGGTGAACATGTGGTCCAGACCTGGGGGTCCGACAAGCTGGGCAAAGTAGCACCAATGGCTGGCTAATGTTTGAGTTGGTAATGGAATGGGGTAGATGGGGTAGGACAGAGCAATCCTTAGCCCACAAGCAAAATTAGAAATCAGGATGGAGCACAGGTCATGCCGAGCTAGGCTCTTGCACCTACTGGTCTGTGTGAGCCAGGGACTCTAAGCCACAGTGTGTAAGGCAGGGGTCAGGACAGGTGAGGGACTGTGCCAAACTGAGTCAGAGCAACCACTGGCATGCGTGCGATCTGTGACAGGCAACAGGCCTGGTTGGGGAATAAGGGGACACTCTAGCTGGGTTGAGGTTCCCGCCAAGGAGCACAGGGCTGGAATGGGGAAATGATCAGGAAATGATTGTAGTCTCACTTAGCACAGTGTTGACTGGGACTGGGCGCACTAAGCCGCGCTAGACTCCAACACCATCTTGTGTCTGGGGGACCAGGGTAGATGTAAGATGAACTAGGCTAGGTCTCAGCCCCTACTGAGCCGTGTGTGAGCCATATGTAGGCATGTACGAGCCATGGCTGGGCTGAAACATCCGACAGCAAGAACCAGTTTGGGTCGAAGGCCAGTCAGGAAAAGCCACTGTTCCTGCTAGGACAGGAGATGAACTGAGTAGGGCTGGCTCATGGACCCCTGGTATGCACGAAATTTGGCATTGGGAGAGGTTCTGATGGAGGAGCTTGGGCAAGTCTTCTGGCAGGACACAGACCCTGCAGGTAAGCACAAGAGGAATGAAAGGAAACAACCATAACAGGCCATGGAAAGTTTCCCACTGGCGTACATTTGGCAGGGGTTGGGGGCAGGCCAGGCTGAATCAGTTCACATCACCCACTGGTGAATCCGAGCACCAGAACAGAGTGTGAGTGGAGCCAGGTTCGGTCAAGACAAAAAAAAAAACAGTGCACATTATGGAATGCCAAGGTGATGTTACCTGTACCAGATGTGACTGCAGCGCCCAGCAGCACACATGAGAACCAGGGAGGGAGGGGGCGGAGCTGGCAGGGGAATATAGTGGTGCTCTCCTGCTGGACAGCTGCTGCCACTGGAGAGCATGGGCTGGGATGAGTGCAGACCAGACTAAGCAAGGCTACAACACCTGTGTGCCTCATTTGGACTTGAATAGGGAAAAGCCAGGCTGGGCTGATTGTTCCTACTGGTGCAAAAATAAATAAAGAAAAAAATAGAGTGGGTGAGGGTTGTTTGGGCTTAGCCGCAGAATCAGCTGGCAGAAGCCGGCAATGGGGGCTAATTCTGTCAAGTCATACCATAGAACCACTTGGTGAGAGTGCATAATCCAGGAGTGAGAGAGACCTGGGAGGGAAATAGTGGGATCCTCCCCCTTGGGTTACCACTTCCATGTGAGGGCACGAAAACCAGGATAGGGGCTGGGGTGGCTAGACAGAAAGGCACCCAACAACATCTGTGTGGGTTGGATAGTGGAGCTGGTTGAACAAGACTTCAATGCCCATTGACATGTATGAGAGCTAAATGGGATGTGGGACAGACTGGACTAGTCTGCTACACATACTGATTTGAGTGAGAGCCAAGTATGAAGTGGGTAGGATCGAGCTGGACTGCAACACCTATCAGTTTGCGTGGAAGACAGCACTGGAAACAGAACTGACCCAGCAATTATAACCACTAGCTGATTGGGGTGATGGACTGTGCTGGGCCCTGTACTTACTAGAACATTACAAGAATTTGGTCTGGGAACACCTCAGACAAAGTTTCTTTGGGGATCTCCCCAATCAAACTGCCGGACTCAGAATCCTAACCAACAAAAGACAGAATACAGAACAAGTCAACCAACTACTTCAGCTATATGTTAGCAGCAAAAAAACTGGGCAAACTGAGACTCTAAGATGGACTATGTCAATCAGTGGATTCTTCAATGACCTCATCATGCTTGGAATGGTGAGAATGGAAGCAATTCATAACTGTTGAACTGTCAAAACCACTTGAGCAAGACCCTCAGAGCATGCCCCATATCAGTGACCTGGGGTGGGTGGGAGACTGGGTGGGACTTCTCCCTTAATATCCCCCTTTACCTTAAATACATGAAAGAAACAATATGGAAATAATAGTCTTAGTCTTACCCATGTTCCTGTAGCCCTTGAACCTTTTTACCCCAATTAACTATGTAACGATTGTCAAAAATATAATAAAAAAATGAAAAAAAAAAAAAGAGCAAGGCTGAAACTATGATCAGCCAAGAAGTCACCGTCTGTCCTAGTCACTTGTTGAGACAGCTGCTTGGTGTTTTTCTGAGTGACAATCATTTTGTTTTTGTCTGTGCATGGAAAAAATTATGCTGTGGATTTTCTTGTCTCTTTTTCGTTGTTTATGAGAAACCTTGTCTAATATAAGCATACTGACCAGAGTGAACAAGTAATTATTCCATTTTCTACTTGTGCTTGTTGCCCTGTGAAACTATTACTTCGATGTTTAGTAAGGACAGCAATTCATTAGTTTTGTGAGGTGTGCAACAGCAGAGTAGCTTTCATAGGGTTGAGCACCAGGCCAGGTTCAAACATCACTGAGGCTTCTTTGTGTCAGATAAGCTCCTGAGACCAAGGACAGTTTTTTTCTTACTCCTTGAAATCCCCAGGGAGTGATTCATTTCCTTTTTTTAAAAAAATGATTTATTTATTTTTATTGGAAAGTGAAACATACAGAAAGGAGGAGAGACAGAGGGGAAGATCTTCCGTCTGATGATTCACTCCCCAAGCAACCGCAATGGCCAGAGCTGAGCTGATCTGAAGCCAGGATCCCAGAGCCTCCTCTGGATCTCCCATGTGGGTGCAGGGTCCCAAGGCTTTGGGCCGTCCTCATCTGTTTTCCCATGCCACAAGTAGGAAGCTAGATGGGAAGCAGGGTCTCTGGGATTAGAACCAGTGCCCATCTGAGATCCCAGCACATTCAAGGTGATGACATTAGCCAGTAGGCTGTTGTACTGAGTCCCTGTTTTTTGTTTTGTTTTTAAGCATAAATAATGGGACACAGGAGTGGATTCATCTCACCCATCCATTCACAGTTACTTGCTATGGAGTAAGCTGTAGAGATAGTAACATTGCTAGAAGGATAAGCCATGCAATCTATTTCTCCACAGGCTGAGAACCACCTTGCTCCGCCTGACTGCTACAGGCCGGAACCTCCGAGAGGTTTCCAGGCCTCAGCTTCGGGCACCCACAAAGCAGGAACAGAAAGCGAGGTGGCAGCGGCGTCCAGCAACACATCCACTCCAAGCACAGTTTCAGCGTGTGGTCTCCTCTGCTCCATGTCAAGTCCTGCCTCACACCCACAGAGGACACCGACAACTCCACACAGCTGGGGCCCACGTCCCGGAAAAACCTAGGCATGGTGAGGCACGGGGCCTGGCCCATGGGGCTGAACTCTGGGAGGGATCCCCTGGTCTGCCATGTGGTCCTTATTCTGCCCTTCACTCCCATTTTGTCCTTTTGGAATTATTCCTTCCTTTCTACCTCGCTAAATGGGCTGTCAAATTCTATACTTCCAATTCACCTAGAAGACTTGTTGCTGCAGAATCAGACACTTGAAAACCAAATTTTGCTGGTAGCTATGCAGTGGGTCTGGAAAACTGAGAAAATGTGGCTGAGAGGCCAAGAGTGAGAGAGTTATGTAGTAAGGGGTTGCTCCGCTTCATAACTGGGCAATGTGAACAGAGGGTCAGACTCCCACGAGCTGTCAAGTTATGGCTCTTAGCATTATGAGGGCAGTGGGCACTTTTGAAACCAGGATCTATGCTAAGGCTCTTCTTGCAGGAAAATGCACCTCAGCAGGCAATTTTCATGCGTTCAGAATTTCCCAACCTTAGCCCTGAAGTCTAAGCCTAGAGGTCAGGTTGTAAGTGATCCACATCAGTGCTGTTTTCTCCTCTTGTATTCCGAGTTGGCAGAGTACTAGGTCAGTCTTCCTCTTGCTGCAGTGAAAGCTCATGCTGTGTTGTTATGGGTAAAATGGCGCAAAGGAAGGTGGCCTGCGTTCTTGGCTCACATGAGAGACCATAGGAACCAAGCAGCGAGCAAAGCTGGACTGAAAGCTCTTGCTACAGAAGCCAGGAACAGGACTCCAAAAGAGGAAAAACCCAAGAAAGTGAGGAAGTGGTATTTTTAAAGTACACATAGCAGGTATGGGGGAGGAGGTGGATAAAACAGCAGAAAATAATCAGAGGTTAGAGGCAAAACACATCAAAGGGCTGGGATTGTAATTCCACCTTGCTTGCTCCTGATAAAACACAAAGCTGTCAGAAGGGTGTGATTGATAACTTCTTTCTATTCTAATGATATGTTCAAATGACTGTGTCTACATTTCTTAAGTCAATTAAAAATAAATACAATTTTTTTAAAAAGCATTAAGGGTCTGGTGCCATAACATAGTAGTAAAATCTTCACCTTTCATGTGCCAGCATCCCCTATGGGCACTGACTGGTATCCCAGTTGCTCCACCTCCCATCCAGTTCCCTGCTTGTGGCCTGGGAAAGCAATAGTAAAGCCTTAGAATCCTGTACCTGCATGGGAGACCTGGAAGAAGCGCCTGGCTCCTGGCTTTGGAATGATTCAGCTCTTGGAGATTGCAGCCACTTGGGGAGTGAACCAGCACATGAAAGATCTTTCCGTCTCTCCTTCTCTCTGTAATCTGACTTTCCAATAAAAATAAATCTTTAAAAAAATGCATTTAACACACAATCTCTGCCTGGAATGGGCCTGCATCTTGGTTCTTATTTATCCTCGTTCACTTGAGTATATATTATCCTGCTAACTGATAAAGTCTGTAGTTGCAGTTCTGTGCCGAGCTAAGAGAACTTTGTCATGAGTGGATTTCCGACAGGTCTCTAGGCTGCCTTCATCTAGCACTTTCAGACTGGTGTTCCAGTGGATACTGTTTTTTGAGTCACATTTCTTTATTTCTTAAAAAAAAAAAAAAAAAGACATACTTATTGGAAAGGCAGATCAGATTTACGGGAAGAAGGGGAGACTTACAAAAAAAAAAAAAAAGAAAGATCCTGCATCCTCTGGTTCAGTCCCCAAATCGCCACAACAGTTGGAGTTGAGGCAATCTGAAGGCAGAGCTTCTTTCATGTCTCCCATGTGGGTGCACAGTCACAAGGCTTTTGATTGTCCTGCATTGCTTTCCCAGATCATAAGCAGGGAGCTAGATGGGAAGTGGAGAAATAAGGATATGAACTGGCATGTCCAGGATACTGGTGCTTACAAGGTGGGAACTTAGCCATTGAGCCATCATGCTTGACCCTAGAGTTGATCCATTTTTTTCTTTCCTTTTTTTTTTCTTTTAAGATTTATTTATATTTTTATCAGAAAGGCAGATATATAGAGTGGAAGATCTTCTGTCCAATGGTTCACTCCCCAAGCAGCCGCAGCAGCTGGAGCTGAGCCAATCTGAAGCCAGGAGCTTCTTCTGGGTCTCCCATGTGGGTGCAGTGTCCCAAGGCTTTGAGCTGTCCTCGATTATTTTCCCAGGCTACAAGCAGGGAGCTGGTTGGAAAGTGGAGCAGTGGGACAATAACTGGGGCCCATATGGGATTCTGGCACATGCAAGGCGAGACTGCCTAGAATCACATTTCTAAAAAATATTTTATTTATTTTAAAATCACAGAGAAAGGTATTCTGTCTGTTCATCATTCCCCCAAATAACTCTGATGGATTGGGCTGAGCTAGCCAGAAGCCTGGAGTTTCAGCTAGGTCTCCTACATGAGTGCAAGTGCCCAAGTACTTGGACCATCTCACATTGCTTTACCAGGTGCATATTCAGTGAGCTGGATGTAAAATAGCACAAACCACCTGGTATTGAAGGTGATACCTTAACAGCCCAATCATATCTTCTGCCTAAATTTTCAGCACCAAGTGACAGGCTGAGCTACACAGCCCCTCCCATGTTCAAGGATCCTGCAACAAATGAAAAAACCAGAGGTGAAATCATTGGTGAACCCAGCGAACTGTGAGTTCTTTCCATTTTCCCTCTCTGTTATTCCTGCAGCTTTCAGTGAGCATGCATCAGGTGAATATAGGTGAGTTAGTCTTTCCAACATAATCAGAGAGAGTGAAATTCAAGCTGAGGTCAAATTCCAACTGTATTGCTTACAACTGGAAAACGTACCTCTGTTCTCCAAATAAGAGAAGACCCTTTCCTCAGGTGAAGATATTCCCTCCTTTTTCCTTTATACTTTCATCATTTAGATTGTAATTCATTTTTACTTTCATTTGAAATTTGGAAAATTGTTTTTTTTAAATATTTATTTTTATTGCAAAGTTGGATATATATATATATGTATGTATATATATATATACAGAGAGAGAGAGAGAAGAGACAGGGAGATTTCTTCCATCCAATGATTAACTCTCCAAGTGACCACAACAGCCGGACATGCCGATCCAAAGACAGGAGCCAGGAACTTCTTCCAGGTCTCCCACATGGGTGCAGGGTCCCAAGGCTTTGGAGCTGTCCCCAATTGCTTTCCCAGGCCACAAGCAGGGAGCTGGGTAGGAAGTGGAGCTGCTGGGATTAGAACTGGTGCCCATCTGGGATCCTGGTGCGTTCAAGGCGAGGACTTTAGGCGCTAGGCCATGACGCTGTGCCCTTGGAAGGTTATCTTGCACATGCAACAGGTTTATGACTCCTCTGACTTTTCTGTGTATATGTGGGAGTCCCTCCTAAGTCCCTCTTACAACCCTTTTTTTTTTTCATTTTTTAAATTATATTTTGACAATCTTTACTAAGTTAATTAGGGTACACAACCCTTTCTAATTCTCCTTTTTGGGAAGGGCCTCATAGGGTCCTTTCTTCCAGCTAATTACAATTTTGGCTAAAAATGCATTGGTTTTTATTTGCCTAACAGTGCCCACATTCTGGCTGATGACACTATGCAAGTAGAAGTGTCACCCACATTGTCTGAGAAAATGGGATCCATAGATGAACGTGTTGCACAGCGCAGCTCCTTGGAGAGTGCCCAGAAAGCCACAGAACTTCGGTGAGTATGTGGCATTCCAAGCCTCAACCAGCAACAACCGAAGGAGTAGGAGATCCTTATCTGTGCCTTGCTTCTATCTCATTTTCAATCAGAGAACTGGACCTGGAAGCCATGGGAGTTAGGAAATGGATTAAACCCAGAAGTTAATGCTGGCCACACTTCTTAGAAGGAAAATCATTTCAATGCCTTCATCCGCAGATAGGAGCGCTGAGGCCTTGCTGTGCATCAGTTTCTAGAGAACTAACTTACTTACCTTCTTTATTTTTCTTTCTTTTCTTTTCTTTTTTCTTTCTTTCATTCTTCCTTTCTTTTCTCTTTCTTTTGCAGTTTTAATTTCTTAGGAAAATTGAGAAGGAAACAGTTAACACACCGGAATTAGAACTGGCGCTGATATGTGACCCCGGGGCATTCAAGGCAAGGACTTTAGGTGCTAGGCCACGCCGCCAGGCCCTCCATGAATTTTTAAAAAGATTTATTTATTTTTATTGGAAAGTCAGACATACAGAGAGGAGGAGAGACAGAGAAGAAGATCTGCTGTCCGATGGTTCACTCCCCAAGCGGCCACAATGACTGGAGCTGAGCCAATCTGAAACCAGGAGCTTCTTCTGGGTCTCCCCATGTGGGTGCAGGGTCCCAAGACTTTGGGCCATCCTCAGCTGCTTTCCCAGGCCACAAGCAGGGAGCTGGATGGGCAGCAGGACCGCCAGGATTAGAACCAGCATCTATATGGGATCCCGGCACGTGCAAAGCAAGGATTTAACCACTACGCTATCATGCCGGGCCCCATGAATTTCTTTTTTAAGATTTATTTTTATTGGGCCTGGCGGCGTGGCCTAGAGGCTAAAGTTCTCGCCTTGAACGCACCAGGATCCCATATGGTTGCCGGTTCTAATCCCAGCAGCCCCACTTCCTGGTTGCTAATTTTAGACCTACCTGGACTTTGCAGAGGTATTAGGAAACCATGAGCATCACAGCAAAAAAAATAAATAATAAAAATTAAAAATTAATAGAAATTCTTTAGAATGCAGAGTTTAATTGTCGCCATCCAGCAGCGACACTAAGATGACTAGGAACTCTCTCGAGCGTCTGGAAAAACAAGAACCGCCACCGCAACTGAAACACACAAGGAACGAACACACAAACACATGGAGGAATGAACAAATGAACAAAAAGCCAAAAGCGGCTGCTTATAATACAGTTCTCCACCAATCACTTCTCCCCGTGGGTCCACTGGGCGCTACCTGATAGGCCCGTAGCAATGACATAATCGCAGCGGGGACATCAGCTTATCCCTGTAACTTCTTGTTTTCCTACTGAAGGGACCAACTCCGCCTCCTGGCCCTCGGCCAGCCACCATCTTGCGACCGCCCATCATACACGTAGGGTCAGCTCCTGGCACACCGCTCCCTATATTTAATGCTAGTGGTCTTTCAAAGCTCAGTTAGTGTGAGGGCAAAGTGCAGAGGGGAGATTGTTTAGCCAACGGTTCAGACACTGCCTGGGGTGCTGTGGGCTGTTGCGGAAGGCCAAAGACAAGAGCATGATGTCCTTCGTGGGGCACAGTCCAGGGACAGAGGGGCTTCACTCTGCATCCTCGGGGCTCTGAAGCACCATCTTCTTTCCGCAGAGCTTCCATTAAGGACAACGTGGAGCTGATTCGGCTTAAAAAGCTCTTACATGAAAGGAGTACCTTGCTGGCTGTAACCAAAGCACAGTTAAAAGATGTGCAAGGGGTGAGGCGCCATCATCAGCTGTGCATTCCTGAGGGAAGGGAGGAGAAACCCAGTAATCTCTCCTTCATTGTCCATGTGAGAGCATGACTGAAGAGTAGGTTCCTTGTCTCAATCACAAGGCTTAAAGGGGCTACTTTTAAAAAAAGATTTATTTTTATTGTTTTTATGTGAAAGATAGTCAGATATACAGAGAGGAGGAGAGACAGAGAGGAAAATCTTCCATCTATTGATTCACTCCCTAAGCAGCTGCAACCACTGGAAGCTGAGCTGATCCGAAGCCAGGAGTCCAGAGCTTCTTCCGGGTCTCCCACACAGGTGCAAGGTTCCAAAGCTCTGGGCTATCCTCCATTGCCTTCCCAAGCCCCAAGCAGGAAGCTGGATGGGAAGTGGAGCCGCTGTGATTAGAAACAGCACCTATATGGGATCCTGGTGCGTTGAAGGTGAGGCCTTCAGCCGCTAGGACTACGCTGGGCCAATAGGGGTTATTGTTTTCCCAGTATTTCTCTGTTAGAAAGAAAGGTCAAGCCTGGACTGCCCAGGTGGAATTAAGTGGCATTTCCTTGGAGTACAATTACGGACCACACATGACCTTGGAGTGTCATGACATTGGAAGCCAAGAGCCGGCAGAAGGGAGAGAGTCGTTTTTGCCAAACACTTTCTAGTTGTTCGACTATGCTCCAGGCACTTTGAGTCATAGTGTCATGGAAGTTGGTAGCAGAACTCAATGTAAATACGTTTGCTGCTTGAGGGAACTGGGTCTCAAAGATGGTAAGTAACTCACTCAGGTCATGCAAATAGTGAGGAGCAGAGCAGGATCAAGTCCCAACTGGAACCAGGGTCCTTAGCTCTTGATTGTACCCTGGACAGTAATGTCTGAATGGTGGAAAGCAGGCATTAAAGGTCTAATAAATAGGTCGGCATGATGTGTGCTTGAGCCAATATTGAGTCCTATGAACAGTGCAGAGTACTGGGCTAGATACATAGACAGTTCCTGCTCAGTGAGCAAAAGGAGCATGTAAACAAGCCCTTCCCAGTGTAGCACATGAGGGACACAAAAGAGCAGAGTCGAACCTAGCCAAGGGTAGCAGGTGACTACTGCATGGGTCCAAAAGAAGCGGGGGAAGATTCTAATAGGCAGTGACAGAGAACAACAGAAAAAGGGATTGCAGAGACTCGTGAAATAGAATGGTCTTATCACCAAAGGGAAAGGAGTGAGGGAAGAAGAGATGTGAAAGCTGACTCTTGTTTCTCAGGTGACTGCAATGAAGACGGTAATGCTGTTCGCAGTACTGTTATCAGTGTCCTCGATGTGTCTGTTTTGTATGGGCTAAAGCATCTCAATGAAATCAACTTCCCAACCCATGCTTTTCAGATTATTTTGCAAATGCTTCTAGTCTTTTTTTTAAAATTATTTTTATTGGAAAGGCAATAAAAATATACAGATATACAGAGAGAAGGAGAGACAAGGAAAAAGATCTTCCATCTTCTGATTCACCATCCAAACGGCCTCAATGGCCAGAGCTGAGCCGATCTTAAGCCAGGAGCCAGGAGCTTTTCTGGGTATCCCATGCAGGTGCAGGGTTCCAAGGGTATGGGCTGTGCTCAACTGCTTTCCCAGGCCACAAGCATGGAGCTGGATGGGAAATGGAGCAGCCAGGATGTAAATCGGTGCGCATATGGGATCCTGGCGCATGCAAGGCAATTTGTATCCTGGATGCTCTACTTCCCATTAGGCTCCCTGCTTGTGGCATGGGAAAGTAGTCAAGAATGGCCTGGGACCTTGTGACCCTGCACCTGCATGGGAGACCCAGAAGCTCCTGGCTCCTGGCTTTGGATCAGCTCAGCTCTGGGTGTTGTAGCCACTTAGGGAGTGAAGCATTGGAGGGAAATCTTTCTCTCTGTATCTCCTTTTCTTTGTTAATCTGACTTTCCAATAAAAATAATCTTAAAATGGGCCCGATGTGATAGCATCACGGTTAAAGTCCTCACTTTGAACGCACCAGGATCCCATATGGGCACCAGTTCTAATCCCGGCCAACCTGCTTCCCATCCAGCTCCCTGCCTGTGGCTTGGGAAAGCAGTCGAGGATGGTCCAAAGCTTTAGAACCCTGTACCCGCATGGGAGACCTGGAAGAAGCTCCTGGCTTCAGATTGGCTCAGCTCCAGCCGTTGGGACCGCCTGGGAAGTGAACCACCAGACAGAAGATTTTCTTCACTGTCTTCTCTGTATATCTGCCTTTACAATAAAAATAAATAAATCTTTAGAAAAATCTTAAAATTTTTTAAAAGTTTGTTTTTATTGTATCCTTTGCTTCATTCCCCCAAGTGGCTATAATGGCCAGAGCTGAGCTGATCTGAAACTATAAGCCGGGAACATCTTCTGGGTCTCCCACCTGGGTGCTGGGTCCCCCACATGGGTGCTTGGTCCAAGGCTTTGGGTCATCCTCTGCTGTTTTTCCAGGCCATGATCAAGGAGCTGGATGGGAAATGCAGCAGCCAGGTACAAAATGGTGCCCATATGGGATCTTGGCACATATAAGGCAAGGACTTAAGCCACATACAAGGCGAGGACTTAGGCTCCTGCACCAGGCCCAAGATGTTGTTTTAAGTTGTATTGGCAAATGGTTGTTTTTGCAGAACTGGATATTTTCTTTTAAATAAATTTTATTTTCTGTAGTGATAACATGGTTGATCAGGTTGGAAAGAATTGAGGATTAGGGAAAATTGGGTGTACTCATTGCTTCCAAATTTGCTATTTCCTTTTGTTGTTCCTGGTAAAGGGAAAAGACAAAGGGAAGGGAGTTGTGAGAAACCACTCAAAATTTTCCACATGTCCCAGTACCCAGGGATGAGGAACCGCATCTCATATCAACCCAGAGTCTCAATGTGCACATATTCGGAAGTTTTGTCCAAGTGGTTTGGATAGTTCTGAAATGCTGCCAGTTTCAGCAGTTTGAGGATGATGTTGCCGTCACAATGTCCATTAGCTCCATTTACTGAGATTTTTTTGCTGTCATTGTTTGTTTGGGGTAGTTGTCCAGTTAGTTCTCTTCTTCTGCTATAGCACCAACAGAACAGTTTTTAAAACTTCTTCCATTGCATTAAAGGAAAAAAAATTCTGAATTGAATTACCTTTGCTAGTTGAGTAAAAATGACTAAATTATGAATTCTTTACAAATGTAAAAAATGTAGGTGTGATAGGGCCCAGCGCTGTGGCCTAGCAGCTAAAGCTCTCGCTTTGCACACACCAGGATCCCATATGGGTGCCAGTTCTAATCCCGGTAGTCCCACTTCCCATCCAGCTCCCTGTTTATGGTCTGGGAAAACAGTGGAGGACAGCCCACATGGGAGACCTGGACCCTACACCCACATAGGAGACCTGGAAGAGGCTCCAGGCTCCTGGTTTCAGATCAGCTCAGCTCCAGTGTTTTCGGCCACTTGGGGAGTGAATCATGGGATGGAAGATCTTCCTCTGTTTTTCCTCCTCTCTGTATACCTTTCAAATAAAGAGAAAATGTAGGTGTAATAGTTTATCTTTCTTTCACTTTCCTAGTGATGCTTTTTCATGCATATAAAATATTTTTGAAAACCTGTTTATTTTTATTTGAAAGGCACAATTATATACAGAGAAGGACAGATAGATCTTGTACCATCTGCTGCACTCCTCAAATGTCGGCAACAGGCATAGCTGCGACAATGCAAAGCTATGAGCCAATAGCCTCCTTTGGCTCTCCCATGTGGATGAAGGGGCCAGAGGACATGAGCCATCTTTCACTGCTTTCCCAGAAACAGCAAGCTGAATCAGAAGTGGAATAGCCAAGATTTGAACAAGCACCCATATGGGATACTGGCACTGCAGGCAGAAGCTTAATCTACCATGTCATAATGCCAGTCCCTAAAATAATTTTACATTCTCGTTATCCCTTGTGGTACCATATAGAAGCCACTAGTGGCTACTTTACAGACTGCCAGCTTTGGTTGAAATTCTGCCTCTGTTACTTGGAGGTGTGTTTGTCTTAGCAAGTGACTTAGCTCTCAGAACTTTGGTCTTCTTACTTCTAAACTTGTGGTAATTGGGCCCTGCGTATTGGCTCAATGACTAAATCTCCCTTTGCAAACACTGGGATCATATATGGGTGCTGGTCTGTGTCTAGCTGTCCGATTTCCCATCTAGTTCCTTGCTTTTGGCCTTGAAAAGCAGCAAAGGAGAATTTCCCAAATCTTAGGACCCTGCATCCACTACTGGGAGACCTGGAAGAAGTTCATAGCTACAGAAAGGCTCAGCTCTGGCCACTGTAGCATTTGGGGAGTGAACCAGCAGCTGGAAGGTCTTTCTGTCTCTCCTTCTCTCTGAAAATCTCGTCTGCCTTTCTAGTAATAGTAAATAAATCTTTGGTGAAAAAGATAAAGTTTAGGTAAAATACCTACTTCTCATATTGGTAAGAATTAGATGAGGGAATATAGGTGAAATAACGATCTGATGTGGTATATGTTGAAACAGTTGTAACACTTGGTAGCTTAATTCATAGTAGCTGGTACAATGATTTTTTTTTTTTTTGATTACTGGTTTTTTTCTGAAACTGAAAAGACGCCTTTCTAAAGCATACTGAGTAACAGAGCATTTAGGCACAGATTAAGTAGTTTTCTTGGTGTATCTGCAAAAGACAGACAATGAAAGTTTGAATAACTGATTCTTTTTCTTTTTTTGATTCTTCATTATTGTTAGTAAAATGATGCAACTGACTATATTCAGGGACTACCTTATAATCTAGGACTGGAGAGAAATAGCAGTTGTTACAAAATAAGGCTTGGCTTAGGAGATCTTTTAGCTGTCTTTTAAAACATTAAACATTTGTTGTGTTCTAAACATCATGAGCTTGTCAAAACAATAAGGTAATACTTCTTTCTTTCTTCCAGGCATACGAAACCTTGCTCCAAAAGGTACTTACTAACTAATACCTGGATTTTCTATTTCTTACTAATTTGATGTAATCAAACCCAAAAAACTCCTATTCATCTCCATGAAACATAAGACCAGAATTTAGCCAACTAAATCTAAGTTGTTATGTCATATTATTTTTATGAAGATAAATGATGTCCCTATTGTCAGAGGATGATCGTTGTGCTATTCTACAAATTGTGGAATAATGGCCTGATTGGTGCTTCTCAGCTTATTGCCAGAGTAAACTATTGCTCACAGCTTTCTAACAGTGTTCTTCAGCATGTGTGAGGTGGTGAGACCTGACAGCTGTTGCACATGTGCCCTGATGGCATGAAACCTTTGAGTGGGCTGCAGGTGAGGCTGGGTGAGAGCCCATGTGCAAGTTTCAGGGCTACAGCGAGGCTTCCCCAGGGGCCTCCTTCCGAAAAATAAACACAAGTTTTAGAGCTAGCATGCCATGTGCCTACATATAAAGCGAGGGGAAAAAAAGCATAAAAATAAAATAGCCTAGAAATTTTCAGGAAGCTTTGGAAACTGGGAATTACAACCCAGGGTTAATTTGAATGTTCTGGAATGTAAGGCTTTAATAAAAACCTTTCCAAACAGAGAAACTCCACCTCCAAAGTAACGCTAAGGTGAAGATCAAAGTCAACTTACAGTGTAAAGGCAACTTGCTCCTTATGGCATTCATTGTGACTTCCAGTAGAAAACACTAGGCAGGGCTGGTCAGTGGACACTACACCTGCCTGGTCATCGCACCATACCCAGAGTAACTTTCCTTTTGCATCAGAACCAGGGAGTCCTAGGTGCAGCCCATGATGCGCTCCTCACACAAGTGAATGAGCTCAGGGTAGAGCTGATGGAGGAAAGCAAGAAGGCAGCGAGCTTGAAGAGCCAACTGGAAGATGTGTCCATTCTGCAGATCACACTGAAGGAGGTAAATGGCATCAGGTGGAAGATGGCGATCAGTTATGCTTTGTTTCAGCTTGAGCGATGTTAAATGTGGATCTTAGCAGCAAAATAGGGGTTTCCTGCTTTCAAATGAGTCTCTAAGCAGTGAAATTATTTTCCTAGAGGGAAATTCCACCTTTAGAGGGAAAGCTAGAATTTATACTTATGTCTGTGATCCAAAGGTTTTGCTTTTGTACGAGGTTCTGTAGCAGTAGAAACTCATATGCCACCATAGCTTACTTTGAAGAAGTGCTATTCATTCCAGTGAACATTTCTAGCTCACGTGCAATTGATTCAAGACCTTGAATTGATAGGTTCCTTGTAAACTTGGGAAATGGGCCCGGTGAAGCTCTCACCCAAGGCCTGTCTTGCAAAAGAAAAAAGGAAATCTGTGTGAGGCGACAGGTTTTTGAATTATATGTCAAACATTCCACTATTATTCTTAGTTTCAGGAGAGAGTTGAAGATTTGGAAAATGAACGAAAACTGCTGAATGATGATTATGAGAAACTCTTAGAAAAGTGAGTACCAACTTTGGGTCTCAGAACACTGCTATAATAAGCAGGTTTTTTTTTTAATTTATTTTTTTTATTGTTAATCACATTGTATTATGTGATACAGTTTTGTAGGCACTGGGATTCCCCCTACCCCTCCCACAACCCTACCCCCATGGTGGATTCCTCCACCTTGCTGCGTATTCATGTAATAAGCAGTTTTAAAAAGTGCTTCATGTCTTGGAAATGGTGTGATGCAAGTACTGCTGTTCTAGTTCCCCAAAGAGTTTTCTGTGCAAAATCTTAATAAAGATGGAAGGGAGAACTTGGAATGTTTTTAACTGCAACCCTCAGAACCTTTAGTAACAGCACAACAAATTAAAAACAACTCATGCCACAGTATGTTGTCTTCATGTGTCTTGCAATGAACTTTTAGTAGTCAATCCTTAATATGAGAAAGGTCAAGGTTTTTTTGGTTTGTTTTTTTTTTTTTCTGTTGTTGGTGGTGGTGGTGGTTAAGTTTATTGGGAAAAGCGCATTTGGCCAAATGAAATGATTGTCAAGCCTATTGCAATAGTTATGGAGTTTATTATAAAGAAAAAGGCATGCGAAAGTGCACGTATCCTTTTATTAATTATTACCTAGATTTTAAATAGACAATCTGAAGTCTCGCCTTTATGTTGTCATTATTTTGTTTGATCAGCTTTTTAGCAAGGCGGATGACCAGGGCTGTGACATAGTAGAAAGGGTGGCTGCAGTGCCTTGTATCACCTGGACAGTAAACAGACCTGGAAAGGAATGGAGCTTTCAGTCCTAACAGTTATGCTGTTATCCCCAACGATTAAAATTACTTCAGAAAGTTTTAAAAAAGAAAATCTTCCAAATGCTAAGGATGGAAAAAGTCCAAATAGGCCTAAATTACTTGGTGTTAAGAAGTAAGTAGTTTTCCCTTTTCTAGTCTTCCGTTTTGGTGATGTTAATTTCTTTTTTGCATAATTCAATAAAAGGATTATGTATTTTTTTAAGATTTATTTATTTATTGGAAAGTCAGATATACAGAGAGGAGGAGAGACAGAGAGGAAGATCTTCTGTCCGATGATTCACTCCCCAAGTGAGCGCAACAGCCGATGCTATGCCGATCTGAAGCCAGGATCCAGGAACTTCTTCCAGGTCTCCCACAGGGGTGCAGGGTCCCAAAGCTTTGGTCCATCCTCGACTACTTTCCTAGGCTACAAGCAGGGAGCTGGATGGGAAGCAGAGCTGCCAGGATCAGAACCGGCGCCCATATGGGATCCTGGGTGTTCAAGACGAGGACTTAAGCCGCTAGGCCACACCGCCGGGCCCAGGATTGTGTATTTTTGACTAAGAGAGACATTAATATATCCTTCTAGAAGCTGCAACTAATGTGCTGAGCTTGTGCCTTGATTGTTTTTAACTGATTACTACAGATCAGCATGATGATTTGTTTCAAGTTGATAGGGAAAATACAGCTATCAAATCATTGGAGGTAAAAAAGGATGTCTTTCAGATTATTTTAATTCTTTAATAATTGAGAGTGAACTGTCATGTACTTTAACAATAAAGCAGTGACATTTTCACAACTTAAAAAAAAAGTGCTTCATGAATTTTAAGCCCAACACTTAACTTTAGCCACTAGGCTACAGCACCAGCCCCCTGGCTTGTGGTTTTAGCTTGGCCCTTACTGGGTATTGTAGATATATGTGGGGTGAATTAGAGGCACGCAGTCTTCTGCTTCTCCCACCTCTCAAATATGCAAATAAATAAAAAGTTTAAACAAGATAAATGATATGATTTAAAGAAAACACAATTGGCAAGATTTATTTTTTTAAAGATTTATTTTTTTTTATTGGAAAGGTGGATATACAGAGAGGAGAGACAGAGAGAAGATCTTCCGTCTGATGACTCACTCCCCAAGTGAGCGCAATGGCCGATACTATGCCGATCTGAAGCCAGGAGCCTCTTCCGGGTCTCCCACGCGTGGGTGCAGGGTCCCAAAGCTTTGGGCCGTCCTCGACTACTTTCCCAAGCCACATGCAGGGAGCTGAATGGGAAGTGGGGGCTGTCGGGATTAGAACCGGCACCCATATGGGATCCCGGGGTGTTCAAGATGAGGACTTAAGCCGCTATGCTATCGCGCCAGGCCCATGCAGGTTCTTTTTTATACCACAATTATTGAAATGATGGGGAAAAGCTGTAAGTGGAAATAATTCTTCATCAGTTTCATATCATTCAGGTAAAATGGCCAAGGACTTGACGATGTGTGCTTTATGCTCATAAATGCATCCATACTTACCACCACTACAGAGTGGAAAGTATAGTTTTGGAAAAGTTTAGTTCCTGCCTATAGAGTGGTAACTTATTTCATTCAAAGGAGAATGTTTTCCAAACTAATCACGTAATGAAGTAGATAGAGCAATGGATGAGAAGAGGGAAATCTTGCTCCTTGTCTAGACCAGTGGGCTTGAGAGTGTCTTGGTTCATGAGGACCCACCCGAAGAAAGCCAAGAAGATGACACTGGTAGTGCTTGCTCAGTGAGGTGATTGAAGCCTAAACAGACATGATAGTGAGCAACCCCTCAAAGAGGCCAGAAGTTCCAAAGCAGTTGGTGAATGACAGTTACAAACAAAACAAGGGCAGAACAAAAACATGTAGGGGAATGAGTGGGTAACGAGGCCCAGGAGATGCTGAAGTTGTGTAGTAAAGACGTCTTATCACACATCTTCGAGTGCCCATCTGACAACTTGGTTGCAATTTTCAGCATGTTGGACAGCAGTAGCCAACCTCACTGGAGCAACGAGCTCACAGAACAGCTGCAGCAGCAAGTCTCTCAGTTGCAGAATCAGCTGGATGCTGAGCTGGAGGAGAAGAGAAAAGTCTCACTGCAGCTGTCCCAAGAGAAAGGTAGGTCAGGCCCTGAGGACTCTCACAGAGGTGGCTTCTTCGCATCCGGTTTTCAAAAAGGAAACTTGGGTCATCATCTATTCAACTTCAGTCCCTCACCCTGATCCCCAGCTTGAGCCTGTATTTCTTTTTCTACTTTTTAAAAAGGATTGATTTAGTTTATTTTTCTCTCTTTTAAAAAGATTTCATTTATTTTTATTGGAAGCACAGATATACAAAAAGGAGAAACAAAGAGGAATCCTCCATCCAATGATTCACTCCCCAGGCAGACGCAACAGCCGGAGCTAAGCCAAACTGAAGCCAGGGACTTGTTTCAAGTCTGCCATGCCAGGCATAGGGTCCCAAGGCTCCAGGCTGTGCTCAAATGCCCTCCCAGACCACAGACAGGGAACTGAATGGGAAGTGGGGCTGTCGGGATTAGATTTGGTGCCCATATGGGATCCTGGCATGCAAGGCAAGGACTTTAGCCACTAGGCTAACACACTGGCCTAGTGTTAATCTTCCCAAGAAAGATCTTGCATCCATTGGTTCACTCCCCAAGTAGCCACAACAGCCAAAGCTAAGCCAATCCAAAGCCAGGAACTTCATCTGGGTCTCCCATATGGATGCAGGGTCCAAGGCCGTAGGTAATCCTCCTCTGCTGATTTTCCAGGACACAAGCAGGGATGGGAAATGGAGCCATAGGAACACAAACCAGCACCCATATGCGATCGCGGCACTTGCAAAGTGGAGAATTAGCCAATCATATTATTGTATCAGGCTTGATCCTATTCTTCTGTGGGCCATTGATAACCAGAAGAAGAACCCTAGCAACTGGTTGACCCTCAGGAAAGCAAGATGTCTAACATACCACGTGTTTACCTTTCTTGGAGGACTGTCTTTCTATTAAGAAGGATACCATTGTTTTGTAGTGCTCAAAACACTTATTCCCTCTCTCTCTCTCTCCCTCTCACTCCCTTTCTCTTTCTCTCTCTGCCTCCCACCACCTCTGTCCCATTCCTGCCCTGCTGGAATAAACCTACTTAAACAAAGCAAAACAAACAAACAAACAACACTTATTTATTGAGAGTTGAGAGAAAGAACTCACATGTCCTGGTTTATTCTTCAAGTACCTAGGATGGTTAGGGCTGGGCCAGGTCAAAGCCAGGATCCAGAAGCTCATTCCTGGTCTCCCACATGGGTGGCAGGAAACGAATCACCTGAGGAAATCACTGTTGCCTTCTAGCATGCAGTTCCCAGGAAGCTCGACTCAGGAGCCAGTCAGGATTACCGATTCCAAATGCCCTATTGTGGCACGTGGACATGTGAGCTAGCATCTGAATTGCTAAGCTAGCCACCTGCTCTGAGATGGCACTTCTTAACTCATTTATGTGTGTATGTGTACATATATATGTGTATGTGTGTATTAAACTTTATATATAATTATGCTAAATTATATATATTTAATATCCACTGTATTGAAAGTAATGAAGTTAGATTTCTCTGTCATTTATCATTCTCAATTTTTAGACATGAATAGAAGCCATGTTTTTCTTAGTTCGCATATCTGATATTTATTTTTTAAAGGTTTATTTTTTAAAGATTTGTTTATTTTTGTTACAAAGTCAGATATATATAGAGAGGAGGAGGAGAGATAGAGAGGAAGATCATCCATCCAATGATTCACTCGCCAAGTAAGCACAATGGCCAGTGCTGCGCCGATCTGAAGCCAGGAGCCAGAAACTTCCTCTAGGTCTTCCACATGGGTGCAGGGTCCCAAAATTTGGGCTGTTCTTGACTGCTTTCCCAGGCCACAAGCAGGAAGCTGAATGGGAAGTGGAGCTGCCGGGATTAGAACCAGCGCCCTTATGGGATCCCAGAATGTTCTAGGTGAGAACTTTAGCCACTAGGCCACTGTGCCGGGCCCAAAGTTTTATTTTATTTTTATTGCAAAGTCAGATATACAGAGAGGAGGAGAGAAAGAGAGGAAGATCTTCTGTCCAATGACTCATTCCCCAAGTGACCTCAACAACCGGTACTGTGCCGATCTGAAGCCAGGAGCCACGGAATTTCCTCCAGGTCTCCCACGCAGGTGCAGGGTCCCAAGGCTTTGGGCTGTCCTGTACTGCTTTTTCAGGTCATAAGCAGGGAGCTGAATGGGAAGTAGGGGCCGCTGGGATTAGAACCAGTGCTCATATGGGGTCCTGGCACGTTCAAGGTGAGGACTTTAACTGCTAGGCTATCATGCCAGTCCCATTTATACCTAGTTTTTTCTTTTTCTTTTCTTTTTTTTTTTTTTGCACTTCATTTTATGACATCATTTCATAGGCTCTGAAGTTTCCCCCACCCCTCCCGATGCCCTCCCCCCATGGTGGAGTACTACTACTCCATGTTATTGCAGAATCACAGTTAAATCCAGTCTTGTTTCTTTCATTGCAAGCATGTATCATGCATAGAGTCCAGCATCTTATCGTCCAGATAAATTCAACATTTTCTTGGGGAGACCATCTCTGGTCTAAAGGCAGAGCTGGCAGAGTATCGTCCCAACCAATTAAAAGCCATAACATAACATTGATAAAGGTTTACAACATTATGGAGTTAATTGACATGGTATTGAGTGACTGATATATTAGGAAATGCAAGTTCTTAACCACATCCTGTGACTACTTCATTGACATTTAAATTTTAGTCCACCTTAAAAGGACTATAGTATACTATTCAACTGTCTCATGTCTATTTCCATTTTTGTACTTAGCAGTTTATTGTATTGAAGCTAATTTTTACTGAACTTGGCAGATTTTAGGCTTATATCTGGCTTGTAACTTTAACAAGGCATATGTCAACAGTTGAGGTGCAGAACAGTTTTAGGAGGGGTGTGCAGAGAAATCTTCAATTTCCCAGTGAAGAGTAACTTATTTTCGTGTCCTGCCTAGTAAGGTATATGTGAGTCCCCGCTGACTGTTTCTTCTTGGTTCTAAGCTTTCTTTGTTGTTCTCTGTCCTATCTATTCAAATTTTGTTTTTGTTGTTGTTGTTTTGTTTTTAGGCAGGAGGGGGGTGGCTCTGGGGCGACCCTTACTGTTCTGTTTCTGTGGACCACTCAGGGCTCCTGGCTGTTGTCATGATGACATTGGGTCCTGCGAGGAAGGATTTGGGCTTCTTCCATCTCATGTGGGAGATTCAAATGGGAATGGATGACCTCAGAATTCTCGGCCTCCGAAGGCACTCCAATTCCCCGTGTATACCTGTTTTTTCTCTAATGACACGTTCTTCTCATGCCAAGTCGCTGCTATTCAAAGGAATGTGTCAACACATGCCATTTAATTGCATAAATTTTTTGAAGTTACTAGAATTCAAATCCACTGTCAAAGCTATATTTAAAAGTATAATTTTAGGTCCTGGTGCAATAGCCTAGCAGCTAAAGTCCTCGCCTTCACATGCTGGGATCCCAAATGGGTGCTGGTTCATGAAGCTCCTAGTTCTGAACTGGCCTGGCTCTGGCCATTGTAGCCGCCCCTGTCTCTGTGACTCTGTCTTTCAAATAAATAAAATAAATCTTAAAAAAAGAAAAAGACTTTTGTGCAGGTGCAACATTGTGATGCAGTTAGGCTGTCAGTTGGGATGCCTACAACTCACATTGGGGTACCTGCGATGGAATCCCTACTGTGCCCTGATTGTCATCCTCGAAGGCAGCAGAGGGTGGCCCAAGTACTTGAGTTCCTGCCACTATTGGGAATTTGAATGGATATCCTGGCTTTGGCTCTTGGTTTGGCCTGGCATAGATCTTAACTGTTGAGGTCATTTGGGGGGATTAAGTGATAGATGGAATCTTTTGTTGTTCCTGCCTTTTTTCTTTTTCTTTTTTCTTTTTTTTTTTTTTTAAGATTTGTTTGTTTTGTGACCCAACACGGCAGCCTAGCAGCTAAAGTCCTCGCCTTGCAGGTGCTGGGATTCCTTATGGGCAGCGGTTCTAATCCCGGCAGCCCTGCTTCCCATCCAGCTCCCTGCTTGTGGTCTGGAAAGGCAGTTGAGGATGACCCAAAGCCTTGGGACCCTGCACCCACATGGGAGACCTGGAAAAAGATTCAGGCTTCTGGCCTCAGATCTGCTCAGCTCTGGCTGTTGTGGCCACTTGGCGAGTGAGCCAGTTGACAGATTACCTCTCTCTCTCTCCTCTCTGTATATCTGACTTTCCAATAAAAATAAATAAATCTTTAAAAAAAAAAAGGCGATTCAGAAAAAAGTTATTTGTTTTCCCAAACCACAAGCAGGGACCTGGATGGGAAGCACAGAAACTGGGACACAGACCAGTGCCCATGTGGGATCCTGGTACATGCAAGGCAAGGATTTAACCACTAGGCCCTCATGTCAGGCCATTCCTGCCTTTTAAATAAATACATCTTAAATATTTTTCAGTAATTCTCTTGGAGAAAGTTTTTGAAATAAATAAAATTTCGGAGGGAAATTTTAATTTACTCTTGATCTAACTATGCCTGTGATAACCACAGAATTTCAACTTTCTGGATTTTTTTTCTTCCAGCTCAAAATGAGGATCTGAAGCTTGAAGTCACCAACATGCTTCAGAAGCACAAACAGGAAGTGGAAATCCTTCAAAGGACGGCCGCACTTTCCCAAATTCCCAACAGGCTGTCTGAGCCCACTATTTATCCAGCTGTATTCCAAGAGATTGCTCAGACTGAGGCAAGTTACAGCCCCCTAAGCAAACAAGCCCATCTTCACAGGGCTCTTTGGCTAATATCCTTGGAAAAGATGACGAGATTGGAAAACTAATACTTTATCCTAGTTGGGGACAATATCTGAGAGAATGTGAGAGTAGAGAAACTTGCTGTGTTCCACACATTTCACAGTGCTTTGCAGGTCATAAATTTTGGAATTCTGAGGCGGGCATTTGGCCTCGTGTTTAAGCATCTGGTTAACATGACCACGTCCCACATCCCAAGTACCTGATTCAATCCATAGCTTCAGCTTCCGACTCCAGCTTCTCACTAATGCAGTTCCTGGGAAGCAAGAGTGAAGAGTTCATGGAAGACCTGGATTGAGTTTTCAGCTCCTGGCCCAACTCTGCCCAGCTCTGACCAATGTGGGCTTTTGGGGAAGAACCAGTAGATGGGAGCTTCCTGTCTGTCCACCTCCCACCCTATTTCTCTCTCTCTCTCAAACAAAAAGTAGCTGCTTTTTCAGATGAGGACTTGAAATGCTCTGTTGGAAAGCAAGCAACTGTCAGAGACTGTGTATCTCCCTTCACTGCAACCACTGAACATGAACACTAGGTCAGAAAACACTTAAGAAGTAATATAAATCTGCTTTGATTTTTTAATGATTTATTCACTTTTATTTGAAAAGCAGATTTACAGAGAGAAGGAGAGAGAGAGAAAAAGGTCTCTCATTCACCGGTTCACTCCTTAAATGGCTGCAGCAGGTGGAGTTTAGCTGTTCCAAAGCCCAGGATCCCCCTCTGGTCTCCTATGCAGGTGCAGAGTCCCAAGGCCATCCTCTGCTGCTTTCCCAGGTTACAAGCAGGGAGCTGAATGGGAAGTAGAGCAGCCAGGACATGAACCAGAATCCATTTGTGATGCCAGCACTTGCAGGCAGAGGTTTAGCCTTTTGAGCCATCATGCCAGCCCCATCTCTTTGAGGTTTTGAGATGTTCTACCTGCAACAATTGCTTTATGGAGAATAATTACTAGGGTATCATGCTTACTCCTTTTGCCAATGTTTTCTCTTCTATAGCACAGTGAGCACAAAGACCAAGAAGATAAGAAACTCTCCCAGTTGTTAAGTGAGTTGCAAATATCACATGCAGAGACCACATTGGAACTGGAGAAAACTAGAGACATGCTTATTCTGCAGCGCAAAATCAACGTGTGCTACCAGGTGCAAGGAAAGATGGTACAGGCAGGGGATGGACAACTGGGCACTTGGGAACCATTCTCAAGACTGGAGATAAAGCAAGACCTTTGTGATGAGGGCCAGTGCCAGATGACACGCTCTGCTAGGCAAACAGAAGGTGCTAACCCTGGGAGAACTTGAGGACTCACATATGTCCATGGCATCTTGGAAGCAGAAGCTGGTGCCAAGCTAATGACAGGGACAAGTGTGAACCTTTCAAGTTCAACTCCTGTCAGTTCAAGCAGCGTCACTAGTCTATGAAATTAATAGCTGAGCAAGTCCTGGTGGGATCTGGAAGAAATCCATGCATTTCTTTAGGGGAAGCAATCAGTCCCACCAGAAGATAGCAAGTGTTCTTAATCCAGAAAATGCCACTTTATTATTACGAATTTTTTAAATCTGGGGCTCTTTAGAACTGTGTCTCTGAGATAAAAAAATTCAGACATTATTTCGTTTCAGGAGGAACTGGAAGCAATGATGACAAAAGCTGATAATGAAACTAGAGACCGTGAAGAAAAACTGGAGAGGCTGAGTCAACTCCTAGACATCAAGAACAACCGCATCAAACAGCTGGAAGGTATTTTGAGAAGCCATGGCCTTCCAACATCTGGCAAGTCTTAGTACCTTGTTCTTACCTCGCAGCCCTTCACATAGCTAATGCCTGTTCCCTTTCTGTGTCCCTGGATAGTAGGTTGCTCTCGTGGCCTTTGCGTATGGCTTACCTCTCCTATTCTTGGTCTCATCATCTTCGTTTTAATGTAGAACTAGCTGCTTCTGTCTTCCCATTGTGTTTGTGTTTTGCTGATTTCTCTGCATAGTTTCACCAGGGCTCAACAGTTGCTTCTAGGGTGTTGATTTTGTTTTAAGAGTTGAACAATGTCATTGTTGGCCCTTGAGGTGGAATAGTATTCTCTCTCTCCCCTCCGTCTCTCACTCAACTGAAGCCAGCAAAGTTTTATCAATCATTCCTTATCATTCTTTTCTTTAGGACTCTTAGAAAAAATTTTCTAAAATCTTTGCTTCCATTTGACTTGTCAGCAATGATGGGCAGCTGTCACTTCATGCAAGTTTCATACTGTATTTCCTTTATTTGCAGCAGTCACTGCTGCCCAGGCTCTGATAGTGACTCTGCACGAGATCATTTGGTCTGGCCCTGCTGAAGTATTCTCAGGCCAGGATGCTCAATAAATCTGTAGCGGTCTAATTTTTAAGTCGATAATTTTGAATTGCTTATGAATTATATGATACATATCTAAATGGCCCTTGCAGATGAAAGATTTCCCACTTCTGTTGTATGTCAAGAAACTTGGCTTTGTTATTGTCCTTGGTGATACAAGATCTGACTCACTGACCCAATTCACCAGAGATGCATTTAAACCAGAGTATTTTTATTGAGCAGTAGTGATTATGCCATTGTTGCCATGTGAATATTAAAAAGCAGTGCTAAAGGGCAGCCCTGTCTCTAGTGGGAAGAATTAGTAAGCAGACTTCTGAGTGATCATGAAACTAGAATAAAGGGTGAGAAGTCTTTCTGCGTTATGGCTTGTCTATGAGTCTGACAGAAGGTCATTGCCATATAACAAAGGAAATCCTACCTTGGAACGAAGTTCTTAGACCCTTCAGTGCAAGATCTTTGTCCTGAGACAGTGCTGAATGGTTTTACCTTCTTCTGAAGATTCACTTGCTTTAATGTGTTGTTTTCTGATTACTGGTAAGACTAAAGAGCTTTTCATATGTTTGTCAGTTATTGATATTATTTCTTTTGAGAATTGCTTGTCTTGCTCTTTTGCTCATTTATGAATAGTATCTAATTTATTTGTCTAGCTTCTTTATATAAGATAGTAAGACTATTAACCATATGTCATATGATACAAAATTTTTAATATATTGTATTTACTTCTATTAATTTCATAAGTTAAGAAAGCATAGTCTTCTCTGTGTTCCTCTTTCTTTTGAATTTGAAGACACTCTGAAGTACCCAGAACATTTTATTCTGTTGCTTTTAACTCTCAAAATAGAACTTTCAGGGTGAGGGTATTATGGAACTACAGATTATTACACCGCTAGAGACACCCATATCCCATTTATGAGTACCTGGTTCACATTTTGGCTACTCCAATCCAGCTTCCTGCAAATGTGTACCTGGGGAGGCAGCAGATGATAGCTCGAGTGTTTGGGTCCATGCCTTCCGAGGGAGTCAGAGACCCGAGGTTTTAGGCTGACCTAACCCAAACTATTGAGGGCATTTGGGAAGTAGGCCAGCATATGGATGATCTCCCTTTGACCCCTCTCAAACTTTTTCTTTTACGATTTTTTGTGTTTAAAATAAACTAAACTTTTAAAAAAAGATTTATTTATTTTTATTGGAAAATCAGATATACATAGAGGAGGAGAGACAGAGAGGAAGGTCTTCCGTCTGATGATTCATTCCCCAGGTGAGCGCAACGACCAGTGCTGCGCCGATCCAGAGGCAGGAGCCAGGAACCTCCTCCAGGTCTCCCATGTGCGTGCAGGGTGCCAAGGCTTTGGGCCGTCCTCCACTGCTTTCCCAGGTCACAAGCAGGGAGCTGGGCAGGAAGTGGAGCTGCCGGGATTAGAACCGGTGCCCATCTGGGATCCTGGCACATTCATGGCGAGGACTTTAGCCACTAGGCCACACCACCGGGCCCTAAACTTTTTTTTTTTTTAAACAAAAAGCTGGACTTTCACTATTAGCACCCTGTGAAGACAGTTATTCCCAGTTTAAAGCACACCATGTATGTGAGTTTCTGATGGGCTGGACGGGCATTGATGCAGATGTAATCCATTATCTGCACATGTTTGCACTCTACTGTCAGTAGTTTCAATCTCTTTCCAGTAAGTCTTCTCTTCCACTTTTTACTCTATTGCTATTCGATATGAAGGGGACTTTTTGCCTTCTTTGGATGAAACCAAATTTTTAACAGCTGACAAAATAGCTCCTCAGACTAAAGAAGCCAGATTCTGAACACAATGAAAACTCTGGCAGTTCTTGGCAGGGCCCAGTAGGATGTAATCGACATTGGGTTTGTACCTCACTGTCTTTTCCATAGCCAGTTTACCAAGCTTTGGGAAAGAATCACATTTTTGTGTGTCTAGTTCCTTCTTGTAGAATTAGCAGCTAATTGGTAGGACCTTGCTGTAAGCCAAAATAAAATCTTCTAGCAGATGAAATATGCTACCCAAGGTTTTCCTGAGCTTCGTACTTTGTTTTCCATTGCTTGTTCTGTATCTTCTCTCTAAAGCAGGCTCTGGATTCTTTGGCCACCAGAATCCAGAGCTCCTAGTTGCCATTCTCTTGTCTTTGCTTTTGAATCCCATGGTCTGTTGATCTATTTATAAGTTGGGCATTTATGTTGTTCCCCTTCTTCTTTCCAGCCTTTTTTGAGGATTAACTCCCTACTCTTTAATGGATGGGCAGTTTTCTTTTCCCTCTAGAACAGCTCAAAGACATTGCCTATGGCACTCGAAATATGCCAATACGTCTCCCAACCCTGCCTGCCCCTGGAGAAGAAGAGGGAGCAGATGTTTCTCTGCTGAGTCACAGGGACAATCTTTTCGAGTTACACATCCACCAGGCTTTCCTGACATCTGCTGCCTTGGCTCGGGCTGGGGATGTCCGGCCTACCACTTTCTGCACCTATGCCTTCTATGATTTCGAAACTCATTGTACACCGCTCTCTGTGGGGCCGCAGCCCTACTATGACTTCACTTCCCAGTATGTGGTGGAGACAGATTCCCTTTTCTTACACTACCTTCAAGGGGCTTCAGCCCGACTTGAGCTACAGCAGGCTGTGGCCAGTGAACACCACACCCTTGCAGCTGGATGGATTCGCTTTAACAGAGTGCTAGAGACCGTGGAGAAAGTCCATGGTTCAGTCACACTTATTGGTAAGTGCTGTTGGCTTCCTCTAATTCCCCAGACCCTAGTGCAGCATTTTCCTAAGTGTTTTGTTGCTCATTATCTTCCCCTCTGCCTTTTTTCTTGATCCTTGCCATACCCTCTGTGTTCTCCATGCCATTCACACTTTCTGTGACCCAGGAGTCAGTGGAGAAGACTTTGGGTTGCTAGAATACTGGATGAGGCTGCACATCCCCACAGGACGCAGCCAACAGGCATGCACTAAACGAAAGAAAGCCCAGGTCTACCTGTCAGCCCCTGCACCTGGAGCCTGGGAGACCAAGGAGGACAAGGTGAGAACAGGATGTATCCATGCATCTCCAAGGAGCCTGCACCAAAGGGCTCATGAGAACAGCCCCATTTTTCACTGCCAGTAGGTATATAGATACAAGTTCCACATGAAACCATGCCCTTGCAACTGGTTGGCATTCCTTGCTGGGAGCACAGTAGCTTCTGTGTGCCATCTTTTCAGATAAGGCCTGAGTGTTGGTGTCTCCTTCAGATGACTGCCAGTGCCAGTCTGCAGGTCCTTGGGTGTGTCTGCAGCCCAGCCAATGTCGCCGTCCTCAAGGTCATAGCTCTTCTTCTCCAGAGGTGCTGGCCCTGTGTCACTGCACTGTTCTTGCTTTGCCCTCCTTCTCAATCTAAGATCCATTTCTTTCTAGTCCAGAGCCCAAACATGGAGCCCACAGAATGAGCTGCGGGTTGAAATCACCAGGTGCTGTGGCCTCCGGAGTCGCCAGCCGGGAGCTCAGCCCAGCCCGTACGTCATGTACCACTTCTTCACCTTTGCTGACCATGATACTGCCATCGTGCCAGCCAGTAACAGTCCCTACTTTAGAGACCAGGCCCGATTCTCAGTGGTTGTGACCTCTGACCTGGATCACTACCTGAGGCAGGAGGCCCTGTCACTATACGTCTTTGATGATGAAGACTCAGAGCCTGGCTCATATCTCGGCCGAGTTCTGGTGCCCTTGCTGCCTCTTGCGCAAAACCAATCTATTAAAGGTGGGAGCTTGCAGCTGGTACATCTTCATGCCTTTCCCCTTGATGTTCTCTGTGTCTTTGTGTACTTGCTTGGATCAGTCTCTCTTTTAAAGCAGCTGCAATGGTTTTAGGCTCTTGTCAAGAGTGGCACAGCTGGGCCTGGGGCAGTAGCCTAGCAGCTGAAGTCTTCACCTTACATGCACTGGGATCCCATATGGTTCACTTCTCATCCAGCTCCCTGCATGTGGCCTGGGAAAGCAGTCGAGGATGGCCCAAAGCCTTGGGACCCTGCACCTGCGTGGGAGACCCAGAAGAGGCTCCGAGCTCCTGACTTCGGATCAGCTTAGCTCCAGCTGTTGTGGACACTTGGGGAGTGAATCACTGGACGGGAGAGATTTCTCTCTGTCTCTCCTCCTCTCTGTATATCTTAATTTCCAGTAAAAATAAAAATAAATTTTAAAAAGTGGAAGAGCTGGAGACAGAGCCTCTTGGTCTTGTCTGGGGACACTGTTTGCTATGGCTCTTCAGCTACTAAAACAGGAGTCTCCATTGGTGAATGACTGCGCTGCCCCTATGTTCCACCCAATTCAATGCCTCTGTCTCTGAGCAAGCTTTTTAACATTCTGCAGTATTTCCCAGCATGGATTTTCACTTAAGGCTGCTTGCTTCTTCTTTTTCTTTAATAGGTGGGGTCAGCTTTTATTGCTTAAGGAGCAACCCTCCCATCTGAGCTGTGAGGAGACCTACTGTTTCTTAATGCATGACTAGGTAGCTGAAGATGACCTGTGACCTTAAATTACCCCCTACCCCGGCCCTGCCCTTTAGTTCTCTTAAACACAGGCTGCGAAGATGTCCGTGCAGACCAAGGAAAGGCAGTGAATTAGATTTACCTTTTCCCCATTGTAGAGCTGAGCTCCTCACTCTTAGCTGATTTGCATATTCCAGTTGTGGGGTGCACCTGCAGCAGTGAGCTCTGGCTACAGTCCCAGGGAAGGTGAAGCAGGAGTATCTGCATGCGCTTCCTAGAACGTGTGGACGAGCACAACAGGTGCCAGCCGTGGTTCACATGTTTCTGTGTGCTCCAGGAAGCATGTGAGGCTTCCATGCTCCTCATGCCATCACTGTTTTAAAAAAAGGGAAGAACAAGGAAAAAGGTAGGAAGAAAAGGTTCATACCCCCACTCCCATCTCAGCCGGGGAGGAGAGACAGCGGGAGCTGTCAACTGGTGTTACAAACCAGCAGCCTGACATTTGGAGAAAGACATCTTGCTGAAGCCTGCTTGGAGTCACTGGAGGGAGTGTAAATGATGGCTCTCTAGGTGTACGTAAGACGTAGTAAGAATTGAATCATAGTAATCACCATGCCATCCTGTTTGTTGGGTAGAAGACTGATGACAAGCAAGCTGTACTCCTCTCTGTGTGTCTTTTGTCTTTCTGAAACCTGTGTTCAGTTATTGCTATTCTTATGGCAGTGTTATTTGTGTTACTTCTGAGTGTGTGATTGTCATGATTATTTGGTGGATGTTCACTTAGTTACTAATGAAATATAATAAAATTGAAAATAGGGGAAAATAGAGCTGTACAATAAATGTTCACTTGCCTCTATCCTGTGGTCAGGTCTGATTAATTCATGTCTTTGTGCCTCCCAGGTGAGTTTATGCTCACTGACCCTACAGAGAAGCCTAATGGAACTATTCAAGTGCACTTGGATTGGAAGTCTGACTACATGCCTCCAGAGAGCAGTTTGCAACCAGAAGCCCTGGATGAGGAACATGATAACAAGGACAGGGTAGAGGTCTTGTTTGAAGAGGAAAATGCTTCCAGTCCTGCCCAGGTAGCTTCCCAGGACAAAATATATATATTTGTTTTGTGAATGTCAGGTGTTACACAGACTTAAATCTCCATTCCTCATAATGCCTGAGACATTGACTGTGCAACTAAAGCCCTGGTTTTTTTAGGGGTGGGGGAGGAGAGAGACGAAAAGCCTCTCAGCCCTGTGGCAGGAGGAGAATAAAGTCCAGTACGAGTTCACAAATCTTCTGTATAGCAAGGTGGCCTTGTAACACTGTCTTGGACCCTTCTGTCCAGAACCAGGTGGCATCTGCTGAGATTCCCATTGAAGCTGGCCAGTTTCAAGCAAAGAGAAAATTTCCTCAGGTGGGAGAAAGGAAGGAAAAAGAACACCAGGTTGCCAGTTACTCCAGAAGAAAACATGGCAAAAGACTAGGTGCCCAAGGAAAGAACAGAATGGAGTATCTTAGTCGTAACATCGTAAATGGAAATACACTGCAAGTAAGAAACCTTGAAGAGCTAGAATATGGGTTGTAGTGTCCTCAGGCATATTATTCTCTTTTATTTTCCTTTTCTTTTCCTTTCTTTTTCGTTTCTTTTCTCTTCTTTTCTTTTCTCTTCTTAGGCATGTTATTCTGAGGTAGAAGCAGACAAAGAAGACAGGCAGTGATCCTGGTCAATCGTAGCTAGCATGTGTCTCCAAAACAAGCAGATTAATAAGCCCCCAGAACTATTCATTTCCATGAATAGTTTAACTCGTCAGATTATGTCTGGTTAGCACAATTGGTAGTTAGTACTTCAGTGTCATATGTTTGTTTATATTTGATACTTACTGAAAAAGTACTACATTATAAAAAGTAAATAGAACTAATAGAAAGAAAGAAAAATAGAAAACCAAAATGTTACTAGTGATGCAGTATTGTTGTTCTTGTTCTAAAGCAGGTGAACTACACTGAGTTGAAGTTCTCAGGGCTTAAGATCACTGTAGATGAAGAAAGGCAGCACGTGGAAGAGGAAATGACGTTATCTCATACATCACCGAAGCAGGAGAAATCCCTTCATCCCGTAAATGGTACTATTTTGACATTGAATTTTTGTACATGATCATTATCTGACTTTATCAAGTCAGATTTTTACCATCCTTCATCCTGGAGTGCTAAACCTTTTTTGTTTTTTAAGATTAATTATTTTACTTGAAAGAATTAGACAGAAGAAGCAGAGAGAGATATCTTCCATCCTCTGGGTTACTTCCCAAATGGCTGCCATGGTCAGAATTGGGCCAGTCCAATGTTGGGATGGATAGGCACTTAGCTGGGAAGCAGGGATGTAGTGTGAATGTGGTGCCAGCCCAGGATGGCCAGGAATAGGCCCAAGAAAGGATTTGTTGCTCTGTGATCTGAGGCCTGGGAGGCAGCATCATCCTGAGCTATGTTTTAGCAGCATTTGGAAGAACTAATCTGACACCTGCCAGGCTCCCGATCTGGGGGTCCCAGGCACAAACTGCGCTTCAACCATGTTGAAGAGCTTTGTGGAGACAAAAGAGCTTCAAAAAGTTTCCTAAATGAATGAGAATCATGAACATGGGTAATTTTTTTTAAAGATTTGTTTACTTTATTATTTTTTGTAATTATTTTATTTTGATAATCTTTACATAGCTGATTAGGGCACAAAGGGTCAAGGGCTATAAGAAAATGGGTAAGATTATTGTTTCCACATTATTATTAATTTTTTTGTATCTGTGGTAAGAGGGGAAATAAAGGGAGAAACCTCCCATACAACTCAGGTCCCTGATGCTGAAGTGGTTTTGATAGTTCAACAGTCCTGAATTGCTGCCCATATCGCCATTCTAAGCACTATAAAATCTTTCCAGAATCTGCTGGCTGACGTAGTTCACCTTTAGAGTCTCTGTTTGCCCAAATTTTCACTCCCAACACTTGGCTGGGGTAGTTGCTCAATTTGCTGTGTCCTCGGTCTTCTGTTGTGATACCAGGTGTCCTCTGCAGACTCCAAGGTACTGCCATGTCTTCCATGTGCACCTGGATATGCTGTCCACTGCTCCGTCTGAGTTTCCAAGGATACTCAGCTTTTTAAAAATACTTTAAAAAAATATTTATTTATTTTGATTACAAAGTCAGATATATAGAGAGAGGAGGAGAGATAGAGAGGAAGATCCTCCGTCCAATGAATCACTCCCCAAGTGAGCACAATGGCTGGTGGTGTGCTGATCCGGAGCTAGGAGCCAGGAACTTCCTCCACGTCTTCCATATGGGTTCAGGGTCCCAAAGCATTGGGCCGTTCTCTACTGCTTTCCCAGGCCACAAGCAAGGTGAGGACTTTAGCCCCTAGGCCACGCCACCGGGCCCGGATGCTCAGCTTTGACACTTGCACTCAATGGTCAGACCATGGAACCTGCACTTCTCATCATAGTTTGGGGTCTGAGTCTGGCAGTTCAGTTGGGGAGATCCCCAAAGAAACTTTGTCTGAGGTGACCCTAGACCAGATTGTTGTGTGTGCTTGCCAATACAGGGTCTGGCACAATCTCTCATCCCAGTCAGCTTGTGCATATGTTGGTGATTGCAATTGCTGTGTCCGTTTTGCCTCCAGTTCTGGGTATTGTAGCTCAGCCTGATCCTGCCCAGCACACACTTGGCCCTTACACAAACCAATGGAAGCTGCAACCTAGTTGGAGTGACCTGCAATAACCCCCACCAGTCCTGCCCCCTGCCCTGGTTCCTGTGCTCGCCAGTATGTACAGCGGACTGTTTCAGTCTGTCCCACATCTCATTCAGCTCTCATACGTGTCAATGGGCATTGAAGCCTAGTTCAGCCCAACCAGGCCCACTATCCAGCACACACACCTGCTGGGTGGGTGCCGTTCTGTCCAGCCACGTCTGGCCCAATCCTGGCTTTCATGCTCTCTAGTGGGAGTAATAACCTGAGAGGGAGGTGCCCACTATTTCCCTCCTAGCCCACTCACACTCCCAGACCATGCACTTTCCAGGTGGTTCTGCAGTTTAACTTGACAGAATTAGCCCCCAGTGCTAGCATCTACCAGCTGATGCTGCAGCAAAGCCCAACCAACCCTTGCCCACTCTGATTTATACTTGCACCAGCAAGAAATGTCAGTCCAGCCTGGCTTTTCTCTGATCTAACTCACATGAGGCCCACTGGTATTGTAGCCCTGCCTGGTCTGGTCTGGCCCCATCCCAATTCACGCTTTCCAGTGGGAGTGGTGGTCCAGCAGGGGAGCCCTCCACATTCCTCCTTTCATGTGTGCTGGTTGGGCACTGCAGCGCAGTCCTGCAAAGCCCCCCTCACCTTGGCATTTGCCAGTGGGTGTTGTAGCATGACCCAGCCCGACCCACCCCCAATTGCAGCTGATGCTGGTGAGGGTTACAACCCAGCCGAGTTCAGCAGACACCCAATCCCAGCTGTAATGTGTACTGGTGTGTGTTGCGACTGAACCTGGCCCGACTTACGCTCTATTCTGGTGCTCGGATTCACCAGCGGGTGATGTGAATTGGTTCAGCCTGGTCCACCCCTGACCTATGCCAAATGTATGCCAGTGGGTACTTTTCCCTGGCCTAATCTGGGTTGCTCTCAATCATGGTTCTTGAGCTAATCTGCAAGGACTGTGTCCTGATAGAGGAGTTTCCCAAGCTCCTCCATCAGAACTTCTCCCAATGCTAGATCTTACGCATACGGGTGGGTTCATGAACCAGACCTACTCAGTCCACCTCCTATCCTAGCAGGAACACTGGCCTTTCCTGACTGGCCTTCAATCCATTCCAGTTCTTACTGTTGGATGTTTCAACCCAGCCAAGGCTCATCCATACTCAGCCATGGCTCACACATGGCTCAGTAGGGGTAGAGTCCTATCCTAGTCCATCTTACATCTACCCTGGTCCTCCAATGCACCAGATGGAGCTAGAGTCTAGCCCAGCTTAGTGCACCCAGTCCCAGTCATCACTGTTGCCGGGGGACACTAGACCCATATCCAGACCAGAACAGGCCCCTCTCCAGCCTCCACACTCACCAGTGGAAACCCCAGCCCATCCAGAGTTTCCTCTAAGCTCCCCAACCAGGCCTGTTCCCAGCCACCGATTGCGCGCATGCTATTGATTGCTCTAACCCGGCTAAGATTTGTTTATTTTATCTTATTTTCCCCCCCTTTGTCTTTTTTTTATTATTATTATTGGAAAGTCAGGCAGAGAGGAGGAGAGACACAGAAGAAGATCTTCTGTCTGATGATTCACTCCCAAGCGGACACAACGGCTGGAGCTGAGCCAATCCAAAACCAGGAGCCAGGAGCTTCTTCTGGGTCTCCCACGCAGGTGCAGGGTCCCAAAGCTTTGGGCCGTCCTCGACTGCTTTCCCAGGCCACAAGCAGGGAGCTGGATGGGAAGCAGGGCTGTTGGGATTAGAACCGGCACCCTTTTGGGATCCTGGGAGTGCAAGGCGAGGACCTTAACCACTATGCTATCGCGCCAGGCCCAGATTTGTTTATTTTCAATGGAAAGGAAAATTCACAGAGAAAAAGATTGTTCATTCACTGATTCATTCCCCAAATGACTGGAACATATGGAGCTGAGCCAGTCTGAAACCAGGAGCCAGAGCTTCTTCCAGGTCTTTCACATGGGTACAGGGTCCCAAGGCTTTGAGCCATCTCTATTGTTTTCCAAGGTTATAAGCAGGGAGTTGATGGGAAGTGGAGCAGCCAAGACAAGAAGCAGCACCCACGTGAGATACCTGCACTTCCAGGTGGAGGATTAGCCAGTTGAGCATTGCTAGCCCTGTGGATGTGTATTTTTTTTTTAAGATTGTTTATTTTTATTGGAAAGTCAGATATGCAGAGAGGAGGAGAGACAGAAGATCCTCTGTCCATTAATTCACTCCAGTGGCCGTAATGGCCTGAGCTGAGCCGATCTGAAGGTTGGAGCCTGGAGCCTCTTTTGGGTCTGCCAGGCAGCAGCTGCAGAGTCCCAAGGCTTTGGGCTATCTTCAACTGTTTTCCCAAACTACAGGCAGGGAGCTAGATGGGAAGCAGGGCTTGTGGGATTAGAACTGGTGCCCACTTGGGATTCTAGCACGTGTGAAGTGAGAACTTTAGCCTCTAGGCTACCACGTTGGGCCCCAGAAGATGCATATTTTAAGTTAAAACCGTTGTTTTGAAATCATCTCAAACTTATATAATAGCTACAGAAATAGGAAAAAAAAATTGCGAAACTCTCTACCCCAATTTAACAACTTTTAGCACATTGTCACTGTTTATCATTTTGTTCTGGAACATTTGAGAATATATGGCAAGCCTAATGTTTTGTTACTACAGTACATTTATATTTTCAATAAACTCTATTATGTAACCACAGTTCAGCATGTCAAATGTAACATGGATCTGTTATTGCCCACTGTCAAATACATTTTCAGAATTTGTTAGTTGCCCTAATAAACTCTATGATAGCAGGCTTTGTTTCCCTGCCTTATTCAGAATCATCCATTAGACAATAAAATCTGTTTAAAAGAAAAAGATATCTCATGCCACTCACTTGGGTGATTTGGAGAAAGTTCCTAGCTCCTGGCTTTGACCAAGTGAAGATCTCTCATCTGTAACTCCTTCAAGTAGATGAATACATCTAAAAAAAATGAGGGGAGGAAAAAAAAAATAAAGAAAGGAGTGCTTGATGCTGTACCCTGGTCGCTAAATCCTTGCCTTGCAAGTGCTGGGATCCCATGTGAGTGTTGGTCCCAGATATTCCACTTCGCATCCAGCTCCCTGCCTGTGGCCCCAGGAAGGCAGTAGAAGATGGCCCAAACCCTAAGAACCCTGAACCTGCATGGGAGACCTGGAAGAAGCTGTTGGTTCTTGGCTTTCGATCGGTGCAGCTCCAGCTATTGCAGCTACTTGGGGAGTGGATAAGTGGATGGAAGGTACGTCTGTCTCTCTGTCTCTCCTTTTCTCTGTAAAATTTAACTTCCTAATAAAAATCAATAAATATTTTTTTAAAAAGGAAACGAAAGGACAGTCCTTGGTTTATCAGTAAGGTGCATAATTGACTTGTCCAGAGCTGGTACTATAGCCAGAGCCAGTGCCAAGATATTCGGTGTGTACTGAAAGAAAATAAGTGGCTGTCAGTCCTAAGATCACTATAAAGTAAATATCTCCTTTTAAACTGGACACAGTGGAGAGTTTGCCTCTAAGCCAAACACTGAGGGTTTTGTTTTTTTTTTTTTTTTTGCGGAAGAAAAATTACTCCAAGAAAAAAAAAAAGATGCAGCAAGGAATTAAACACAAAGAATATGGATTTATTTAAATGACCGTATCAAGTGAAGTTATAAACCTGTGGAGTTTTCTGTATACTGAGCATGAAATAGGTAGCAGGGATGAGTGTTTGACACAGAAATTAAGCTGTCACTTGGGATGTCATATCCCAAATAGGACTACTTTGGGATAGAGTTACTCCTCCACTCTGCATTCCAACTTCCTGTCAATGCAGTTGATAACTCACTTGCACCTCTGTGGGAAAGTCATGCTTGACTTCATGACACGTGGTTTCCACGTGACCCAAAGCTAGCTGTTGCAGGCATTTGGGGGGTGAGCCAGCAATGGGAGGATGTACTTGTTTTCTGAGTCTGCTTTTAAAATTGGAAATAAATAAAATTTTATTTTGTTTATTTTTATTGGAAAGGCAGATTAACAGAGAGTAGGAGAGACAAAGAGAAAGATCTTCCTTCCACTGGGTCACTCTCCAAGTGGCCACAACAGGCGGAGCTGAGCCGATCCGAAGCCAGGAACTAGGAGCTTCTTCCAGGTCTCCCCCGTGGGTTCAGGGTCCTGAGGCTCTGGGCTGTCTTCTACTGCATTTCCAGGCTACAGGAAGTGAGCTGGATGGAAGTGGAGCAGGCAGGACACAAGGCAGTCCCCATATGAAATTCTGGTGCATTCAAGGCAAGGATTTAGCCGCTGATCCATTATACCAGGCCCTAAAATTTTATTTTAAAAAGTTCAATCACATTCTAAAAATAAATGCATGATGGATGATGGATAACATAATGAGGTGAATAATATGTGCCCTAAAGAATCTATGAATGGTATTTTATTTAGAAAGAGTTTTTTCAGGTACTACTATGTTAGAGACCAATCAATATGGACCTTAAATCAAATAACAGGGCCTAGCATAATGACTCAGCTAGCTAATCCTCCCGCTTCAAGCTCAGGTATCCCATATGGGCAGTTGGTGTCCCAGCTACTCCACTTCCCACCTAGCTCCCTGCTTGTGGCCTGGGAAAACAATGGAGGATGGCCCAAAGCCTTGGGACCCTGCACACTCATGGGTGCACTTCAGAAAGTGGAGAACTGTGATGGTGCTCTCTAAGATGCCAAGAGTAAACCACACATTGGAGGTGCCACAGCAGTGGCATTTCACTGCTGCTCCACTCCAGAAGATGCTAGGGGCTCCTGGCTGAAGGGAATCCTTGGTATCAGGTGTCACCATGGTCATAGTTGTAGAGGCATGGTATTCTACAGCAGCAGCCTTGTCTGTAGGAATGCATGTCTACCTTGTATGGCTGGTAAATACACACACACAACCAGTAAAAGGAACCCTTTGTTCGGTACCCTCTGCTGATAAAACTTAAAATGGTGCCAGCTGACAGAGGAGAAATATTTACAGGGCCCACAGTTGAGATACAATAATAGGACATTTGGCAATTGGCTAATGAAAAAAGAGCAAAGACGCAAGTGTGAGATCAAGGAAAGACTGCTTCCTAAAGATTGGAATGACTGGGCCCGGCATGGTAACCTAGTGGCTAAAGTCTTCACCTTGCACACACCCAGGATCCCAAATGGACGCTGGTTCTAATCCTGGTAGCCCTGCTTCCCATCCAGCTCCCTGCTTGTGGCCTGGGAAAGCAGTGGAGGACAGCCCAAAGTCTTGGCACCCTGCATCCATGTGGGAGACCTGGAAAGAAGCTCCTGGCTCCTGGCTTCAGATGGTTCCTGTTATTGTGGTCACTTGGGGAGTGAATCATCAGACAGAAGATCTTCTTCTCTGTTTCCCCCCCCCCCCCCGTGTATCTGACCATCCACTAAAAATAATTCTTTTTTTTTGTTTTTAATCCTTCTAATGCCTGTAGGCTTAGTAAGACTGCCTTAGTGCTTCCACAGACTCAGTAACATGCTGCAATGCTTGGCCGGAAGAATTGTCCGACCTGTTCAGTGTTCCATCCTCTGACAGGGCAGTTATGTTTTCTGTTGCCTAGACAAGCTGGCTGTCATGTCCTCTGGGTGCATCTGGGCATGCCAGAGAGAATGTCTTGGAGACATGTGTAATGCTCACCTCCCCTCTGGCAGATGGAGAGTCCGCTGATCAAGTTTCCGAAGCCAGTGAAGCACAAACAACAGACAGCGATGACATTGTGGTGCCACCCGAGTCTCAGAGATGTCCTAAGGCAGTAAGTACCCGGGAACACCGGAGCTAAGATTGTTTTTTGTGCTTATTGTTTAAAATTTTTTTTTGGCTTTTTTCTATTATTTTTTTCATTTTTCTCTTTTTGTCTTATGTTATTTTTGTGGACTGAGATTGTAAATAAGGACACTTGTGGGGTGTCTGCTATGGCAAGGTAGGCTAATCCTCATCTTACAGCTCCAGCATTCCATATGGATGCTGGTTTTAAAGATTGATTTATTTGTTTGAAAGACAGCAAGGAGATAGATGTTTCATCTAGTGGTTGGCTGCATCTGGGTTGGCCAGCTGTGTAAGGCAGGGGCCCAAGCACTTGATATATCATCTGCTGCATTCTGAGTTTCATTAGTAGGAAGCATTAGTAAAAAGCATAGCAGCTGGAGCTTGAACTGGCACTTCCATATAGGATGCTGGTGTGTGAGTAGTTTAATCTTTTGTACCATAATACCAACATATCAACACCGTTTATTATACCTTATGTCATAAATAATTAAGTCTCTTTTCTTCTGAACTTTTAACATGCCTTTTTGAGATATTTTTTAGCTAGTGTCTTTTTTTTTTAATAGATGAGGGTCACCTGGACAAGTCAGGACACTGTCCTCTTTTTCTCTTTTAAGATTTATTTATTTTTATTGCAAAGTAAGATATGCAGAGAGGAGGAGAGACGAAGAATATCATCCATCTGATGACTCACTCCCTAAATGGTTGCAATGGTTGGAACTGAGCCAATCTGAAGCCAAAGGCTGGGAGCCTCTTCCAGGTCTCCCATGTGGGTGCAGAGTCCCAGGGCTTTGGGCCGTCCTTGACTGCTTTCCCAGGCCACAAACAGGGAGTTAGTTGGATGGGAAGCAGGGCAGCCAAGATTAGAAACTGGTGCCCATGTAGGATCCTGGCACATTCAAAGCAAGGACTTTAGCCTCTTGGCTATTGCGCCGGTCCTCAGCTAGTATCTAGATCCCCGTACACTCTAGGCAAGGAATTTAGCCACTAGGTCATCGTGATGACAGGATAGAGACATGAAATGGCTACCAGTTGTCAGTTTCACATCGCTCAGTCTCATTAGAAGGAATGTAGCCTCCATGTGTACCTAGGTCAGATTTTAATCTGATTCTTTTTCCTAATTTACCTTGGTTATCAGAACATAATTAGGAATTTCTATTTGGCTCAACATTATCATCAAGCTTATAATTTTCAAAATTGGGAATCAGTGTTGAGCTCGTTAGTTAGGACGCTGGTTAGGATGCTCGCATCCAGTGTAGAGTGCCTGGGTTCAAGTCCCAGTTCTGCTTCCAGTTCCAGCTTGTGCAAGGCACACCCTCTGAGATGGCAGTGGTGGCTCAAGAAAGGCCCCCCTCCCCCATGAGAGGCAGTAGGTCACGGCTGGAGGAATTGGGCTCGTACTACCTCCCTGAGTCTCCTGAGTTCCAGGTTCCTGAATGTAGTGTCCACCAGCCCTGGCTGTTGTGGGCATTTAGGCAGCAAATTAGAGAGAGGATGTGATCACTCTCTTCTCCTTCCTCACTCCTTCCTCCCCCACATCTCCCTCCCTATCCTACCTCCTGTCTCTTTCTAATCAACATGTTCTTAAATATCTATTTATTTGAAAGGCAGAATTACTTACATGGAGAGATTTTCCATCTTGTGGTTCACTTCATGAAGGCTGCAATGCCTGGGTTGAGCCAGGCTGAAGCCTCATGCTTCTCTCCTGGGTTTCCTACATGGGTCTCTCCCATATGAACAGGGTGCTGGATTGGAAGAGGAGGAACCAGGACATAGCATCATAGGCAGTAATTTTACCTGATGTGTATTTACCACGAATACATATTTTGAATGAAATATGAAAAGTAAGCTATAAGAGTAAAGTGGGATTACTTTAGAATGGAGTCACTGGAATTTGAACTGGCCTTTATATGGGATGCCAGCCTCACAGGTGGCACCTTAGATCATCATGCTACAACACTAGACCAGATTCTTCTTTTAAAAATTTTTTGGTAATAATTATGTTTGTAAGTTGTTGCCAAACACATAAAAGAAGTTTCTTTTTTTTTCTTTTTTTTTAAGATTTATTTTGTTTTCATTACAAAGTCAGGTATACAGAGAGGAGGAGAGACGGAGAGGAAGAACTTTCATCTTATGGTTCACTCCTCAAGTGCCCACAATGGCTGGTGCTGCGCCAATCCAAAGCCAGGAGCCAGGAACCTCCTCCAGGTTTCCCACACGGGTGCAGGGTCCCAAGGCTTTGGACTGTTCTTGATGTTCTTGACTGATTTCCCAGGCCACAAGCAGGGAGCTGGATGGGAAGTGGAGCTGCCGGGATTAGAACCAGTACCCGTATGGGATCCTGGCACGTTCAAGGCAAGGACTTTAACTGCTAGACCACCACACCGGGCTCAGAAGTTTCTACATAATTCTCATTTGGCATTCACTATTCTGTCCTGTTTTGTCATATTATGTACTATCCTATTCCATTGTACTCTTTCATTAAAAAATAAATGCTAAGACCTGGCATGTTAGTCAAGTGGCTGAATCCTCCCTCACCTTGCACGTGCTAGGATCCCCATATGGGCGCTCAGTGTCCGGACTGTTCCACTTCCCATCCAGCTTCCTGCCTGTGGCCTGGGAAAGCAGCAGAGGATGGCCCAAAGCCTTGGGACCCTGCACCCATGTGGGAGACTCGGAAGAGGATCCTGGCTTTTGATTGACTCAGTTTGTATATTTTCTTGACTCATTCTCTGATTAGAGATGGCTGAGAAAGGCTAAACTGGAGAAGTGATACACTGGTTTGGGAGAGAGAACTTGTGGTTTGCTTTATAAACGTGTCCGGTGTATTAAAACTCTACTTATAAAATGCTCAATGATGCTTAAATTGATAATATCTTAACAATGCTAGATTAGCAGTGGCAATTCAGCAAAGCTGTGGGTTCCATGGTGGGTCTCAGGACGGGGTGTCTCATGCCTGGATCCCAGACGACAGCCACCATGTGCATGTGGTGAGCTGTCCACGGGCCTGCCGGGGCTCTGGGGGCTGCTCCCCGAATTCGGGGTAAGTACACCGAGGGGGGAGGTCTCCGTGACTGGGCAGGTCCAGGACCCACCCGCCGCCTTCATTGGGCGGTGAATGGGGGCATGCGACCTGGAATGGGGGCTGCATTCTGGTCAGGAAACGGTTGTAAACTCCCTTGGCACCAGTGTGGACTGCGATCAGATGCACCGCGCCGGGCCAGACCCCAACACCCTCTGGTGTCCTGGAGGACCGGGATAGATGTATGTGCGATGGACTAGGCAAGGTCTCAACCCCGTACTGAGCCATGCGTGAGCCATATGTGGGTATAGACGAGCCATGGCTGGGCTGAAACATCCAACAACAAGAACCAGCTTGGGTCGAAGGCCAGTCAGGAAAAGAAAGCCATTGTCCCTGCTATGACAGGAGGTGAACTGAGTAGGGCTGGCTCATGGACCCACTGGTAAGCGTGAAACCTGGCATTGGGAGAGGTTCTGATGGAGGAGCCTGGGCAACTCCTCTGGCAGGACACAGACCCAGCAGGTAAGCGCAAGAAACATGATAGGAAACAGCCCAGAACAGGCCATGGAAAGTTACCTACCGGCATACAATTGGCAGGGGTTGGGAGAAGATCAGGCTGAATCAGTTCATTTCATCCACTGGTAAACCCAAGCACCAGAACAGTGTGGGTCGAGCCAGGTTCGGTCACAACAAAGACCAGTGCAAAATACAGAATGCCAAGGTGAGGTTGCCTGTACTGGAAATGACCGCAGCGCCCAACCAGCAAGCGTGAGAACAAGGGGGCAGAGCCGGCAGGGGAATAAGGGAGGGTTCCTTTGCTGGACAGCTACTCCTGCTGGAGAGCGTGAGCTGGGGTGGGGGCAGACCAGACTAGGCAGGGCTACAACACCTGTGAGCCTCAGGTGGACTAGATCAGGGAAAAGCCGGGCTGGGCTGATTATTCCTCCTGGTGCAAAAAAAATTAGAGTGGGTGAGGGTTGTTTGGGCTTAGCCATAGCATCAGCTGCAAGAAGCTGGCACTAGGGGCTAGTTCTGTCAAATCAAACCACAGGACTAGCTGGAGAGTGGATAATCTGGGAGTGGGAGTGACCTGGGAGGGAAATAGTGGGCTCCTCCCTCTTTTTATTACATTGCGTTGTGTGACACAGTTTTGTAGGCACTGGGATTCCCCCCTCCCCTCCCGGGCTCCTCCCTCTTGGGTTACCACTTCCGTGGGAGGGCATAAAACTAGGACAGCCACTGGGGTGGAAAGGGATATGGGACAGACTAGATTACTGCTACACATACTGGCAAACCATGGTAGGGAGCGGGCCTGGTGGGGGTTATTGCGGGTTGCTCCAGCTAGGCTGAAGCTCCCACTGGTGTATGCGAGGGCCAAGTATGTGCTGGTCAGAACCAGGCTGGACTGCAACACCCATTGGTTCCAGTGGAAGTCGGGAGCAAAAACAGAATCAACCCAGTGATTGCAACCACCAGCTGATGGGGGCGATGGACGGTGCCAGGCCCTGTACTTGCTAGCACATACCAGAATCTGGTTTGAGAACACCTCAGACAAAGTTTCTTTGGAGATCTCCCCAATCAAAATGCTGGACTCAGAACCCTAACCAAGAAAAGACAGAAGACAGAACAGATCAACCAACCATCTCAGCTATATCTTGGCAGCGAAATACAGCGGAAGCAGAGAACCTGATGGACTATGTCAACCAGTGGATTCTTCAAAGACCTCATAGTGCTTGGAGTGTCAAGATTGGCAGTGATTCATAACTGTTGACATATCAAAACCACCTGAGCAAGAACCTCGGAGCATACAGTACATCCAGGACCTGGGGAGGGTGGAAAATTGGGTGGGCCTTCTCATTTAATACCCCCCTTTAAACATGAAGGAAACTATATGGAAAAAATAAGTCTTACCCACTTGCCTGTAGCCCTTGAACCTTTTTACCCTAATTAACTATGTAAAGATTGTTAATAAAAATTAAAAAAAAAAAGCCGTGGGTTCCAGTTTCACCTGTGGGAGTAATAGCAGTTGATTTCTAGTGTCACGTGGCACCATAATGGTGCGTGCCCTTGGAGTCTTGCTGACCTTAGGAAATGTTTTCCTTCCCAGGATTCCGAGAAGATGTGCATTGAAGTTGTTTCTCTGGCCTTCAACGCAGAGGCTGCTGTGATGTCTGACGAGAACGTGCAGCAGGTGTACGTGGAGTACAGATTCTATGACCTGCCCTTGTCAGAGACAGAGACTCCTGTGTCCCTGAGGAAGCCACGTGCTGGGGAAGAAATCCACTTCCACTTCAGCAAGGGTGAGACATCTTGTGTGGTTTGTGGTGCCAGGAGGCTCACACATGTCTGGATGGAGGGTCCAAATTTTTGTTCCTTAGTGAAGTATATGCGTGTGGTTTAAAGGCACCAAAGCACCAGGGGCAGTTGGCACCAGGGATGTCCTCCTTCGTATCACAGTGCTTGGGTGCAAGTCCTGTCTCCGCTCCAGTCCAGCATTCCTGGATTCTGTGGATGGACGCTCAAAGGGCCGAGGCATACCTGCCTACATGGGAGGTTTTTGGCTTCTGGCTGCAGCCTGGCCCTGCCCTCGCTGTGGCTGACCTTGGGCAAGTGAACATCAAATAAGATCTCTCCCTGTCTTTCTGCCTTTCAAATCCAATGGGAAAAACTTTCAGAGTGTCAGAGAAGCCTAGGAAGCTTATAATGACTCTGGCATCTTAAGCCATGTTCACCCACTGTGCCACAATGCTGACTCCTCTTGTGTTATTTTAACAGATCATTTTTTCCAGTAGCTTTTAAAGAAAGGGTACATAGGAGGGCCCAGTGTGGTGGTCTAGTGGCTAAAATCCTCATCTTGAATGCACTGGGATGCCATATGGTCACCGGTTCTAATCCCGGTGGCCCCACTTTCCATCCAGCTCCCTGCTTGTAGTCTGGGAAAGCAGTCCAGGATGGCCCAGAGCCTTGGGACCCTGCACACACGTGGGAGACCTAGAAGAGCTCCTGGCTCTTGGTTTTGGATCGGCACAGTACTGGCCATTGTGGTCACTTGGGGAGTGAATCATAGGACGGAAGGTCTTTCTCTCTGTCTCTCCTTCTCTCTATATATCTGAGTTTGCAATAAAAATAAAATGAATCTTTTAAAAAAATTAGAGTAAGAAAGAAAGGGTACACAAGAAGTAGATATTTTGAGTTAGGCATGTATGCAGTCTTTTTCCTCCTCTCATGCTGCTGACAGGGAAGGCAGGCAGAACAGTCTATGCATGCAGCAGCTGTCAGGTCTTGTCCCCCTCGGGGTGTTCATATCCATGCTGGGGTGCTGGCTGTAGATCCTAGCTACTCAGTTTTCAAACCAGCTTGCTGGTAATCCCAAATGTTAAAAAATTATTATTTTACCATTATATTACTTCAAATATTACATTATTATATTACTTGAACATGTTACAGTGAGAAAAAGATCTTCTATCTGCTCTTTTGGTCCACAAATGGCTGCAAAGGTCAGAGCTGGGCTGTTCTGAAGCCAGGAGCCATGGGCTTCCTGTGTGTCTCCCACATGGGCTCAGGGGCCCAAGGACTTGAACCATCTTTCATTGCTTTTCCAGGTTTAAGCAGGTAGCAGGACCAGAAGTGGAACAGTTGAGATTTGAACTCATGCCCCTATGGGATGCCACGCCATAAGTGAAGGATTAATTTGTGGGACCCTATTTTATTATTTGTTTTAAACACACATATATTTTTTACTTGAAAGTCAAAGTGACAGAGTGGAGATAATGGACTTTCCATCCTTGTGTTCACTCCCTAATGTCAACATCAGCCTCTGGTGACAGGCCAAAGCCAATTATCCGCCGTGGGTAGCAGGAACCAGGTACTTGGGCCTGCTCTCTTTCAGGGGCAGCAGTGTTGCTAGGTCAAGTCCTGGGTCTGCTCCAGACTTGAGCTTCTTGCGAATGTTCACCCTGGGAGGCAGCAGGCTTAGATATTTGAACCTCTGCTGACCATGTAGGAGCAGTGGACGCACAGCATCTACCGCCCACACCCAGTTGCTGCAGGCATTTGGGGAGTGAAACCAGCGCATGGGTGCCTCTGCACTCATCTTTTCTTCTCTCTTTTTTTTTTAAAACTATATTTGTAAAGGCAAATTTTATATTGGAGCCAATACAGTGGGTTTTCAGGCTAATTCTCTTCCTATACTGCCAGGATTCCATATGGTTGCTGGTTTGAGTCCCAGGTGCTCCACTTCAGATCTAGCTCTCTACTTATGATCTGGAAAGAGCAGCGGAGGATGGCTCACATCCTTCGGCCCCAATACCCACATGGGACATCCAAAAGAAGTTTTTGGCTCCCAGCTTCAGACCAGCCCAATTCTGGCTGTCTTGGCATTGTGGGTGTGAATCAGTGGATGAAAGACCTGTGTCGGGCCCGGCGCGGTGGCGCAAGTGGTTAAAGGTCCTCGCCTTGCACGCCCGGGATCCCATATGGGCGCCGGTTCTAATCCCGGCAGCCCCGCTTCCCTTCCAGCTCCCTGCTTGTGGCCTGGGAAAGCAGTCGAGGACAGCCCAAAGCTTTGGGACCCTGCACCCGCGTGGGAGACCCGGAAGAGGCTCCTGGCTTCGGATCGGCATAGTATCGGCCCGTTGCGCTCACTTGGGGAGTGAATCATCGGACGGAAGATCTTCCTCTCTGTCTCTCCTCTCTGTATATCCGCCTTTCCAATGAAAAAATAATAAAAATAAATCTTTAAAAAAAAAAAAAAAATGGTGCTTTCCTTGGGCACTGCCCTAACAAAGTTTTAAAAAAAAAAAAAAAAAAGAAAGACCTGTGTCCTCCCTCCCCCACCCTCAGGAACTCTGAATTTCATGTAAAATAATAATAATAATAATAATATGGGCTTGGTGCACTAGCCTAGTGGCTAAAGGACTCACCTCGCATGCAACAGGATTCCATAAGCATGCCAGTACATATCCTGGCTGCTTTAGTTGCCTTCCAGCTCCCTGCTTGTGACCTGGGAAAGCAGTTGAAGATGGCCCAAAGCCTTGGGACCCTGCACTTGCATGAGAGACCAGGAAGAAATTCCTGGCTCCTGGCTTTAGATCGGCTCAGCTCTGGGCATTGCAGTAACTTGGGAAGTTATCAAATGTTGGAAGACCTTCATCTGTATTTCTTTCTCTCTGTAAATCTGATTTTCCAATAAAAATAAATGAAATCTTAAAAATAAATAATGCTTTAAACCTGTTTTCAAGGACGTTAAAAGTATTTTTAAAGAATTTAAAAAATGAGAACAGAGGGAAAAAATCATTGTTGAGTTAGGCTCCTCCCTTTAAAGACCTATTTTTGTTGGAAAGGCAGATTTACAGAGAGAATGAGCTAAAGAGAGAGAAGGTCTTCCATGCATTGGTAACTCCCAGAGTGGCCGCAGTGTCTGGAGTTAAGGCAATCCAAAGCTAGGAGCTTCTTCTGGATCTCTCAAGCAGTGCAGGGTCCAGCACTTGCAGACACAAGATTGACCTGTGGGCCATTGCACAGGCTTCTGTTTTCTTTAGCTTGCAGCCCTCCTGTACAGTCATCTTTAAGAAAGTCTCTGAGGCTGGCACAACAGCTCAATTGGCTACTCCTCCACCTCTAAGCACACCATTCCTTATGGATGCTGGTTTGTATTGTTGCTGTTCCGCTTCCCTTCCAGCTCTCTGCTTGTGGCCTGGAAAGCAGTAGAAGATTGTCTTGGGACCCTGCACCCCTATGGGATACCCATTAGAAGCTTCTGGCTCTGGCTTTGGAGGGATCAGCTCAGGTCTAGCCATTGCTACCACTTGAGGAGTGAACCAGTGGATGGAAGACTTGTCTCTCTTTCTCTCTGTAATTCTACATTTCCAATAAAAAAATAATAAATGTGGAAAAAAAGGGGGTGGGTTGAGGGGGAAAGAAAAAAGAAAGTCTCTGAACCAGCAGCAACCCTGTGATTTCTTTTTTTCTCTTCCCCTACCCCAGTGATAGACCTGGACCCACTGGAGCAGCAAGGCCGAAGGCAGTTTCTGTTCACTATGCTGCACGGACGAGACCCCGAGGAAGGGCAGTAAGCATCTGCTTCCAACAGTGGGAGCTAGCAGGCATTGACAGCAGCTCAGACTTTGGTTTTGTGTTGAGGCCGAATATTTTAATTGTCTTTCTTAGACTTAATTTACTCTTACTGTTTATGATGACCCGAATGGTGGGACGATCTCATAGGCTTGCTTCACTTCCTACTGGGCTGGCCCTGTTTGGGTGACACTGTTTCTACGGCTGCAGCTTACTTGAATGGAGTTTGTGTGGAATGACTAGACTTCTTGGCCTTCTAAGATCATTGATTTCATTTGTCATGTAGGTAGTGCCATGGTAAATAACTGAACAAATATTATGCCTTTATGGCATTAATTTTACATTTGGAATTTTTACAGTTGTGTCTTTATAGGACTACTTTCTATCATCCTTTGGGCAGGGGTGTCGTGCAGTGGTGAACAGCCCACAGCCTGTGTGTGAATGCCTGGGTTTGAGGCCCTGATCCTCTGCTTTGGAGCCAGCTCGCTGCTGCGGTGCACCCTGAGGGTGCCCCTATACTTGGGTCCATGCCACCCACCAGGACTGAGTTCCAGGCTCCTGGCATTTGGCCTGGCCCAAGCCCGGGCTATTGTGGACATTCGAAGGGCTGAAGCAGCGAAACGGAGGATCTCTCTGCCTGCCTGTTTGTCCTTCAAATACAACGAAATACAGAAAGCTTTAAAAAAAAAAAAAAAGTGGTCAGTCTCAAAGTTTTCAGAGAGCCGACAGTCATTAGTATCCCTCAGGTCTGAGAACCCATCCTTTTACACTTTTCAGATAAAATGCGTGAGACATACTTACACTAAACAAGTTATTATGCTGCTGAAATGGAAATTTAGGTGTGTACATTGTTTTTGGGTTTGAAATCTGACAAGCTATTTCCTCTGTAAGTGTGTGGGTAAGAAACTATACAGGACTAGAGTTTTAAACTACTCTTTCTAAATGCCCATTGAATTTATTCTATATTGCTGCCAGTTATTCCTAGATGGGACTGAAAAGGGAACCAGCTGCAATGAACAGTGTGGGCTTAAACAGATTCAGGATTCTAGGAACTTTTAGGAATGAAAAGTAATTTTTTTCCCCTGCTGTGCTGATGTTAAATTTAGGTTTTTATTTTTCTGTTTCTTAAAAAAAAATGTTTATTTGAAAGAATGTTTTTTTGATTCCTCACATGTCCAGAAAAGCAAGGGCTGGGCCAGGCTGAAGCCAGGGGCCCTGAACTCAGTCTGGGTCTCCCAAATGTCTGGCAGGACCCTACTGCTTGAGCCATCAGCTGCTGCCTCTCTGGGTGCACATTAGCAGGAAGCTAGAATGCTTACAGTAGAGCAGACTGTAAGCATTGCAAGCAGCATTCTAACTGCTATGCTAAATGCCCACCTTTTTGTTTTGCTTTTCATCAGCAAAGAGTGTTCCTGAACACTCTTCATTTCCTTATGGTGGTAATCTTTTCCTACTTGGTTTTAGAATTCGATTGATTTTACCTTCGACTTTTTCTTTTTTTGCAAGTGTGGTACAGCATACAGAATGCTGGCTCTTTTCACCTTCTAGTTGTAAGGTCTTTGCAATGTTATTTACTTTCTAGTCTGTGGTGAGAATAAACTTGAGATAGCCTACTTTGTGCAGATCACTTGCATAAGCTGATGCCATCTTGCCACCCCTTTCCAGGAAAAACTAAGATGGCAGGTGCTGGCATCATCCTTTCATTTTGTTGAAGTTCTCAGTCAAGATACAGAGGCATAATCACAACCTAATATTGCTTAATGCACTGACAGTGTTGCTTCCCAGTAATCCCTTCTTTTTTTTAAAGACTTATTTATTTTTATTACAAAGTCAGATATACAGACAGGAGGAGAGACAGGAAGATTTTCCGTCCGATGATTCACTCCCCATGTGACCACAACGGCCAGTGCTGCGCCAATCCGAAGCTGGGAACTAGGAACCTCTTCCAGGTCTCCCACACGGGTGCAGGGTCCCAAAGCCTCAGGCCATCCATGACTGCTTTCTCAGGCCACAAGCAGGGAGCTGGATGGGAAGTGGGGCTGCCGGGATTAGAACCGGTGCCCATATGGGATCCTGGCGCGTTTAAGGCGAGGACTTTAGCCACTAGGCCATGCTGCCGGGCCCGATAATCTCTTCTTGTTGCCTTAACTGTATTTATGCTTTAAAAGCTTGAAATTTTATTCTTGTCGCACACTATTAGCTAAAATATCTGCTTTTTAAAAAACAAACAGGCCAAGGAAAAAGAAAAACAAAACAAAGCAAAAAAACAATAGGAATATTTAATGTCCAGAATAGGCAAGTCGAGAGAGACAGAAAGTGGATTAGTGGTTGCTAAGATGCACAAGTAATTGTTACGGGGTTTATTTTAGGCTGTGATGACAATGTGCTGGAACTAGATGGTAGTAATGGCTGCACACCATTGTGATTCTACCACAAAAGACAAACAACAACAAAAAACCAAAACCACTGAATTGTACACTGTAAAGTGGTAAGAATGGTGAATTTTATTGTAAAAGATTAATAGAATTAGGTTGCAGACTGTGCCAGTTTCTGGAGTTCAGTGTCACTTGCTCAGTCAAGGTAATACGAGGGCCAAGTCAAGATGACGCTAATGGTTAGACTGCGCACGGCTTTCAGTTTCCTGTGCGATGTGCCCTTTGAAGGCACATGGCTCTAAGGAGCAGCTTCTATGCTGTTGTTTTCAACTAAGTTCCTAATTTTCTTCACACTGTCTAAGCTTGGTGCTCAGATTTTGTTTAGAAACTTAAACGCTCTTGCTTTTTGTAACCTTGGGCCTTTCATACGTCAGCTTCACTGCCTGTTTCTAATCTTTTGGCCGTGTGAACTTTTGCTAGGAATTGTAGCTTCACAGTTGTAGCTTAATCCACTATATTATCTCAAGGATTTTCATCCTGTCTCCTAAAGGACTGTTGCTATGTAGTTGAACTGCAGGGATTCTAGACTCCTGTCAAATGGAGGTGAGGGGAAAGCTGTTAGGATCCATTTGATCCTCAGAAGTTTGACAGTATCAGCTGTGCTAAGTTAACTGGAGTTCTTTTTCTTTATAGTTTGAAGTTTACAGTGGTGAGTGATCCTATGGATCAAGAAACGAAAGAATGCCAAGAAGTGGGATATGCATATCTTGAACTGTGGCAGATCCTGGAATCGGGAAGAGATATTCTAGAGCAAGAGCTGGACAGTGAGTAAACCATTGTTTGTGCTTCTAAGATAGCCATCTCAATAACAATGCTGTCTCTACTTCACTCTCAGTGCATAGCTCCTGCTGTGACATTGATGAGATACTACATTGGAATTTTAGTTTCTGGGTGAAGCATGTGGTTTTAGCCCCCATATGCCTTATTACAATTATTCTTTTTAATATCCAAAGCTTGATACAAGGAGATTACTTTAAAGATTTATTTATTCTTATTGGAAAAGGATGCTTACAGAGAGAAGGGGAGACAGATCTTTCATTCACTGGTTCACTCCCCGAGTGGTTGCAATGGCAAGAACTTAGCCGATCCAAAGCCTGGAGCTTCTTCTGGGTCTCCCATGTGTTAGGGTCCCTAGACTGGGACATTTCTTGCTGTTATCCCAAGGCTCAAGCAAGGACCTGGATGGTGAATAGAGCAGGTAAAACACGAATTGGCATCCATATGGGATTCCAGTGCTTGAACAAGGGAGAGAAATAGCCAACTGATGTGCTGGGCCCTAACACAAGGGGATTTTCAAAAAAAGATTTATTTATTTATTTGTTATTTTTAAAAAAGATTTATTTTATTTTTATTGGAAAGGTGTATATACAGAGAGGAGAGACAGAGAGGAAGATCTTCCGTCCGATGATTCACTCCCCAGGCGGCCGCAATGGCTGGTACTGAGACAATCTGAAGCCAGGGGCCTCTTCCGGGTCTCCCACACGGGTGCAGGGTCCCAAAGCTTTGGGCTGTCCTCGACTGCTCTCCCGGGCCACAAGCAGGGAGCTGGATGGGAAGTGGGGCTGTTGGAATTAGAACTGGCGCCCATATGGGATCCCGGGCGTGCAAGGCGAGGACTTTAACCATTATGCTCTCACGCCAGGCCTGGAAAATCTTAAAAACTACTGAATGCTTCTTACTTTTTTGGGTAATATTTGAGGGTCCAGCACAGTAGCCTAGTGTCTAAAGTCCTCCCTTTATATGTGCCAGGATCCTATATGGGTGCTAACTGGTCTCCCGACTGCCCCATTCCCATCCAGCTCCCTGCCTGTGGCCTGCGGAAGCAGTCGAGGATGGCCCAAGGCCATGGGATCCTGCACCCATGTGGAAGATGTGGAAGAAGCTCCTGGTTCATGGCTTCAGATCAGCTTAGCTCTGGCCTTTGCCACTACTTGGGGAGTGAACCAGCTGACGGGATCTTTGTCTCACCTTTTCTCTGTAAACATGCCATTCCGATAACAATAAATCATTAAAAAAAAAAAGGATAAGTTTCTAAGAAAATGGTAAATATTAAATATATTTGAAAGGCAAGGTGACAGACCCTCCCACCTTCCACTCCTCAAATGCTTCCAAGTCAGAGCCGAGCGATGCTCAAGTCAGCAGCCAGAAGTCCAGCCAGGGCTCATGTGCCTGGCAGGGATCTGACTCCTTCAGCGTTGTCTTCTGCCTCCCAGGGTGCACCAGTAACAAGGCAGCTAGAGTGGGACCAGGCACTCAACATGGGATTTGAGTTAAAATCTCCTAAGTGAGATTTTAACGTGGATACCTTTCTCCAATGTTCAGGTTTTTTCCCCCAGTCATCAATATTTGAGCAGTGGTGTTTGATTTTAAATTTATTTGAAAGGCATGGTCACACACATTTTCTGTTGATTTACTTCCCATTTGGCTGCAATAGCCAGAGTTGGGTCAGGTCAAAGCCAGGAGCCTCATTCTGGTTTCTCATACAGGTGGCAGGGGAGCTAAGACTTGGGCCAAGCCCCACCACTTTCCTAGGTGCATTTGCAGGGCCTTGAAAAGGCAGTCACGTGGGGTGCCAGCTTTGTTGGCCACAATGACAGCCCCGGGTCTGAATTTTTTTCAAGATTTATTTATTTTATTGGAAAGTCATACATACAGAGAAGGACAGATCTTGCACTTGCTGCTTCACTCAAGCAGCCAGTGGCTGGAGCTGAGCTGATTTGAAGCTAGGAGCCGAAAACTTCTTCCAGGTCTCCCATGCGGGCTACAAACTGGCACCAATATGAGATCTTGGCGTGTGCACCGCAAGGACTTTAGGTGCTAAACACACACGCCAGGCCTCCTAAGTCCAATTTTAAAGTCTTTTGACCCTAATAGTTTCCTTTTTTCTTACCATTTAAAAATCCAGCTCTTTGGCCCAGCGCAGTGGCTTAGGGGCTTGAGTCCTCACCTTGAACATGTTGGGATTCCATATGGGCCCCGCTTCCCATCCAGGTTCCATTTGTGGCGTGGGAAGGACGGCCCAAGGCCTTGGGACCCTGCACCGAGGGAGACCTGGAAGAACTCCAGGTTTCAGATTGGCGAAGCTCCAGCCATTGCGGTCACTTGGGGAGTGGATCATCAGACGGAAGAAAAAGAAATCTTTAACAGCTTCTTTAGCTGATGTTGATGGTCCCATAGGTCTGCACCATCACGCTTTCCTAAAGTGTTCTCAGGACACTGAGGCTCCCTATGCCTCTTGGGGTGTTTTTATTCTTTAAGACTGATTTTTGTTGGCAAGGTAGATATAGAGAGGAAGAACTTCAATTTGCTGATTCACTCCCTAAGTTGCTGCAACAGCTGGAGCTGTGTTGACCTAAAGCCAGGAACCAGGAACTTCTAGGTCTCCCACATGGGTGCAGGGTCCCAAGGCCTTGGGCCATTCTAGACTGCTTTCCCAGGCCACAAGCAGGGAGCTGGATGGCAAGTGGGGTTGCCAAGATTAGAACTGGTGTCCATATGGGATCCCAGCCTGTGCAAGGTGAGGACTTTAACTGCTAGGCTATTGTGCTGGGCCCAATTCCATTTTTTTATACAGAATACAGTGGTACTTGCCATTATGAGCTGTGTCCCCCTTGGCACCTCACTGGCTGTAATAGTATCCTTTCTCTTCCAAGCATTTTATGAGAAAAATTAGAATGCTCATCCTTGATTCCTTTTCTTTACCAACACTGACTTATTAAACTGCCATTTTTAAATTTAATAAACAACCCCCCCCAAAAACAAAAACATTGTTTTGAGGTGTTGGCACCCCCATGGGAACCAGTTTATGTCCCAGCTGCTCAACTTCAGATCAGGCTCCCAGATTTGGGCCTGGGAGAGCAGTGGAGGATGGGTCAAGTTCCCACCCAAGTGGGAAACCTGAAGGAGGCTCCTGGCTTTGGACCAGCTCAGCTCCAGTGACTGAGTGAACCTGGGGAAGGAAGACCTCTTGCTCTCCTTCCTCTGTAAAATTTGCCTTCAAAAAAAAAAAATCAGAAACAAAATTATTTGAAAGGCAGTTAGGGAGCTGGATCAGAAGTGGCACAGTCAGGGATGGAAGTGCTGCCACACATTTAATAAACCTTTTTACTGTTGGCTCCTTAGTGTTAAATCAGATATCTGAAATCCTTGCATTTCTTCTCTGTCCCCAATTACTGCATCATAAGAGGTCTATTTGTCTTATTCAAATAGTCTCATCTTTCTAGATAGATGGAAACTGGCCATTAGTTACAGCTAAAGTGCTCAATTTGGCCTTGTGGTACAGTGGGTCAAGCCCTTGCCTGCAAACACCCCACAGCAAAACACCAGTTCAGGTCTTGCTTGTTCTGCTTCCGATTTACCTTCCCTGCTTATGTCTGGGAAAGCAAGAGACAGCTCACGTACTTGGGCCCGTCCCTTTGTGGGAGACTTGGACGGAGCTCCTAGCCTCAATCTGGCCTACCCATGGCTTTGGAGCAGTCTGCGGAGTGGCCAGCAGAAGCAAGATCTGTTTCTCTTTGTCACCGCTTGGAGGACTTGAAGGCCCTTTGGACCTGTTATTGTGTATCCTCATTTCTGTCCTGGCACATGCTTAGTATGAAAGTTGCTTTTCTAAGACTTAGCTCATTCAGACTCCCGGAACCCTCTTCTAGCTTAGGTGCTTAGTTTTAGTTCCCTGTGCACCTGGGGTTTCCATTACACCTGCATGCTGTGTCGCCATCACTCTTCCTCCTCCTTCAGGCTGAGGTTCCTTATGAAAGGAGCATTCCCAGCTCCTAACATGGCACCAGACTGTGAAGTGTTTAATGAAATGATAATTCGGCCTGACACTTTTTCCCCCTTTCTCAACAGTTGTCAGCTCTGAAGACAAGGCTACCCCGATAGGAAGGCTGAAGGTTTCCCTTCAAGCAGCTGCTGCCCTCCATGCTATTTACAAGGAGATGAGTGAAGATTTGTTTTCATGAAGGAAGAGAAGCTATTCCATTCTAAAATCTGAGGGAACCATAGTAAGAAAAAATCTCTTATAAAGTAACTTGCTATACCATTAATCTGGCTTACTGTGGTGTCCTTACTAGCTCCCAATCTGAAGGTGAAAGTACTTTGGGGACACTAGCTGATGAGGACATTTTCTCCAACATCTTATTGTTCACCAGGCAAAAAAAGCAGGCTTACTTTAAGGAATTGCAAAAAGAATAGTCACAAAGAGTGAATTTACAAAAACAAAGCAACAACAAAAAACCCCACAGTTTATTTCTTTTAGTTCTTCCAAAATTGAAATATCAAGTCCTACTGCTAAGGAGAAAAAAAATAAACAAACATAAAATCCATGATCCCTCCCCCGCTCTCTTAAAAGTCACAGAATACAGAAAGAACTGCAGTGGGACGGGTAGGTGCAGAGAATCAGGAGGCAGGGATGGCAAGATAAACTCCCCCAATATTAAAAAGCTGGTCACAACAGAAACTGATAAATACAGGACAGGTAAGTGTAAGGAGCAGCAGTGACGAGAAGCTGCGTTCAAGATGTGGCCTCCCTTCCTTTCCTCTCTTGCTAGGGCATTCTAGGCAAACCTAAAGGTGGATTCCTTTGGGCCTCCTTCTAGATTCCGCTGGAAGCAGTGTACGAGGCACAACTTTTCATCCTTAGATATATCTATCAGAAGTGATAGTGGTAATCCTGCCTTCTATTGTGGCAGCAGGTATGAATGTAAAGGGAGAAATAACTGAGCTAGGGAGTGTCACTGCTTCTAAGTCAGCAGAAACACCTCAAAATCCGTACGAGGCAAGAAAGCAGAATTCAGATGAAGGCACCAGCCCAATCTGCCTTGCTAGCTCAAGTTGCATGATTTATCCCATCATTAGCAAATTCTAAGAACCTTTTCTTGATTATTGCAATGATGGAACTTAGAGAGACATGAGGAAGGTCTTAGCATAAGATGAAGGACTGAATCTGCTGGTCAAGACCATGGTACAGGTACCATTTTCTTGGAAACAGCTTTGAGACACCAAGAGTAAGATGTCAGAAGCCATCGATGTCCTGACAGAGGGCGACAGGAAGAGGAATGGAGCACTATTAACATGAGTCTCCGTCCTTCTTCACCGCCTCCCCTGCCATCTGCATGGGGCCACTGGTCCATGTCCTGGAGGGCCTGGAATTCCCCAGGTAGATTGGTCCACACAAATGGCCCCCTAAACCCATAAACACAAATGGCAGAGCTTTAAAGGAAACAAAAGGAAAAATACAGCTTCTATGTCGTGTAAAACTTTCAGGGGTTGGATGAAGGAAAAATGGAGCTGAAGACCAAAGTTCAGAAGTGTTACTTCCTCTTTTTCTTTGGGGGTGCAGAGCTTTGTCTGGAACCACGGTTAGAGCCTCGGCCTGAACTGTGTACAGAAGCCTTCCTCTTCCGGCTCATACTTCGACTCTGTTCCTCTTCTTCCTCGTAACGACTCTCACGGTCCGCTAAACAGAAGAAAGCATGCTTAGTCACCCATGTTAGCACAGCTATACAGAACCACATGACACAGGGGAAGGTAACCTGGAGTCACACTAACTTTTAACCTATACTCGGGCACTTACTAGCTGTGTGACCACCTTAACTTCTTCAGCTTTCTGAGCCTTGGTTAGTTTATGAAAGGAAGAATTACGGGTTAAAAATGGCAACCTACACACAAATTAGATACAGTAATGCTTAGGACAGAGTCGGTAATTTAAAAAATTCTGAAAGGAAGGAGAGCGAGATATTTTTTCATTTTCATTTATTACTACCCAAATTGCTAGGGCTGGACTAAGCCAAAGCCATGAGCCCACAACTCCATCTTGGCCTCCCATCGGACCTGGCCCTTTTGGCTGCTTTCCAAGGTGCATTTGCAGGAACCAGAATGGAAGCGGAGCGACCCGTACACACTGCTGCTCACAGGAGCTGCTGACCTTGCAGGCAGTGGCTTAATTTGTTGTGCTGTGACGATGGCTGCTCTCATCTGTTAACTTACATTTTGTAAAATGAATAGACAGCAACAACAAACCTTTTCGAGCTTCTTCCTCCAGTTCATCCCAATCCTTTCCGCTCTCCTCTTCACTGCCCAGTGACTCCTTAGAATAATCTGCAATCAAATTAAGCTTTAGCCATTATAGTATAGAATGGAATAGCACAGTTCTTTTAGTTTCTAGAAATAACATTAGATAAGAAAGTCAGTACAAACTTCCTGTATAATGACGAACCTGATTCTTCAGCCTCTGATGAGTAATCTTCGTCACTGTCCTCCTCCTCCTCCTCATAGTCATCCTCGGAAGGATTAAAAGTCTCATCTTCAATTTCAGATTCTGAATCTCCTTCCTCAGCATCACTTCCCTAAAGAGTTACAAACAACACAGTGCTATTTACTGATTTATTGTTCCTTACATTATTGTTTCAGGAAGTTAATCAACTCAGTATTACAGACAGAAACCATAAAACCCACGTGCTCAAAATGTATTTTAGATTACTGTGCTGGCATGGTGCAATGGGTTAGGCCAATTCTTGCAATGCTGGCAGCCCAGTTTGGAATGTCTTGGTAATGCACTGTGTGAAAGCAGTGGCAGATGGCCCAAGTGCTTGGGTTCCTGCCACCCATGCAAGAGACCAGGATAGCTGAGATCTGGTTGTTGCAGTCAGCTTTAGTGAGCCAGTAGATGGAAGCTCTCTCGTTCTGTCATTGTGCTTTCAATAAGTAAATCTTACAAAACAAATGATTGCTAAGGGGTAGTTATCTGAAACATAAAACATTTCTGAACGATTCAGTAGCGGCCAGTGCAGGGGTCGGTCTATCAGGCTAATCATCTGCCCGTGGGGCCAGCATCTTATCTGGGTGCTGTTTGTGGCTCAGCTACTCTACTTCTGATTCAGCTCCCTGCTTATAAACTGGGAAAGCACTGGAGGATGGCCCGAGGCTAGGGGTGTTCCCACATGGAGACCTGGAAGAAGCTCTCATCCCGGGCTTCATACCCACTTGGCTCTGGCTGCTGTGGCTATTTGCAATGCACAAGCTGATGGAAGATATCTCTGTCTCTCATTGTCTCTATAAACTGATTTTCAAATACAAACAAAACAAAAAAACAAACAAAAAGATGCAAAAACAAACAAAAAACATTTGAAAAAAAGTTCATCTTTCCTTTTTTTTTTTTTTACCAAGATTTAATGTACATTTATTCTTAACACGTGGAACATATAGTATAAAGATTTCATACTGAATAAATGATATTCATTAAGCCAAAAAAGGAAAAAAGGAGGAATTTAGTTTTAGCTACATTGTTGAAATACAAATATGCAGATTTTATCACTGAAAAATCTCAATTGTGTTTCTTCATCAGGAACTTCAACTGAACCTAGAACTTTTTCACACTTCGATTAGAAAGAAAACAAAACAAAAACCCAGAAAATAATAAACTATAAGTTGATTGGCTGCTGAGACAGCAAGGACTTTTTACAGAGACCTGTACAGCATCGCGCCACGAGGGGCAATGTCTGGCAAGAGATTAAATAGCTGTGTCTCGCTTTGTGCAGGTCACCAACTTGTTAACTCGTCATACTAGAAAGGGGTAGGTGGGAGAGGGACCAACCTGCGGGGATCCAAGGGTATGTGCAATGTACAATGTCATATATATACACACGTGGCAGCGTGGCCGCTGCAGCTAAAGGTTAAAACCAGTTCTAAGAGGTGATCTTGGGGTTATTCATACAATCGAGGAGGAGAGAGATATGTCAGGGTGTTGTAGGTTCACACATGATACTTTGGGGGAAAAGCCTTTTTTTTTTCTCCTCAACATTTAACTAAAAACATTTTTAAAAACTACAGCTTGGGGCCCGGCGCGGTGGCGCAAGTGGTTAAAGGTCCTCGCCTTGCACGCCCGGGATCCCATATGGGCGCCGGTTCTAATCCCGGCAGCCTCGCTTCCCTTCCAGCTCCCTGCCTGTGGCTGGGAAAGCAGTCGAGGACGGCCCAAAGCTTTGGGAACCTGCACCCGCGTGGGAGACCCGGAAGAGGCTCCTGGCTTTGGATCGGCGTAGTATCGACCTGTTGCGCTCACTTGGGGAGTGAATCATCGGATGGAAGATCTTCCTCTCTGTCTCTCCTCTGTACATCCGCCTTTCCAATAACAAAATAATAAAAATAAATCTTAAAAAAAAAAAACAAAACCTACAGCTTGCTGCTGACCCAGCGTTCTCTCATTTCCGTGTGAGACGTTATTATTACAGCGTGTTTACAGTATCAGGTGTACAGTACATGAAGGGGTCTACACTCTGCTGCACAGGCCTCTGCGGTGGACAGGTCTGCCCACAACCTGTTCATCTTTCTTTTAAAAAAGATTTATTTTATGTTATTGCAAAGTCAGATATACAGAGAGGAGGAGACAGAGAGGAAGATCCTCCATCAGATGATTCACTCTGCAAGTGACCGCAATAGCCAGCACTATGCCAATCCAAAGCCAGGAGCCAGGAAGTTCTTCTAGGTCTCCCACGAGGGTGCAGGGTCCAAAGGCTTTGGGCTGTCTTTTACTGCTTTCCCAGGCCTCAAGCAGGGAGCTGGATGGGAAGCAGGGCTGCCGGGATTAGAACCGACGCCCATATGGGATCCTGGTGCGTTCAAGGGGAGGACTTTAGGTGCTAGGCCACCGCTCCAGGCCCAATGATGTTCATCTTTCCTTATGCAAGGAAGGTAATAAGACTTTTTGTAATAACACATTATCCAAATATGGGGGGGGTTTACTATTTTACAAAAAATTCTGTTGTAAAATGCTTTGAAAAATTCTCCAATAGTGATAAACTCATCCAGGAACAGCTTTTGTCATTTCAACAAAATGGTTACCAATGCTCAATGTATCACAGACCTATAAAAGTAACATATGGAAGCAATAATACCAAGTTGTGCTGAGTTTCTCCCTACAGGTCTGGAGCTTCGTGTATTAATATACCTTTCTACTAAGTGTCCAAATAATAGCAGGCAACACTGTATGCCAGGACAGAAACCCCACACTCACGCACCTCACCCTCTGGCTCCAGGAAAGACCAGCCACCTTGTTCAAAGAAGCCCTCGGGATCATCAACAATGGTCTTCATGATTTTAGTCCAGTTGAGGGACTGTACTCCTTCTGTATACTTTAGGTCACAGGAACTGCAAAGATATAACAAAGTCAAAACTCTTGTGTGTTTTCTGAGAAGGTTCTGTATCCATTTAAGTCATTAGTATCGTTGTGGAACAGAGAACCCTTTCCTAAATGTGGGTACCTTCAAGCAGACAGTTTGTGCATCATGCCTCTGGAGCAAGCCCCAGCTGCTGCTACCCTCCCAGGACATTAACCCTCACCCCTCTTCCAAATGTTCCCTTAAGGAGCAGTTTCCCTGCTTTTCACTTAGTCATCTCTCCTACTCATCACCCATATTTCATTTTCCCTTTAACTGCCTGCCAAGTAGTTGCAACTCAAAATATCATCTGTGACTCTTGATAACTACAGTTACGAAACAGCTATAATCTTCACAGGCCCCAACTTCCTGCCTCAAGCTTCCACTGCTGCCCTATGGCCCATTTTTTTTTTTGATTCATTAAGCACCCTATATTTAGACTATTCTCAAATGGATTTTTCTTATTCATGTCTGCTGATAGAAGCAAATAAGGTTTTTTTAAAGAACTGCCCCAGCTTCCAGGCTGCTAGACTAAATAAGGACTTGGTATTCAGAAGAGGCGGGGTTGGACAGAGAAGGCAGTGATCTGGATCTCTACGATCAATGCCACAGAACTAGAAATAATTCCTGGTCCCACCAGCTTCGGTGAAAATCCTTCACAAGGATACAGGCTAGAGGAGTGCGCAGAGTGAAGCCAATCAACCAAAGCCGGTTCCAAGTCTGTATGAATGACATTTCCAAACAAGTCTTTAGGAATCCAAGACTACCAAATAACTGAGTGTATCCCAGAATAACATCCAAAAAGATATAACAGAATATCACAAAACAGGGAATTCAACATTACGGCATAGCAGGCACTGAGATACTGTGGGCAAACCCACAGCCTGTGACACCAGCACCTCATATAGGTACTGTTTCAAGTTCTGGCTAATTCACTTGTGCACTAGCAGAAGATGCTTTTGAGTGCTTGGGTCCCTGCCTTTGTGAGCAAAACAGTTAAAGCTCGTGGTTTCAGCCTGGCCCAGCTGTTTGCAGCCATCTGGGGAGTGACCCACGAGATGAAAGCTTTCTGCTTTCCATCCTTTTTTTTTTTTTTAAAGATTTATTTATTTTTATTGTAAAGGCAGATATACTAAGAGAAGCAAATGGAGAGAAAGCTCTTCCATCTGCTGGTTTACTCTCCAAGTGACCACCATGGCTGGAGTTGAGCCAATCTGAAGCTGAGAGCCAGGAGCTTCTTCCGGGTCTCCCATGCAGGTGCTGTCCTCAATTGCCTTCCCAGGCCACAGGCAGGGAGCTGGGTGGGAAGTGTGGAATATCAGGATTAGAGCCGGCACCCATATAGGATCTCACGCGTGCAAGGTAAGGGATTTAGCCACTAGGCTATCGCACCTGGCCCTGCCCTCCTCTTACAATGCTAGCTTTGAAATAAGTAAATAAATCCAAAAAGCAAACAAAAGATCTAAAAACAATGCAGTGTCACACACTGTATTTGGCAACTGACCACAAATTGGCAGGTACAGAATGAAGTCCATAAATTACTAAGTCCATAAATACAAAGTTGACAGAAGAAACTGGCACAAGACGTTCAAAAAAGATGCGCCAAGGAGGGGGCTTTAGCCTGGCGGTCAAGGTGCCTGTGCCCCTTCCAGAGACCACTGGGCTGATTCTTGCCTTCCGCTGCTGGTTCCAGTTTCCTGTGTCATTCATTCCAAGACTCCTCCCATTGAAGATGTTTAATGAATATCAAGCAGAATAAACAAAAAATTGCACCATGGATTCCTAAATCCCATTTCAAAGTTCCCAGGCCCAGTTCCACTCTGTAATCAAGCATGTTGCTCATACAAACCCTAGGAGGCAGTACTTGGGTCCCTGTTACTGGTGGTGGCAACACGTGTGGTACTTGTGATACGTACATGCCAGCAGAGGATGGCCCAAGTACTTGGGAATTCTGCGCTCATATGAGACTCATAAGAAACTCCTGGCTTGGGCCTGGTGTAGTAGCCTAGTGGCTAATGTCCTTGCATGCGCCAGGATCCCACGTGGGCACTGGTCTGTGTCCCAGCTGCTTCCTCCACTTCCCATCCAGCTCCCTACTTGTGGCCTGGGAAAGCAGTTGAGGACAACCCAAAGCTTTGGGACCCTGCACCCACGTGGGAGACCCGGAAGAGGCTCCTGGCTTCGGACCGGCACAGCATAGCACTGGCCGTTGCGCTCACTTGGGGAGTGAATCATCGGACGGAAGATCTTCTTCCCTATTTCCTTCTCTCAGTGTATCTGCGTTCCCAATAAAAATATGTAAATCTTTTTTTAAAAAATGAAAATCATGAGAAACATTCCAATAAGAAAATCTTGCCCAGAGAGCCAAAATGGAAATAAGACACACACAGTAGCTAAGCATAAGCTATTAAGTAAAGAAAAATGAAAAGGTAACAATGAGGACAGCATTATCTCAACACTGAAATCACAAAACATGATGCAGCTCCCTGCTAATGCGACTGGAAAAGCAGTAGAGGATGGCGCAAGGACTTGGAGCCCTGCTCCCACATGGGAGACCAGGAAGAAGCTCTGGTTGTCGCAACCATTCAGAGTGAACTAGCAGATTCAAGATCTCTCTTTCTCTTTCCTTCCTTCTCTAAGTCTGCCTTCCTAACAAATCAATCTTAAAACAAACAAACAAACAAAAAATCAAAAATCATGGAAACAGATATGACAACTCAACAAAGGCTTAGTGTATCACTTCCAGTAATGTAATGTATGAAACAATGATACATCTGCAAGGCTGGCATTAGTGCTTACAGCAGCAATTCATAACAACCTCCAGGTGGAAATAACCACCAACTGGAATAAATAAAGGATGGAATAGACATACAAGAAACTACTACTAGTACTAATCAGACAACCTAGACAGAGTTAAAAAGTATTCAGTGAAGAATGCAAGATTTAAAAATCACATATAGTGTATAATACTAGTTATGCAAAATTTGAATCGAGGCGAAATACAGTGACAGAAATCAGCAATGGAATCAAAGGAAGGGTACTGCTGATAGGGGGTTCAAGGAATTTCTTTTTGTTTCTTTTGTCCAACGATTCATTCCCCAGTGGCTATAACAGCCAGAGTTGAGCCAATCTAAAGCCAGGACTTTGGAATAAAAATAAATAAATCCTTAAAAAAAAAAAAGAAAGAAAGAAAAAAATTTCTTCCTCATCTTCCAATAAAAAGTTAACTAGGAGATGGGTATGATGGCTTGACTGATCTTCACCTTGCAGTGAGCCTAGAGCCCACATGGGCAATAGTCTGTGTCTCAGCTACTACATTTCCCACCCAGCTCCCAGCCTGCATCCTGGGAAAGCAGCAGTGACCCAAAGCCTTGGGAGCCTGCACCTGCGTGAGACCCAGAAGAAGCTCTTGGCTTTGATCAGCTCAGCTCCAGCCTTTCCTGCCATTTGGGGAGAGTCCCAGTGGATGCAACATTCCCGCACAGATACACTGATGTACCTTGCAGTGGTCTCTCTCTCTTTAAAATCTGCCTTTCAAATAAAAGTAAATAAATCTTAAAAAAAAAAAAAAAGCCATCATTTTACATAAGTAAATTATTTTCAAATACTGGTTTATAGCAACCCAAATGTCAACTCAACTTAAGTATTATCATTATCCTCTCCCTCCCCCCTTTATCTACAAGACAAAAGCAACAGACTAGAGAGAAAGATTTTCCGTTCCTTAAGTGTTTGCAACAGTAGGCCCAGGCCAAAGTTAGGAGCCAGGAACTGTGTAGACATCCCCAGCAGGTGGCAGGAAACCAACTCAAAAGCCAAGCAGCTGCCTAACCTGCTAGCCACGGTGTCTGTGCTCCTGCTCTGCAAGCAACAGCCTTCACGTGTAACAAAGCAGTCTAAAATCCTATACAGCTCCTGAGGTGGAAAGGAGACTGTTGGCAGATTTACTTACTTCAGCCATTCCTTGATGGGATCCAAAGAGGCTACAGGAATGGCGTTAATCATAGTCACTTTCTTGCTATAATCCTTATAAACTATTACCATATCAAAGTTCTTCAAATGGAACTGAACACGTTCAAAGTGGATCAGCTCCACTTCATCCAATGTCACCACAAAAGGGGGCTGCCAGGGAAAAAATAGGATACTTGTTATATAATTATTAACCCCAAAGTATATTCAAGCATCCAAAATATCATACAAAGCAAAACTAAGCTGTTTATGAGGGCTTTAAAAAAAAAAAAAAAGAGAGACTAAGGCAAAGTAAAATCATCTATAGGATTACAAAATTTTCTCTGAAGAAAAAGGTGTAAAGAAGTGGATTAGGAGCAAAAACCAATCCATTTGCTTTCTTTTAACAATTTTCTTACTTTTGAGAAGGCAAGAAACGCTCACCCATTCTGTAGCATTTACCAGCGCACTGCTAGTGGGCTGGAGGAGGCAGGTACTCCGATAGGGAGCGCCGTTAAATCTGAAAGGAAGAAGAGAGACTCAGATCACAAAACAAGCGTCTCTTTGTGCTCTCTGGAGAATCATGTGCAGGCGAGTCTCTTCAGCTTATTCATTCAACTCACACCCTTAACCATTTTCTAGGGGACACTGGTACCTCTAAGGATAGTCCCAAGGAAGAAGCACAATAGGTTGTATTACATTACTATTAAAGGAAAAATATAAAGGCAGACCAGTAAATTGGCCAAAAAGATAAGATACCTTACCCCAAATCTCTAAAAGGCACTTCGAATTCCAGTTCCTCTTTTGTTAGAGCCTCTACTTTCTCAATAAAATTTTTAAAAGCTGTCTTCAGTTTGTGCCTCATTTCTCGCTCCATCTATAGAGGAAACAATATTAACTACAGTCATCCCATTCCTTGTTAATGGTGTGTCACCTCAGAAAGTTGGAAATGCTTTTCCATTCTGAAATACCCCCAAGACATTCCGATGCACACGCTGTTTAAAGTCACTATACCACTAACTATAGCGTTAAGTCAACAACCAGACGCTTCCATAGAAGCAACTGTATCATACCATATCAAAATACACATAAATCATGCTGCAGAAATTCAGGGGTTGTTTGCAAAATCTAATTCCTGATCTCTTATTTATACATCATCTTAACTCACTATGCCGCAAATATAGTACTGAATTCTAAGTACTTGCTCAGCGTAGAGGTCATCCCGGTCATGCATATGCTGATGTTTCCCCAGGTCTGTGGTGATCTCTCCCACTTCCGTGTAGAACTGAACATCTGTGTGCCGCTTCTTCCCAAACATGATGGCATTCTGATGGCATAAAGCATAAGAAGTCAGAAGATTTGGGATCAGCATGATAGCATAAATGGTTAAGATCCTCGCCTTGAATGCCCGGGATCCCATATTGGTGCTGGTTCTAATCCTGGCAGCTCCACTTCCCATGTAGCTCCCTGCTTGTGGCCTGGGAAAGCAGTCGAGGATGACCGAAAACCTTGGGACCCTGCACCCATGTGGTAGACCCCGAAGAGCTCCTGGCTCTGGATCGGCACAGCACCGGCCATTGGGGTCACTTGGGGAATGAACCATTGGATGGAAGATCTTCCTCTCTGTCTCTCTTCCTCTCTGTACATCTGCCTTTCCAATAAAATAAATAAATCTTAAAAAAAAAAAAAAGAAGTCAGAAGATTTAGGCCACTCAAGGCCACACTGAAAGAATACAAGAAATAAAACATAAAAACAGAACTTGGAGAGGTCCTTTTATGTGTATGTTTTTCAGATTCATTTATTTTTATTTGAAGGGCAGATTTCAGAGAGAGAGGAAAGATACAGAAATACATCTTTCATTTATTGATTCACTTCCCAAATGCCTAAAATGGCTGGAGCTGAGTTCAACTGCAGGAGCTTCTTCCAGGCCTCCCATGTGGGTGCAGGAGCCCAAGACCTTGGGCCATCCTCTGCTGTTTTCCCAGCCCTTAGGCAGAGAGCTGGATTGGAAGTGCATCAGCAAGGTCACAAACTTGTGTTCCTTTGGGATGCTGGAGCTACAGGTTGGAGGACTGGCCTGTGGCTCACTGTGCTGGACCCAAATTTCTTTTGGTAATTATGTATCTAGCATACTAAAGCAGGACTTAGCAACATCTGCATGTACAACACAATCAATCTTTACTGAAGATTTAAAAAGTAAGACAACTATTTTTTTAAGTAAAAGGCAGATTTAGGGGCCCGGCGCAGTGGCTCAAGTGGTTAAGGTCCTTGCCTTGATGCCCGGGATCTCATATGGGCGCCGGTTCTATCCCAGCAGCCTCGCTTCCCTTCCAGCTCCCTGCCTGTGGCCCAGGAAAGCAGTCGAGGACGGCCCAAAGCTTTGGGACCCTGCACCCGCGTGGGAGACCCGGAAGAGGCTCCTGGCTTCGGATCGGCATAGTATCAGCCGTTGCGCTCACTTGGGGAGTGAATCATCGGATGGAAGATCTTCCTCTCTGTCTCTCCTCTCTGTATATCTGCTTTTCCAATAAAAATAATAAAAATAAATCTTAAAAAAAAAAAGGGCAGATTTATATAGACAGAAGGAGAGAGGTTTTGTATGTTGATTACTCCATAAATGGCCAACAAGGGCCAAAGTTGGTTGGTTTGAAGTGGGGAGCAAAGAGTTTGTTAAGGCTCTCCCATGCAGGTGCAGCAGCCCAAAGATGCATCATTCTTTGCTGCTTTTACAAACCACTAGGAAGCAGCTGAACGGGAATTTGAGCAGCCAGGATATGAACCAGTGCCCATATGGAATGACGGCATTAAAGGTGCAGGCCTATGTGCTAGCTCCAATGCTACAAATTTTTTAAAAAACATTTTAGTCAACACTTGACATAAAATAAGCAATGACTAGAGTACTTACATTAAGTCTGAAATGAGCACTATTTTACAAAATATAAACAATTTAAATTTTGGGGCTGAAAGAGTTAATCCTTTTATGTGCTAGTTAATATTTGTCATCACAATTTTTATGTTTTTTTAAAAAAGATTTATTTACTTTTATTGGAAAGGCAGATGTACAGAGAGGAGAGACAGAGAGGAAGATCTTCCATCCAATGGTTCACTCCCCAAGTGACCCCAATAGCCGGTGCTGTGCCAATCCAGAGCCAGGAGCCAGGAGCTCTTCGGGGTCTCCCACATGGGTGCAGGGTCCCAAGGCCTTGGGCTGTCCTTGACTGCTTTCCCAGGCCACAGGCAGGGAGCTGGATGGGAAGTGGGGCTGCTGGGATTAGAACCAGCAACCATATGGGATCCTGGCGCATACAAGGCAGATTTTAACCACTACGCTATCACACTGGGCCCCAAATGGTTTGTTTTTTAAAGATTTATTTATTTTTGTGCTCAGCACACTAGCCTAGTGGCTAAAACCCTTGCCTTGGACACCCAGGATCCCATATCAGTACCAGTTTGTATTCTGGCTGCTCCGCTTCTCTTCCAGCTCCTTGCTTGTGGCCTGGGAAAGCAGCAGAGGAAGGCCCAAAGCCTTGGGATCCTTCAGCCACATGGGAGACCCAGAAGAGGCTCTGGCTCCTGGCTTCGGATCAGCTCAGTTCCAGCCATTGAGACTACTTGAGGAGTGAACCAGTGGATAATCTCTCTCTCCTTCAATCTATAAGTGTGCCTTTCCAATAAAAATAAATCTTAAAAAAAAAAAAAAAAAAAAACGAAAATTGGGTCGCTTGTCCTTGAGCTCAAAATCACTTAAGTTGACACAGTGGAGCCAGAATCCCACATATACTGGTTCTGCTCCTGGCTGCTCTGATGGCCTGAGAAAGCAGTGGAAGATGACCAGTTCTTTGGTTCTTGCACCCATTTGGGAGACTTGGAAGTGGCTCTGGGTTCCTAGCTTTGTACTTGCCTAACTCCTGCCATTTTGAGAGTGAACCAGAGGCTGGAAGGTCTCTTATCTCTCTTTGAGTAATTCTGACATTCTAGTAAAAAATGAATAATTAAAAAAGAAGAAGAAACACTTTGAATAAGAAGGCAATACCTTGAGGTGAAAGTGCAAGACAATAATCATTTCTCCATCACAGGGTTGGAACAAGGCATGTTTGATGTTATTGTACAGGATATCCACTTTGTCTCCTCGAACAGATGTGAAGCGGAAACCTGGGAGAAAGAATGTAGAAGCTAAAGCCTGAGCAACATAACTAGGTCAAAGCAAAGGCTTCTTCATGCCTTAGCTGCTCTAACAGGGTCAGTGGAAATGTCAACAGCTGCACATCTCCTTTGAGGCCATTCAACATTTTGATATGCAGATTTTTTTAAAAAAAATTAATTATGTTGCATTATATGACACAGTTTTATAGGCTCTGGGATTCCCCCAACTCCTCCCCATTCCCTCCCCCATGACGGATTCTCCACCTTGTCACAGTATTACAGTTCAAATTCAGGCAAGATTCTTTCTTTGCAAACATATACCAAGCACAGAGTCCAACATCTTATAGTCCAGATAAATTCAATGGTTTCTTGGGGAGACCATCTCTGGTCTGAAGGTAGAGCTGACAGAATATCATCCCCATCAATGAAAAGCCCAACACAACATCAACAATAACTTATAACATTATGAAATTAATTGACATGGTATTGAGTAACCAATATCCCCCCAAAAATGCAAGCATTCAACATTTTAAGTAGAATTTTCTAGCATTTCCTCACAGAGTACATAAGTCACCGCTACATTTGTGCACCTAAAGACAAATCTTAGAAAGGTGAAGAACAACACCCTACCATTGACATGGGCCTCCAGAGAGCCTTGCATTCTTTTCTGGGCAATGTTAGGGCGAATGTACAGATCTTTGAGCTTGGGATTACTCCGGTTTAGATTGATCACAAGTGAATCTTGTTTCACAATGCCCTAAGAAAGGAAAATTAACATGAATCTTCATAAATCCTTTCATGTCCCTCCAAATATACATCAAGCTTTAAACAAAGGGGCTTTGTGCTCAGGCTCACCTCCTTCTCCTTCTCCTCTGCTTCACGAGTCTTATAACGCTTCTGTACTTCTTTTATAATCCGGAAAGCATTCTGAAGATTCAGTGCTGGCACTGTCTGTTCCCCAGGTGCCTTCATATTTGAAGCTCGATAGGTACTGCATAAACAAGGAGCAATCAACACAAGTTTGTTTATCAGCCCAGGTAGCCTGTACCCATAGCTAAATTTTGTAACTGGGTTAATGTTTTTGGGAGAAGTACTTACCACTGGATGGTGAGAGAATTAGCTGGGAAATTCCTTAAATGGAAATACCTTAATGGCTAATTCTCTGTTCACCTCTAGTGCACCATTCCACAAATTATGCTATTTCATACCATGAAGGAATAGAATCAAATGTTGTATATATCTTTCTACTTGAGGATTCTACTATGAATATAAAAAGGGCCAGCATGATGGCTCAATAGGCTCTTCTTCCTCTACCGGCAGTGTTAGCATTCCCTATGGTGTTGGTTGTAGTCTAGGCTGTTCCACCTCGGATCCATCTCCCTGCTAAAGGCCTTGGAAAGCAGCTGAAGATGTTCCACATCTTTGGGCTCCTGTGCCCATGTGGGAGATCTGGAAGAGATTTCTGGCTCTCAGCTTTGTATTGGCCCAGCTGTGGCCACTGTAGGTATTTGGGCAGTGAACCAGGGCAAGAAAAATCTGTCTCTCCTTTTATCTAAATCTGCCTTTCAAATAAAAATTAATAGTAAACATAAAATAATTTCATGGTGATCCTAAGTTAAGCATCTACTCTCAAAATAGTACATCTCATCCAAAGCTATCCCAAACAAGGGCCACTGCGAGAGGCTCTACTGTTCATGAGGAAAAAGGAAGCAGCAAAGAGAATGAAACATTTATAATGGGATCATTTCAACCAGCAGCAATCCAGGGACTGTCGTCTTCCTCAAGACTTACATTTCCTTGACAAAAGTGGCTTCAGGGTTGGGAAAGATGTTGCCCTCATTCCTGCCCAGTGCACTGCCTGGGCAATAGAAGTTAATTCGCAAGTAGGTATAATCTCCTTCCACGGACATACTTATGTTCTGTTCAAAGAAAGAAGAGCATCAAAAAATAAAACAGGTGTTTTTTTTTTTTTTTTTGCTAGACCGTCAGAGGGATTCAATCATTAAATCAGAAGCTACAAATGACCTTTATTCCTAAGAGTTTAGCTTGTAATTTTAATCTAAAACATACATACATACACCTAGTTTTCAATGTTCAAATGTCTGTTTTCCAAAAGAAAGTTTTCAAAGCATTTCATACCATTCACACAGCCACAGTTAACTAACAGTTTAGAGAAAGATAAGGAAATTATATCTGTAGACTAGTTTCCTATGAAGGTTGTAAGGGGAACGAGAGTGAAAGTAGGAGATGAAGAACAGGAGTAAGTAAGTTCATAGACTGAGACAGGTGCAGCGTGAAATAGCAGACTGAGACAGACGAGGCAAGCAATTTATGACAAATATTTTAACAGCCTGAATGAAATAGGATGCAGTTTTAGTACCTTGATTGTGGCAATATGGAAAGGTGTTGCAATGCCAAATACTGGCATTATTACAGTCTCATATTTCTTATCAATATAGATCTTCATTTCTCGAATATGTGGTTCCTTAGGCATCAAGGATGGGTTTTTATAAGACACATTAGATTTGCGAGCTCTGGAGTTAGATAAAAAAAAAAAAAAATATATATATATATATATATATATATATGAGAAGTTTCAGTAGTTACACATAATCTAATATAATCTCAGTGCAGTACCCAAAGTAAATTCTTACTTCTGAATCTGCTGCTCTCCTTTCTGTTCAGTCAATCTCCTTTTCGCTTCTTCATTGAGTTGAGCTGCCAGTTCTTTCTGATGTGCTCTTCGCTTCTCTTCAGCAGTCATCTCATTCTAGTAAAAGTCCAAGTGATCAGAACATGTACACCATGACAGACATAACATCAATGCAACTTAAAATTGTAAACTCACTCGGGTTCTCTCGGTAAGTAATGCTGCTCGAGAACCTCTTCCCAAAAGGTCCTCTGCTTCATCCTTCTCCTCTTCCTCTTCTTCCTCATCTTCATTCTAGGAAAAAAAAAAGTCACAACAATAATAAAATCAAGTTTAACTTACCTATTATATGAAAAGTTTTTCATACCAATTTATCATTTTCCTACCTTTAGAAAAATCCCCATATTTTTCACTTTCTTCTTAACAGATGTGAGAATAGTGGCTGGGCCATCCTAGGGAAAAAAGGGCATTGAGACATAAGTGAATTACCTAGTATGTACTGAGTAACATTCCGATTCTTCTGCAAACAAAAATCTTTGACAACAGATTTTTTTAATCCTCTAAGCCTCAAATTAGAAACCATTAAGTTAGGAAGCAACCAACTAGGCTGCAGCTCCCACTTGTTTATGTGAGGGCCAAGTATGTGCTGGGCAGAACCAGGCTGGACTGCAACACCCATTGGTTCCAGTGGAAGTCAGGAGTGAAAATAGAACCAACCCAGCAATTGCAACCACCAGCTGATTGGAGCGATGGACGGTGCCAGGCCCTGTACTTGTTAGCACATACAAGAAATTTCTTTGGAGATCATCCTAATCTAAATGCTGGACTCAGAAAAACTAACGAAGAAAAGACAGAAGACAGAACAGGGCAACCAACCATCTCAACTATGATGGACTATGTCAATCAGTGGATTTTTCAAAGACCTCATAGTGCTTGGAGAGGCAAGATTGACAGCGATTCATAACTGTGGCAATATCAAAACCACTTGAGCAAGAACCTCAGAGCATGCCCTACATCCGGGACCTGGGGAGGGTGGGAAATTGGGTGGGCCTTCTCCCTTAATACCCCCCTTTAAACATGAAGGTAACAATATGGAAAACATACTAGTATTATCCACTTTCCTGTAGCCCTTGAACCTTCTTACCCTAATTAACTATGTAAAGAATGTCAAAATAAATTTTATTAAAAAAAAAAAAAGTTAGGGAGCAATAATGAGGAAATGGGTTAATACTTCCCGATTTACTGAAGCTTGCCTTACTTTCTGGCTTTGTGACATTTGGCAGATTACCTAAACTGTGCTGTTGAGTTGCACATGGGGATAAGGACAACTCAATGTGGGCTGCGTGCGGTACATCAAATTAAGCTACCACTTGCAACCTAAGCAAACCATACCGAAATATCAACTGGCATGCCAACTACTCTGCTTCCAATCCAGCTTCCTGATGGTGCACATGAAAGGCAGGATAAGATGGTCCAAGAAATTTGGCCTACACATGAGAGACTAAGATGGAGGTCTTGTCTCTTGGATTCTGCATGGTCTAGAGTTGATCATTACAGTCATTTGGCGAGTGAACCAGAACAACCAAAACAAAAAAAGAAAAACCTGAAAGAGTACCTCATCAGGTTACAGTAAAGATAAAATGAGCTAATGCTCAGAAGTGGTTACCTTTTACTAGAAACTCAGAAATATTTACTAGTATTAAAAGTTTCTGCCAAGTGAAAGGAGTCAGAAATAAACAAACTATGTTTGAGTTCACATGAACTCTCCAAAATAAAGAAATCTTTTGTGAAGAAAAGTGGCTTCGTTATTGACTGTCCATGCCGGAAGAAGCTAGGGAAAGTAAGAAGACGGGGAGTGATGGTTAATGGACTCAGGATTGCTGAAGTTGTGAAAATGCCTTAACATTTTAGTGACAGTTTTCATAGTTGGAATATCCTAAAAAGCACTCAGTCATACAGGCTAAGTGGATAAACCATAGGACAATGCTGCACATTTTAATGCTATCATGGAAAAATATGAGAAATCAGTTCCACTAGGAGAAACAATTCCTTAACATTATCAAGGTTTGTTAAACAGGTTGGCTTTTATTTTTCTTTCTTTTTAAAAAAGATTTATTTATTTTTACTGGAAAGGCAGATCTACAAAAAGATCTAATCGTTGGTTCACTCTCCAAGTGGCTGCAGGTGTCATGGCTTTGGGGCATCTTCTGCTATTTTCCCAGGCTACAAGCAGGAAGATGGATGGGAAATAGAGCAGCTTGGAGACAAACCAGCACCCAAATGAAATGCTGGTGCTGGTGCTGGCGGTGGAGGATTAGCCAATTGAGACATTGCATCAGCCCCAACCACCTTGGTTTAAAACGGTCCCTATACAGTATTTTTATTGCAGCTGTACTAGGTCAATATGGATTTTCCCCCTTTGGTATTACTCAACAATATAATAAACAACTAAGGGTCAAAATGTGCCTCAAAGTCATGAACAGTCATGGTTTAAGAAGTCAAACATACCTCATCTACAAGTACTGTATCACCAATGAACAGTGCATAGGTTTTCTCTTCTGGTTTTTTCCCCTCCTTGTTAGTCAGTTCTGAGAATCCCAAATTGATGCTGAAAACCATTCCTAAAACCACAAAACAAAGATCAATTTGTAGCTGCAAAAGGATGGAGGGGGTAAAGAACTGCACAACAAAGGAGATGAAGCTAAAGGCAAATTATTTCCTACCTTTTTTCAGTTTGTACTGATTTTTACTATTGATTACTAGAGAACCTTCACGAAATTCAATTCCCATTCCAAATCTAAAATGGGACAAGAGGAAAAAGTGAGCAGCAGGATAAAAGATCTCTTTAAATAAGTCTTTTCATTGCAATTTTTAAAGATAATCAGCAAACATTCTACAGCAATTTGTATCCTGTTAGCAGTTAAAGACTCAAAGATATTCTTCAGCTTTTAATGTTATACAAATCTACTTTGAAAAATAACTTGTGTTAGGAGGATCCATTTAGCCCAGAGGTTTAAGACATTCCATTTTACACTGGAATATCTAGGTTCAATGTCTAGTCCTGCCTCCTAACTACATGTGCCTGTCACTGCATGTCAGTGGTGATAGCTCCTGGAACTGGATTCTGTTCCTGGCTCCCAGTTTTGGCTTTGATCCAGCCTCGTCTACTGCAGGCCCCAAGAGAATGAACCCATCCTGGGAACTTGCTCTGGCTCCAAAAAAAAAAAAAAAAGCTTTCTTACTTTAGCTTATGTAATCATGTTTAAATTTTTTTTCTTTCTAACAACTTGCGGACTCTGTTAGAAGTAATCCAGTCATACCTGGATCGAGAGGCAATTGTGGCAACCCAAATCCTAAAACTTGTTGTAACAAATTCCTTTTGGGCTGGTGTTGTGACTCAAAATCCTATTTTTTGTGTCCCAGATTTCCAATCTTTGGACCCTGTACCCACATGGGAGATGAGGAAGAAGCTCCTGGTCTCAGGTTGGCTTAGCTCCAGCCATTGTGGCCACTTGGGGAGTGAACCAGCACATGGAATATCTCTGCCTCTGCTTCTCTCTGTAAGTCTGAGTTCCCAATTAAAAAACAAAACAAAACAAAACAAAAACCCTGTTGTACATCAGAGAACCACCTAACGAGATTGCCTAGATTGTGCTCCCAGAATGTCTTGTTACATGACATTTGATTAAACATTCCTGGGTGTTCAATGGTGAAATATATTTGAGCAAAAGAGGATTACATAAAAAGTACAAGAAATGGATTTAAGGGCCAGCTCTGTGAAACAGTGAGTAAAGCTACTGCCTACAGTGCTCACATCCCACGAGGGCAGTAGTCCAGGTCCCAGCTACTCCACTTTCAATTACAGTTTCCTGCTACAGCTTTCTTTCATTCTTTGTTGTAACTCTGCTTTCAGTCAAAAATAAGTAAATCTTGAAAAATTTTCTCCTTATTTGAAAGGCAAAGTTATAGGAGAGCCAGAGAGAAGAAAGTCCCGTCAGTTTGTTTACTCTCTCAGTGGCTGCAACGGCAGAGATGTGCTGGTTTGAAACCAGAAACCAGAAGATTCTTCTATGCTGATGCAGGGGCATAGCAGTAGGGCTATTTTTTGCTGCTTTCTCCAGTGCAGTAGCAAGGAGCTGGACAGGAAGTGGAGCAGCCAGAATTCAAATTGCCTGGAATCACACGAGAGACTTAATCTGCCATGGTCCCTAGTCCAAATAAATAAATCTTAAAAAAAAAAAAAAAAAAAAAGCAAAGAAATTTATTAGGACATCTTAAAATACATAATTTGCAAATGTAAGCTGAGTTATATTGAGAGGAAATGCAACATGTAATTTTTCGTTAACACCTATAATTTGGCTGGAATAGTGCATTAGGCTATAAACAAATTTCTATCCCATATATCTGTAAGAACTTTAATCTTTCTCACTTTCCCTGACAGCATCATGTGCTGGGCAAATCGTTAAGTCTGAGTCTCCAAAAATGTTGTTTGAATCAATCAACAGGTCCCAGATTGGTCTCTGTCAGTCATGAACACTCAGTGACAATGCACATTACAGCATACCCAAGGTTTTTGGTAATTTTGTTCAGCAGCTCTGGTTTCTGCTTTTTAACCACATCCATGACGGCATTATACACATCACATATCTTCACACCTAACAAGATACAAAGGGTACGTTAAAGTATCTTTCAGAGGGAAATAAAAAAAGCTTTAACTGTTTTCCTCCATCAAGTGCTCTAAAGCTGTGTTTCTCAAAATAACAAGTTAGAAATGTAGTGCCAGGGATGATAGGAAGTAAAACTTTGCATTTCAGAAAGAGTATACCAGTCATTTCTAATTACAACTTGAGAATTAAAGAATCAGGGGGACTGCAGAATACTAGCTGGAATCAGTGAACCGATTTTAATGTTTGATAAACAAAATCATATTATTATACAATTTGAAAAATAGGCACCTGGGGCAGGCCTGTACCATTCAGTGATACATGGGTGAATTACTACCAGGAGGAATCTTATTGTTTTAGGTTTAGGCTATGAACGATGTAGCAAGATGAAGTATTTCAAATATGATAGCCTCAGGGGGTCTTTTCCCTTGTTAAATTAGCTATGGCTATGAATTCCAACTGGATATTTTAATCCTGACTTGAAGGAATAGCATCTGGACACCTTGCACAACATACACAGGCCTAAATTAAATTAAGAATTTAATTTTAATGTTGCTTATATAATTGAGAGGGAAGCACACCCATGAGGACCTCTGATTAGGGTGGGGAGGGCTGAGAGGAAGAGGAAGGCAGATGGACAAATGTTTGAATTTTTTTTTTCCTGTCTGTAGCAGGGGAGCAGGAGGGGGTCCTCTCTATTGTCAGACCACATCAAAATAGCTTAATGTTGTATTTGATCAACTGGAAGTATACCAGAGTCCAAGCAAGGAGGATTCAGGCATTTTGCTGTAAGGTAGTAATCTGCTTGCTTTTTAGGGATGGCACTTATTACATTTTTATACTAATGTTCATGGTAGCTACTTGTTTTACGATTAACACAGATGCTGTTGGTAGAGATAATAATTCTCAACCTCTTAAAACAAAAACAATAAAACAAAACCAAGACCTCTTATGAAGATTTGGACGAAGATTTGGAGAAAAATAAATCAGAACGGTTTCTGTAAATATAAATACCAAGGGAAACCACAGTGACCACTCATGTTTGAGAGAAAAGTAATTTGAAAAACTAAAATCTTAGATGCTTCAAGGTCAGTTTAGGATAACAGTTTCAGGGATACAAACTTACATACACACTAATGACATTTTTGTTACAAGATTTCCAAACCTTTTTTTCTAAGACACCTCACCATGTCTTAATTCCTTTAGCAGCTCCTCTTGAAGCTGGAGTAAAAAGTTGTAATTATCTTGAACTTCCTGAGAAGGGTCAACCATCAAGGTGCGAACAAGGTTGGAGCAGTAAGATTTGAAGCGAATACCCATGGCACAAGTGATGGCCCCAAAATGCATATGATTCTTGTCACTAGAGACAAAAGGAAAAAAAGTATCTCTTACCCAAAGTACCAAAGTCCTTGGTATCATCAGAACATAAAATTAATAATCAAAACTTTCATGGCCATATTCCCAAACTGTGGCTAAATAAAAATTCTGCTTTGATAAACAAACCAGCTTCCTGACAAAGTGCCTGGGAAGCCAGTGGATAAGGGTCCAAGCGCTTTGGCCCCCTCATCCTTAAGGGAGACCTGGATGGAGCTCCTGGCTCAGGCCTGACACAGTCCTGACTGTTGGAGTGAACCAGCAGGTGGAGGACCTGTTGGCCTCTCCCTTGAACCTCTTAAATTAATCAATATATATATATATGAAATGTAAAGAGCAAAAATGCAAAGAAAATACTTACCTTTTGGTTCTTTCTGAATCATGGGCTAACGTCCCTTCAGACTCACAAGAGCAATGCAATTCTTTGCACCTTTTGTTTCAAGGCAGTTACAGAGTGAAGGAGAAACAAAAAGAGCTATCCACTGGGTCATTCCCCAGTGTTGCATTGGTGGTGCCGGGCCTTAGAAGCCAGGAGTTTCTTCCAGTTTCCCACAGATGTAAGGACTTGAGCCATCCTGCTTTCCCAGGCCATAAGCAGGGAGCTGGATCAGAAGTGAACAACCAGGACTCACACCAATGCCCATATGTGAAACTGGCAGAAACATCCCATTATGCCATGGCACTGGTCTAAAGTCCTTTCCATCTCTTTCGTTTGTTTGAAAAGTAAAGGTGAGAAAGTGAAAGACAGAAAGAAAAACAGAGATTCTCCATTCACTGATTCCTTTTGAGAAAGGCCACAAGAGTCATGTTGGGCCAGGCCAAAGCCAGAAGCCAAGAATTTCATCTCAGTCTCCAATGTGGGTGCAGGAGCCTCCCTACTTAGGCCACCATCTGATGCTTTCCCAGGCACATTAGTAGGGGTCTGGATCGACAGCAAAGCAGCTGAGATTCCTGGTGCCCATATGGGATGTCAGTGTGGAAGGCAGGAGCTTTACCTGCTATGCCACAAATGCTGGTCCCACTTCTGCACAAAACTTCTTTTAAAAGCTTAAATATCAAATTACATTATGGTATGTAACAATATTTTCTTCCAGAATTTTTAATAATCTGCACCAATGCTTAAGACCAGGTGCTAAAGTATGTGAAATAAGACACATGGACAGAATAAGCTAAGAAAATACTTAAGGCTCAGTATCCCTTCTTTTTCTATTCTCAATTTTAGAGTAAGTCAAAGCCAAAAAAAAAAAAAAAAAAAAGTAAAATGCCAACATGCTTCGGCTGAAGTTCTCATCCTTACCTCACCACACTAAATTTGAGATTATAGTTGCCACCACTCTGAATAATGGGAGGGTAACACATTTCCACAGTAGAAGGATCTGCCCCAGCCAGATATTTTTTCTCTTCAATGGCCTTTTCCACAGACTCAGCCAATTTGCTGTGTCGAACTTTCTGCAAGAACATCCAGAAATAACAAATATCATACACATTGGCTTATGCAGCAGATATTACATTATATGTGTGGAAGGCATATGTGGAGTACATTATGTGGAATTCACAGTGATTCCAACAATTCTCAAGTAAAATGATGGGTAACCTAATGAAATCTTACAACAAGTTGCTACTTATTGTGAAAGAGATAACACAACCAGCACCTCTGATCTGTAACTTAGTCAAAGCCTAATTTCAACTGTGCAAAGTAGGGACTTGCAATTACATCGTTAAGACAATAAAAAAGACTTTTCCCCTCTTCATTTACCTCATCTGCATCAACTATTTCCATGACTCTTTCTTTGAAGAATTTGTTGAAGACTTCTGAGGTGATGCTGGCTGCTTTCTTCATGAGGTTGAGCTCCCCATCCTCCTTGACAGCGATAGTATATGCCACAACTGCACTGATATCTACCTGCAGTAAAGGGGGCAAGTCTCTTATGTATAAACACACAACGGTTAAAGAAACGCACTTCTCCCCAACAGGAATGGTAATGGTATTTGGATACTTAGCAAAAATGTTCTTCAGTAGTTTGCAGGGAGTTAAATACTATTTTTGCCAGGTTACTGACATTAAGCTAATGTACTACCTAAAATACATAAAAAATTTCTTACTCTAGAGGTTTTCATTCTCTTAAAGATCAAAAAGAGAAGCAGGGAGGTAGGGAAAAAGAGAAACAAAGACATTTTTAGACCAATCGCCTGAACCCCCAGTCTACAACTATGAAACAGCTGAACCATCTCTTCAATGCCCCACTTCTAAACCGAAATGGACTACTGGCACAAGGCTCAAAGGGAATGAAAAACAGAAATGTAAATTAACACTCTCCCCAAAACAAATGTCCTACACTCTCTGTTATGGAAACCTGTGACACTTTTATCTTCTTAACTACGACTTCGGTCCATTAGAACTCTTACTTTGTCAAAACCCTCTTTGTTCAGGCAGTCATTCCAGCTTTTCATGAACTCTCCAGGGAATTTGTCTTTGCTGAACACTCCAATCTTCTTGCCATTCTTGCTTTCTTTAATGGCTTCTATCATTTTGTCAAAGCTGCTCTTATTACTTTCATTCTATAAGTCAAGGGAAGGAAAGGATTATGTTAGCTTCAGAACTTGACAGCCACATTCTAACTAGAAGCAAGCAGAGAGGAACATTCTAAGCCATGGAACAAATAAGTCCTCCTCAAATAGCTGCAGAATACTTGGCCCCGTACCCTTGTGAGAGCCTTGGAAGAAACTTCTGACTCTTGGATTCAGACAGGCCTAGCTCTTTTTGTGGCCATTTGGGGAATGAACCAGCAGATTTCAATGGTAGATGAGTCCAATGATTAAAAACTGTATTTGACAAGGTATATCTAAGGTTCCTTAAGGATATGTAATGTTATTTGTTCTAACTAAGGTAATCGGATGAAAGCTAGTATCTTTGAGAATGAAGAGCTAGTGTTCACCAGAAGTCCACAGCCTGTTTTGCTGCAGAACTGACAGGGTGGTCAAATTATTCTTAACAATGAGGACAAGGCAGAACTTTGTAATGACAACCATCATACTGTTTTACTCTTGCATTCTTTTAAAATTCCTTGACTGCAGTTCTAGTCATCATTTTCAAACATTCTTTTACATGTATGACACATTCCTCATTAGTTCTGACCTTTTCTCGAATTAGCAGAGTGATGGCAGGGGCTCCATTAGCATTTTCATTGCCTTTAGTGTTGGCAATCTGTTTCAAAAACTCCACTTTTTTCTTGCTGGCCATAAAGATGATTTTGTCATCACAGAAGACCATGATGGTATCAGTTAGTTCATAACCAAAAAGCCATGTCTATGGGAAAAGACAACAGCATTTACAATTTAACAAAAACAAAAATCTACCACCAACACAAACAATAAAACACAAATGAGCTCTTATGAAACAAAATACTTGGGATTAACTTCAAAATAGAGCTTCCATGTGGATACAGAGGCAATGAGTTAGGTCAGTGATTTGACTATTTAAACTGGACAGTGACACCTGATGATTCAATTTACTATCTTTTAAAATATATATATATACTCAAAATATCCAATAATCTGGACAATGTTTTTATATGAACTTCATAATTTACGTGGGACAAAATTGCATAAAGTAAAAGACAGAACGGTCCCTCAGGGGGTTGTACTTTCTATCTCTTCCAAGCTTCTTGGTTGCCTGCCAATTGTGCACTTCTCTCAGGAAGACTTGGGATTTTTAATTATGTGTGCTGCCTAATGATAAGGTCTCTATTTCTCATCCTTTCTTGTAGCAAATTATGACCAGAGTGTAACCCTGGCCAGTCAGTTAAAAGCGAGGTATTTTCTTTTTAACAAAGGCAGAGAGGTGTTACGTTTCCTTCCCTTTCCCTTCTCCTTGTGCTTGGAATGCAGCCACTTGCACTATAAACACAAGGGTTCTCTTTTGCAGCTAAGCAGAGATGTAGATAAAGCCTGCATCCCTGAAGATTACACAAAGCAAATATTTTGGTTAACCTGTCGTTTAGGTTTTTCTGTTATGTGCAATTCAGTTTTTGGTAATTTACACACTTTTTTCCCCTTATGTTCCAAATTAGCACTAAATCCAACTGTACTTTATACATGATGAAAATACTTCTAACTGCTCTATCCACGAATGTAGCCGTTAAATACCTGAAATACATCTGATAAAATGGAAAATTGAATAGTGCAGTAAGTGACCTTAAGGGGTGAACACTGCTATAAACCTCTCACCTGCAAGGCAGTTGACTTGGCGTAAACAATTTCTTCGTCAACACCCACAGATACAACAATGGCATCAACATTGGCATACTCATCTTCTCCTTTCTGAAAACATTGGAAAATTTAGTGACATTATCACACTAGCAAAAATAGCATACAGACTTAAATTTGATTCAGGACATTTGTAATTTTTTCCTAACCGAAATTCTTAGTTTAAGGTACCTGCTTACAATACTTCTTAAACAGTTTTGAGACACAATTCACCCAGTATAAAGCATGCAAGAAAATAGTTTACCTCATTGAGCTATGCTCTCACTATTATTAATTTTGCAATATTTTTACCTCCTCCAAAAGAAAACTACGCTAACCTGTAATCATTTACCTCCCAGTTTCTTCCCCAGTTCTATGCCACTGATCATATGCTTTATCTCTACAATCTGCCTACTCCAAACATTTCATACAAACACCATTAGAACATGCAAGCTTTGCATCTGCTCTTATTTAACATGTTTTTAAGGTACAACCGTATTGCAGCATGTACAATTTTCTTTAATTCTCAAATTAATTCATTGAGCACACACATCATATTTTATTTATCCATTCATCAGTTGCTAGATTTTTGGCTCCCTCACCCCACTTTTTTAATGATGCTGTGAACATTCGTGGACAAGTTTTTGTGTGCATATATTTCCCCTGGGCAAATATCTAGGGAGGAATTGCCAGGTCTCATATAACTAACTCCACATTTGATTTTTATGAGGAACTATTAGAATGTTTTGCATAACCCTACCACTTTTCATTCCTAATAATAATATATAAAGGTCTAAAATTAACTAATCAATATTCACATGCTTGTTGACAATATTAGCAACAGCCAATGGGGAATTAGTATTCCACTGCTGTTTTTATTTTCAGATGCTTTGTCAATCTCATAGAATTATAAGTTTATTTATTTGAGAGGGACAGCTCCCCCAATAGGCTAGGCCAAAGACAGGCACATAATCCAGATCTTCCATCAGGTTGCAAGGTGTACTTGAGGTATTACTGTTGTTTCTTACTTCCTGCCACAGCAGGAAGCTCTATCCAGGAACCAGAGCCAATTATTGAACCCAACTACTCCAATATAGGACTCAGGAACCTTAAGCACTAGGTTAAATGACTGCCTTGTAATGGGTTTTATATTCTAGATATAGGTCCCTTATCAAATCTGATTGGTAAGCATATTCTTCTTTTCTGTATGTTCTTTTCATTTCCTTCGCAATGTACTTTGGAACACAAAAAATTATCGTGGGAAATTTCATTTTAAAAGATTTTTATTTATTTGAGAGACAGAGTGACAGACAAGGTATCTTCCATCTGCTGGTTCACCCCTCAAATGGCTGTAACAGCTGGAGCTGGGTCAGGCCAAAGCCAAGAGCCAGAAACTCAGTCCAGGTCTCTGAAGTGTTGCCAAGGATCAAAATACTAGAGCCATGACCTACCGCTTTCCAGTGTCTGCACTTACAGGAAGCCAGAAATGGAAGCCGGATGGAATCCCAGGTATTCTGAAATGGGGTGCAGGGTGTCAACTGGCTGTCTTAAATGTTCAGCCAAATCTGCCCTTCTTGGACTTTTAATCCTTGACTGCACACTTCGTGTGATTATTTACTCTGTATTCTGGTCTCCTTGATCTTTCATGTTCCTGAGCTCTAAGAAGTCACCGGCTCCCCGGTTCAGATTAGCCCAGTTCTGGCTGCTGAGACCATTTAGGGAGTGAACCAGTAGAGGCAGGATATCTCTCCTTTTCCCTCTTTGTAAGTCTGAATTTAAAGTAAAATAAAGAAAGAAAATATTTGGCACTAGTTTTTAACATCTGCTACAACTTAATAACACTACTGTGCTGATGTTACCTTTACTTTTTATTTTTCAGAAGTAATAACGATTTTTCTTTTATGTGACATAAAGTATCATTTCTAAGTTTATGTTTAAAGAGGTCAGGGGCTGATGCTGTGGTGCCACAGCCTGCAGAGCCAGCATCTCTTCTGGGTACCTCAAGTCCTAGCTGCTCCACTCCCACTGAAAAAACAGTAATGAAAGAATGGAGGGCTAAAGGACAAGCACAGTTGGGGTGGGGGTGGGGGGCAGCACTGCAGCACTTAAGTGACTGACAAGCTGACAAGTACTCACTGGGAAGACAGCGATGACACACATCTGTATCTGGTACAGCTGCAGTGGGCTCAGGATTCAACAGGCACCAAGGACCAGGGAAAGGGAACGAGATTCTATGCATGGAAAGTTCAGGACTGAAAACAAGGTCTGGTGGTCACCAAGCTTAAGAGCTGTATCCCCAGTTCTCAGAAGTCAATCCCATAATTCTGCTGTGAAGGCGCCTAATCTTTGAAAATACCTTTAAGAAATGAGCCCAGAAAGAGTCCAGACTGACATCAGGCTCAGTAGAAGGCGGGTACTTACAAATGGGGAATTAAAGTCTACATTCTGGATGACAGTAACTGGGAACAAAAACCAGAAAAAGCATTCCAGGATTTTTCTTCGACATCTGGCTAAATAGGCCAGCCCATACACACTTCAGTGACCAGAGAGAGGTCCTATTTGTGCAGACCTTCTCATTAGCTTCCCACTGCCTTATTCTTAATATAATGGAGAGCTGGTCTCATCTTGACTCATGAAAATTCTCCAACACATAAGAAAGTTGACAAACCCAAAGGAACTGACAATGCAGAGGACAGAAAACTTGAAGTCTCTAACCTCACTCATCTCACTGCTCCCAGTAAGAGCCAGGTATTCTGAGAAAATACCTCAGCAGGGGATTTCATTGTAGGAATATTACAGATGTAACTTATACCACCCAAGCACTCCACCTGTGGTCCTGACACAAAATGGAGACAGACAGGGCAAGCATGTGAGTTTCCCAGTCAGGTAAATGTTATAAATTCTACATTCTGTACTGACTTGTACAAGTATACTTTTATATGACTGGCAGTACGGATTTCACACCAGTATTACCACACATCAGAAATGCATTTCACTACTATGGACACATTGCTTCCAGGTGCTGGAATGTTCAGCTCCACTGTTATGTTACAGGACTGCATTCTATAAAAAGTCTGTCACTGACAGACACTCCCACGATGTGGCACATAACTATAGTACATCCATGATACAAGGAGATGACAAGAACTATTAGATATAAAAAATGATAGCTTAAGTGAAAAATGTTCTATAGTAGGAAAATTAAGAAACAGTCCCTGGAGGAAAGGTGGAAGAAAGAGGAGGGAATATTCACTATGTACTCAGAACTGTATCTATAAAAAACAATGTTAGAAGAATACTAATTAAAACAATTTTTTTTAAGTCTCAGGAAGCAGAATATTAAAAAGATGGGAAATAAAATGATAAACAGACTAAACTGGTTTTAACAATACCTCATAGCAGTTTTAGAAGAGGAGGGAAGAAATTAAGACAGGCAGCACTGAAGAAATGGGGAAAAGAAAATGCCCCACAAGATTTCAGAGATTGGCCCTGTGGTGTAGCGGTGGTATAGGTTGCCATTGCTCCACTTCCCATCTAGCTTCCCTGCAGATGTGTCTGGGAAAACAGCCAAGTCCTTGTCCCCTATGCCCATGTGGGAGAACTGAGGAAGCTCGTGGCTGATGGTTTTGGCCTGGCCCACTCCTGCAATCATTTGGGGAGTGAACCAGAAGAAGGAACATTTGTGTGTGTGTGTTATTTTTCAAGTAAATAAGCATTCCAAAATAAAACAGAAAGATCTCAGCACTGAAGGATGAGCCTCTGAGACTAAACTTCCCACCCCCTTTGCTGCTGTTCTCAAGTAGTATGAGGGGAGAAAAAAGGCAGCGCACACTAAGGCACAAGACTGCAAAACTCCTAAATATAGACTCACATCAGACACCCATTGTTTATTTGAGAAAATGATTTCCAACCTAGAATTTTATAGCTATTGATCTATATTATTAATAATGATTAGCAACTATTTTAAAAAGATACACAAGGACTAAAAAAAAAAGCAAAACAATATTCTATGCTTTCTTGCTTAAGAAACTTAGAAAAAATGCTCTAAACAAAGAACAAACATGGACTCTAGAACACAGGAGACCCAACAGTGGAAAATCTCATGTTAACAGGCCTGGAGAGCAAACTCTACAGAGTAGGATAATGGGAAGGGCCAGGGCTGGAACCTTAAAACAACAAAAGTACCTAGTAAAACACTATGATTGCAAAAATGCCAGAAAAATTGGTAAGATCAAGACAGACCAGTTGGGGAAAACTAAGACTAAGGAATTTATTTATTTATTTATTTGAAAGGCAGAATTACAGAGAGAAAGAAAAGTAGAAACAGATGTCTTCCATCTGTTGGTTCACTCCCCAAATGGCCAAAGGCCAGAGATGAGCTGGTCTGAAGCCACGAACATCTTCTGGTTCTCCCATATGAATGCAGGGGCCCAAATGCTTGGCCTTTTCTGCTGCTTTCTCAGCAGGGAGTTGGATCAGAAGTGGAGCAGACGAGACATCAATCAGTACCCATATGGGATGGCAGATCTTGCAGGTGGTGGCTTTACCTGCTATGCCACAGCGCTGGCCCCAAGGCAGAATTTTTAAAAAGAAGAAAACAAAGAGGCAATTAATGCCAGGAAAAATGTAAAACTATAAAGAAAAGTGTTACTTTATTCTCCCAGCAATGAAGATATTTAAATAAGCATACAATATGAATAACAACTGATTTTTCTAAAAACTGTAAAACAAAAAACCCAACTTACTAGTCTCTGGAGTAAATGCCTTATGTTTTAAGGCTTTTCTTAGAATTAAGAATTAAATTCTACTTTAAAGAATAAAGCATTTCTGATTCTAATTAGGGCATTCATAATTTCCTCTAAATTGAGGCTATTTTTAAGACTAAAGGAGAATGACAACAACTGCCTAAGGATAACAGGTAAACAACTGCAGAAATGACTTACAGTCACTTTTTAGAGGCAGTAAGAGATGCAAGAACTGCTCTACACCAGAAACAGTCAGGATCAGGGATCAAAATTAAATACACAAAGTATGAAACCAGGCTTCAAAAGCCAAGAAGAGCAGGAATTACAACATCCCAGAATGGACATTCATTTCCATCTAATGAGTCCTGCTCTGTACTCAAGAGAGGACAGCATTTCTATTGTAAAGATGAAGAGCTGGAAAGAATTTTGATGGGTGGAAGTAATCTATCATCTTGCTGGACTTACAGTAACATGGAAATTGTCTGTATTACAACAACAGATTCGTAATCAGAGAAGATAGCTGCTTACTCAGACAACCACCCAGAACAAGCAACCAAGTCACCACACCAGTCAGCTAGGGCTCAGAGGGCACCTTCAAAAGCAGCATGGAGCATAAGCACAGCTTACCCGTTTTCTTCAATGGCACAAACCTTCTTTTGGGGGTCACAGTCACCCACATTCCCAATCCAGGTAACTGACAGAACTGCATGAATGAACGCATCCGATCAATATTTTTTGAAAGCAGCTGCTTTTCTGACATTTTATGGAATTCTTCAAGATAAAAGGCACATGAATGAAGATTCCCTCAGAGCAGAAGGCCCTGACGCTAAGTCTCAATCAGCAGGTGTGCCTGAGGACTGCAAGGACTCCTCAAAGCAGGTGGTGCCTCAGGAGGGTCTCATCTGTCTTCTTTGCCACAGAACTGTTTTACTCATCTTAGTTAAAAATAATCAAAATCAAGAAAACATTGGGAATCTCTGAACAAGATCAACTGGACAGGATATCCACAGTTCACATCCAGAATCCAGCACTACCACCTGGAATTTTCTAAGCAGAAAGTGGTAGGCTCTGTTAAAAACTACTAAGCTTTTAGCAGCTCTGACACAGTAACAGGCAAACTGGTATGGGACTAGTTGCAAGGGCTCAAGAAAAGTCATCCAACAGTAGCCACTAAACAGGCCTCCTGTTTAATTGTCAACCAAATCCCCTTTTCACCAGTAAATGGTAAGCTCTCTGTAGCCAGGGTTTAATTTTCAAGGATTCAACTAATCATACAATAAAAATATGTAAGGGGGAAAGAAAACTGCTTTTGTATCAAAAATGGACATTTTTTAAAAAATGCTATCACTCCCTAAACAACATAGAACTATTTGCAGTTATTGTGTTAAGTACTGTGAAGTTCCTACAGATGATTTAGAGCATACAGGATAATATTCACATAGTATATGAAAATAGCACTGTATTTTACATAAGGATCTGGAGAATACTAAGACTTTCGCATCGGTGAAGAGGTCCTGGAAAGAAGTCCCCATGACACTGAAGGACAGCTGAATTTATTCAGAGAAGGATAAATGGTTTTGATGTTTTTCCTCAGTTAAAATATGTGACACTGTAATTGTTTTAGGACATAAGTCATAAAAACTTAAGAAAAATATTTGCAGTAACCCCAACATGAAATAATCTGAGGAATGCCGAATCACTAGAACTAGAGCAACTCCCATATCAGCAGTGTAGACTTTCAGGGCTGACAGGTAGAAGGCTTCTAATTATTACCATGTGCCACTACTTATAAAATACTGAGGCTTTAGGAAGGTTTTTGTAACAGATAATGCCCAATTACAAAATATATTTGAGATTTTTGCTCGTCATAAAATGCAGCAGCGAACCTATTTTATTTTCAATCATCTCAGGCATTTACCCTCAGTAGACGAAGCTTGCACTTCTATACTGAATATAAAAGGCAAAGAGATAATCCATTTGAACAGCTTTCTTCTAGTAAAGGGTAAATAGGACATAATTGGAAATGTTGCAATAGAATTGATCAGAGTGGTTTTCAGGTGTTTAATGCAACTTTCTTCTCTGGTTGACAGTTCTGAGGTTAAGACTTAAGAAGGCCTGATTAGGCCTTGCACAGAATGCAATCAGACGTTCACTAATGAACACTATAAACATTAAGTGTTAACTGTGAGCATTCTAAAAGCAGTAAAACTGCCGAATCTTCAGAAGATGGGAGACCCGGCTACAGTTTTTTCTGAACACGTGCCTCGGATACTCTACCAATAAGAAAAGAACGAATAAATGACTGGGGTTAGGCATCACAACGTTTTTTCACACTGCTGATGCCTGCAGGTTTCCCACGATAGATGTTACCGACGGCAGGGCCTAGCACATGAGGCCGCTGCGCGTGAGCAGTTATTTCAACTCCAGCCAAAGGCCCTCACACGGTCCACGCCAAGAACGCGATCCGCATCCTCCGCGCCCCTCCATCCTTCCACCAACGCGGTTCTAATTCTGGCGGGACCTGGGGCGGAAGGCTGTGGCTCCGGCCGGTCGGGGCCGCGGGAGATGGGAGGGCGGGAAGAGGCGGATCTGCAGGACCGGGGCTGGCACGCGGGGAAGATGGAGGTGGCCCCGGGCAGGACGCCTGTGGGGCTCAGGCCGCGCTCGCAGCCGCCGGCAGCCAAAGCCTCAGGGGCAGCGAACGGGGCGCGACCCCGACCCTGGGAACTCCTGAACCAAAAGGGAAAAAAGGCGCCGAGAAGCAGGGCCATTATGGGATGGCTGAGTGGGGCTCCCAAGGGAAAAAGACGGGTCCTGCCTTACCCGCCAATTGCTGTACAGTCTCTTCACCCGCCGATAATAGGCGTCTTTGTCCAGAGTTACAGCCATAGCCCCGGACACCGCTTCTCCGCGGGCTCCGACAATCACGCGAGGTCCCGGCTCCACCAACCGCTCTCGGGCCCGGAATCCCGCACTCTTCCAGTGACCCGGAAATATCGACCTCAAAGATGCCCTTTCCGCTTCCGGGTCTTGAGAGAGTGGTATTTTGTTTGTGTTTTTTTTTTTTCCTGTATTACTTTTTTTCTTAAAATTCTCTCCAGAGGATCGGGGCAGTCGGACGGAATGAACAATACTGGGAAATCAGCAAAACGTGCAACGCACAGGAGAGTCGGTTTTCGCGGGGTTTCTGGTCCAGTTCGCCCGAGCGCAGGCGACGGGCGTCATCACGTGGCGCGGCGGTGCCGCCCCTACTGCCCCGGGGCGGCGCGGGCTGTGACGCGCTGGTCCCGCCCCGCAGGGAGCGCCGCGCGCGGCCGCGCAGGCCACACCCCGTCGGCGCCGGCGGGGAAGCGGGAAACGCGGGGTGGACCCGGGAGCGCAGGGGCAAGACGGCCGCGTCCTGAGACGGGAGCCCGGGCCGGCCTGGGCGAGGACGCCGGCGTCTGCACGGCCTTGGGGCGGTTCAGATCCTCTAACCTAGGTCAGGTGCCCCGGAGCGAGCTAGCCAAGGGGCAGGACACAGCCAGGGGAGATGAAAGGATCAGGCTTCCTCCTGGAGCCATAGTGATAAGAAGGTGAGATGTAATAGTGGCTTGCAGGGGTGGGGGGCGGGAGGCTCCACAAACCTTGGTAGTTTCTCCCCATAACCGTGACCCCGAGTCCTGGCAGCGTCCTTTCAGCCGGTCTCTCCTCACTGCAGAAGTAACATTTTTCTACAGCTTCCCCCAAAAAGCAGTTATTTGAGGGCATTAGAAATAAAATGCGCTTGATTCTGGACAAAAAATTTTGCATTCTCTAGTTTTCTAAGAACATGGGAGTTTAGAAACACTTTACCTTTCATCTCAACTCATACCGTTATGTTTAGCAAGCTGGACATCTATATATATACCTTTTAGCAAATCAAATTAATTTTCAATTCTAAGGGAATTTGGTATGAACAAAGCTGAACTTTCAGAAAGTGGTGCTGAAATTCTCCATCATAAACATCATCTCTTACAATCTACTTACGTTGGGTTCAAGCAAATATATACGAGGGAGAGTGGAAAAGGATTAACTTAAATTTATTAATGCCAAGGGGAAGGAAGGGAACAGCTCCTGGGCCTCCAGCTGTGTCCACAGTTCGGCCAGGAACGGCTCTGCCGGAGACTAGGGCCAGCGCTACATAGTCTGTGGTTAATGGAGGCGACTCGGGAGGGGTGAGCGCACCAGCAGCTCTCGGCTCCTTGCCTTCCCCACAAACGAGGAAGTGGTCATGTATTATTTTAGGAGTTCCCCTGCCCACCCAATCCTCTCAAAATCGGGAGCAATCAGGTACAAGTTGGTTTGTTTTTTCCCTTTCCACCTCCTGGAGTCCTGGGTCTCCCCACATCTCCCCTGCCCTCCCATTTTTTTTTTTTTCATAGTCCAAGGGCCAGAGTAAATGAAAATACAGCAGCCACCCAAGCAATGGGGACCAGGCTGAGGCTTCAGTCGTCAGCATCTTCACTGGAGTCTGAGTTGGCTGGCATCATAGGATCATCAATGAGTGAGAAGTCCCTTTCTGAGCTATCGTAGCCCTGAGATAAGTCGTCATCCTCTTCATCCTCCTCCTCTTCATCCTCCTCCTCCGGCTGCAGGGGTGGCAACCGCAAGGCAGTACCAGAGGTGGTAGTCGCTGGTGAAGAGGGGTAGCCAGTGGCTCTCAAGCCTGGATGGTGATGGTGGTGATGGTGGGGGTGGGGGTGGTGGTGGTGGTGATGAAGCATGGTGTTGGAGTCTACATGAGGGGATGATGCTGCACCGCCCATCACAAATGGCATAAAAGGCAAAGAAGCAGAAGTGGCACTGCTGTGACCCAGAGATGACACAGACGGTAGGCCACCAGTGCCGTGCTGGAACGTGTTATGCAGAGGTAAGGACCCAGTGCTTCCTCCCTGCATCAGGGCCATCATCTTAGAAAGGTCTGGTCGCATCCTGCGGGTCCGCTTCTTGCTGCTCTCTGGGGTAACCGGCCCTGGCAAAACCCGGTTGAACACAGTTTCAGCATGGTGACCCTGGAAGGTAGAGACAGAAGACAGTGAAAAGGAAGGAGGGGTGCAGTGGGAAGAGAAACACAGAAGCTAACTGAGCCCAAGTTGATAAATGCTTTTTCACTGAATCTGCCCTAAATGAGGTGAAACAAGTATTGTGGGAGTAGGCTTTGGACAGTGGAAAGAGGGGAAGAGAAAATGCTGGCAGAAGCATTGTAATACTCAAGCTAAGATTAAGGATTTGATGCTGACATATGAACAGAGTCTTTGGCATTTCCCCCAAGGAACCATATTATACCTTTACTCTAGCCAACCATTTCAAATGTGCTTACCTTTGCTAATAAGGGGTCTAAGTAAGAGTGAATGAGACAGTATATGCACACTCAAGTGTCTCCTGATACAGACTGTTCACATGGTCTTAATGTGTGAGATGCAGTACAACTACATTGACAGAGTACTATCCGCAAGCATCACCTTCGAGAAGGACACATTCAACACAGTCAGATGGAGACTTTGGATACCCACAACATGAAAAAGATAGCTAGCTGCTCACCAAACTATCTGTTGAATTCTAAATGGCTGCTTCTGGATGTTCTGACTGTAAATTTTGATTAAGTTCAGCTGCAGCTGGAGATGATTCCTTTCAGTGCCTCTGCTTTGGTACTGGCCTGAGCACAATGTGGGGTAAACCGGGATTAAATGCAGATACCAACTGGTACCTGTATCTCGGCACTCTATTTCCCAATCTAAGCCTAACATCTGACATGGGAACACACCTTTAGAAACTAGAAGAACAAACATCCTTTTCTTGGTATAGTTCCTTTTCAATTTAGCTACAATGGCACCTAAACTCCTATTGGTCTTAGTAATAACAAATCTATATTAACTGTTAATTCTACATTAGGAATTCTGTATTATTCATATTATCATTTCCTGTGATTTCCTATGATTTATCCTTTTTAAAGTGATCAACTGAACTTATAAGGGAGTAGCAAAAATACCAGAGATAACAATAGGCAATACTGCAGAAAATCTTTTTTATAGACAGAAAGTTAAGACAGAAATGGAACTGTCCTTTGGCTGCCAGCCTTTCCCACACTGAACATTCTGCTTATTTTACTCTTGGTTCCACGAAGGCCAAGAGTGCAAAGTAAAACATACTACCAGAGTAACACTTTTACCCATATAGAAACAATAATCCTCAAAATCTCATGCCATTAGAATCTCAGCCATAAAAAAAATTATTCACCTGAACTTAATTTTATTAAAAGATCCACAATGTGATTCATAAAAAAATCAAATACACAATGATTAAAGCAAGTACACAAAGCTATAACCATTTTAAACAGCTGCTAGCAAGCCAAGGGATGAACTGTTTTCAAAATACTTGTATTGCACTGAAAAGGCCATTATACTTGAAGGAATGCTTTGTTAAATTTTGGTAGAAAGAAAAAAATTGCCAACTATACAAAGTGGTCTATATTCATGATAAAAGCATAAGGAACTTGGGAATTTTGAATGAACCAATGAACAAAACTCTTTGAGTGTTGGGAAACCCCACAATTCCCTCAGGAGAACCTCTACATTATTTCTGAAATATATTAAGGAAACCTCAAACAGTTCATGGCAAATTAGAGTTATCTTTTGTCCCTAAATGGCTGCAATGGTCAGAACTAACTACATGAAGCCAGCAGCCAGAAGCCTCTTCTGGGTCTCCCACATGAATGTAGAGTCCCAAGGCTTTGGGCCAATCTCGACTGCTTTCCCAGGCTACAAGCAGGGAGCCAGATGGAAGTGGTACCCATATGGGATGCTGATGTGTGTAGGCTGAGGATTAGCCAGTTGGACTGTTGCACTGGCCCCCATGATATCTTTCAATTTATCCACCAATTTTCTGAAGGCTCCTCATATAGGATTATAAAACTTTTAAGAGATTACCTACTTTAAAATCCTCACTTTTCAAGAAGTGCAAATTTAAGAAGTTAAAGAATTTGCCCCAAATCCCTTAGTTGCTATAAAAACAGCTAATTCTTATTTTATGCTTAAAGTGCTAAAATTTATTTTTAGAATTTTATGCTTATTGAGATAACGACAGCACTAGATTGCAAGAATGCCAGTAAATATACTGTTTTCCTTACTGAATTTAAGAGAATTTTTCTCAGAATTGGTTGCTTTATAATTTAATGTCACTTTACTATATATATATGTGTGTGTGTGTGTGTATAATGTATAATTTCATGGTTGCTTTATAACATAATGGTTGAAAACATTATAATACCACAGCCACTGTGGGCAGAGTGGTAATGCTCATCTCACCTTTTTGCCATTCCTAGAGTTAGCTGTCTGGACTGGTTCCATTCCCAAACAATTCAAGTCAGCCTTATTATTTTTTTTACATCTCTGCCATTTCTGTTTTCTGCGATCCTCCATGTACTGGAATAGAAAACTATGGGTTATCCTAGAGGAACAGAAATATTCTCTGAAGTAAATAAATTCTAGAAATTAACTATTAGTATCTTATTTAACAAACAAATGGTTATCACAGGTAAAGGTTTGGTCCTAGTAGAAAACTGCCATTAAATGAATCTCTTTTTAAAAAATTAGGCGATTCACATACTAGTTTTATAGTAAATATCAGCTTAGCACTTAGTGCTTTGACATTGTTTCATTTTAATCTTCATAATTATTCTACGAGGCAGGAAGACCAAGTATTATTACCCTTATCTTGCAGATGTAAAAACAAAGATATAAAACGGCATGCTTTCCCTCTCACACAGCTTAAATACCAAGGGAATTACTGTAAGTCTTGCTCGATGGAACTGCCACTCACCGCTAGAAATCGGGGATCAACAGCAAACTCTGGATGACCCTGTAACCACATCTCCAGTTCAGCCCGGCGAGGGGCATCCTCACCCACCAGCAAAGTACCATCCACCTTATTGATGACAGGGATCCGGGTCTCCAGGTCCACATCAAGGTGATTAGGCTCTTCCATGCATTCCACCTCCAGCTGCAAACCCAGAATCCACCCCCATGAGCACATACTCTTCAGGGAAGGGGAAGGAGGGGGAACAGAGCCAATGGTAGTCAAGCGATAATGCCCTCCAGTCCCTCAATCCCAACTGCCTTCAGCAATTACTGGGAACAGTTAAGAGCGTATCTAGTCATCATGCTTCTTCATCACTTACTTCCATTAGCTTCTTTCTGTTCCCCTTCTTCTTGTGAAACAGCGGATGTCCATCTCCGATGACTCCATTAGCCATCAACTTGTGCTTCTGGAATGTTAACTTCAATCCTTCCTCCTAGGAAACAACCCGCCCACCCAAGACATGATATGGCATAAGCTTTTAAAAGTAAAGATTTACACTTTAGGGGATTTGGACTTAGGGTCATTCTCTGGCTCAGTGAGGGTGAGAAAGCAGAACAATCTGATTAAAGCTGAAAAAAAAAAAAAAGAAAAATACACCTTATGTACTTTTTTCTTAGAAAGATCTCATTTCTGGAAGCTAGTGCCCCTCAGGTAGACTAACGAGAAGTATAGTTTACTTCAATAGCACCCAGGCAGGGTAAAACTCCTGTCCTGGTGCCTCAGTATTAGCATGGCAACTCATCACAGGGGCAACACCTTGCTATGCTTGCCACATACTAATTTAAGCAACTTTACTTGACTTTTACATTATTTACTGACTAGCTAATAAGGATGGGTAGGGAAGGGGATCAGGAAATAAAAATTTCCATCTACAGAACACTTTAAAAACCCAATACTAATTTCACAATTAAGGCCTCCTTTTACATTTTAATAAGCTTTATTACTTCAGGTGTCACTTTGCCAGCTTTCCCATAATCTGACCTAAATTTCAAAAACAGGCCTGGCATTGTTTGCAATGCTGGATTCCTGGATCAGAGTGCGAGTCCGAGCCCTGGCTGCTGTATGTACAATCCAGCTGCCTGTCAATACCTCTGGGAAAGCAGCAGATGCTGCCCCCGGGCATTTCTACCCCTGCCAGCCACATGGGAGATCAGGGTGGAATTCTGGGCACCTCATTATCACCTGACCCAGACTTGGCTGCTGAGGACTCTGGGGAGTGAGTGAGTAGAAGATGTATCTTTCTTTCCTCCTCTTTCTCACTTTGCCTTTCAGGTGCAGATAGAGAAATAAGCCAACAAAAAAGTTGTGTCAATTAAGTTTCCAGCAGAGTCATGGTTCCTTTTCCTCCTGTCCTCAGGAGATCCCCTTCCCTTACTTCAGAGACTTCCCTAATGGATCTTTGTGAGCTCTAATTACTTTTCTCCTCTCATTTCTAAAGTTAGCTAACCAAGTATGTTCTCTTTAGTGAAACTCATTAACAAGAACAGTGGCCCCTTTTCCCACTTTGCAGTGTCTAAAATGGTGAGCTTACATCTTTGATCTGAACGGTAAACTCCTTCTCATCCATGCCTCGGCGGAGCTTGGTGAACTGAGCTGCTGCTGTGGTGACGGCAGACGTGTCCTCCTCTGCCATGGAGGCTGCACTGCTACTCCGGGGTGTGGGCACTGGAGAATCACCGTATTCTCCAGGGGTCAATGAGGGACTATCTAATAAGTGGTTGCCTGGCCCCAACATGCCTCCTGCTATCGCTTCCTGGTTCCTGCGGCTCGAAGGCCACTTCCCTGAGAGTACAGCCTGGCAGACGAGGTCAATACGGTTTATCAGGACACGATCCTGAGTGGTGAAAAAGAAAGAAATACCATTTAAATCAAAGTCTTGATACTCTTGATTCTCTGTTACACAACACTGAAGTTATCACCAAGATGGGTAAAATCACAAGACAGAAAAGAGAGAAGTAATACTATCAAAAACCTAAGCAATCCAACTGAATGCAAAGTTCTGCACTGAACATAAAAATAAACCAAAACCTTCTGTCGCTTATTCCCTGGATGTAATGTTTCACTTTATTTCTGCACACTGCATGTTCAGCTTTGAGGCTGTTATTACCTTGGGCCACTCAGAAGCTCTTTGTCTTTCCTGCAGCAGCAAAAGCTCAGGGGTCATTTGTTCTCCATCTTCATTTGGGAATCCATCTTGGGACATAGTAAGGGACAGGAGACTCTCTTCATCATAGAGCTTTGAGCGGGAATGGTCAGCAGCTAGAAGTCACATGGAGTGTATGAGCAAAGATAGGAGAGTAATGTTATATGGGAGTGGTATTACATGGGCTTTGAATAAAGGCCCAAAGAAGACCAGATCTCTTTTGACATGTAACCAAATCAAAACTCAAATCTCTCAAGAGGTTGCCTTTAGTAAAAAAAAAAAAAAAAAGGGAAAGAGCAGAGGGAGAACAGGAAAAAGGGACAACAGTCAGTAACTTTCACTCACTTAGCTTTTCTTCCTTCTCATCTTCACTCTCATCAGTGCTGGAGCTGGAGCTGGATGAGGAGGAGGAGGAAGAGGATGATGGTGACAGCTTGCTCAAGTCCAGCTCAGAGTCTGAATCATCCTCATCCTCCAGTTTGACTGGTGGAATACTCCGGGGAACCAGAGGGGTGGTATCAGAGGGGGCTACATGCACCTCATAGTCTTGTGGGGTTGGTCGGCTCCTGGCCACCACCTCATGCTCTAGCTTTAAAGTCAGACTCTCCAGACTGGGGACCTGGGCAGCTGTCTCCTCTGGTGACTTTTCAACAGGAGCATCTGGACGCAGGGACAACGGTGAGGCAGTGCGCGAGGTATACTGCTGGTGGAGCAGTGGAGTAGAGCAGCGTGACAGGGATGGAGCTGGTGCTCCTGCCTGATGGTTCTGCATGTAATTCATTCGGGCAGCAAGAAAAGAGAAGTCTGGGTCCTGCATGATGTTGCAGTCTGTTTGGCTCACCCCATGGCGGGCTGCCCCTCGTAGTAGCTCCCCATCATGCCGAACAGGCTCCCACCATTTGGGCAATTCAGGACCTGGAGGCTGACACAATGCCAGCCGATCTTCCAAAAGAGGGTGACATAAAACTTGTTCCCTTAAGCGTCGAAGCAACTCAATACGGTAAAGAGTCCGTGAGGCCCTCTCCTCAGTGATGGGCTCAATGAACAGGTTAGGGTCGGGGGGTTCTGCAAGAGAAAAGGATGGAAACCAAAATGAACGAAGAGCTGTTGTGTCACCACCCATCTCAACTCACCCTAACTCTCCAACCCAGCTTACCATCTCCAGCTGCTGGGGGCAGGCGGCATACTTGACGGCACATGGCCACAAAGCCATGGAAGTACTTGGTAAGGCTTTCATCTGTTTTTTTGTCTAGTCGGGCAAAAGTGCGGAAGCGATCCCAATGGAACTGCATGGTGTCAGGGTCATATTCCACACCAAAGGTAGATACTACTCGATAGAAATCAGTTTGTTCACGCCTTGTCCATCTACAAAGGGAAGAGGGGTATGGAAACAGTGATCAGGAGAACACAGGAAAACTGGTCACTTCTTAGTGTGGCTTTAGAGTGCCAAAAAGCACAATATTACAGCAGAGGAATGGAAAAACGAAACTCCAAAGGACCATTGAGAGGTCTTATATAGCATCTAAGAATTATCAAGCTAGAAATAACAAAACTGTTTACACAGTCCCACAGGTATAACAGTTCCAGACAGAAAAGATGACCCCTCTGAAGGTTAATCCAAATGTATCCTTCCTAAGATGGTTCTTAGTATAGAGCCTGCGTAGAAGACATATACCACAGCCCACATGCCTAGCTATGTTTTACCGTTGCTGCTTCTCACGCCGTGCTATTTCTTTCAGCTTGAAGGCTGCTTCACAACGCCGCCGTCGCCGATCCCCACGTTCAGCAGCCTCTATCTTCATCTGCTCTCTCTTGTAGCTGCGCTGGTAGGCTGTTACCAGGCGCCTGAGCCTAGCAGTGAGGGCAGAGCCTGGAGGCCAGAATAGATGGCCTGGCTGTTGGGTCACCTGGGCTGTGAGAAACAAAGTGGAATGAACAAGAAGTACAGCTATTATGCTGATATTTCAACCCACCCTAAGGCAAAGCTTTTTAAGAATCCCAGGATAAGAGAGAATTCAGTCAACAAGTTCCCAATCCCACCACCCCACACAAAATTGTACTAATTGACCTAGAAGTTTACCTTCATCTCCATCAATCACTGAGATCTCCTCATCCATCATCATCAAGGGATCACCCTAGAGAAGGAGATCCACCCCAGAGGATGGAGGGGGGAGTAAAAGGGGAGGAAGTTGGCACTCTGAAATCACTTACTTGTATGTGTCCTTCTATGGCACCAAGGATCAATAAAGACGTCTAACAAAATGAACCCTCACAAAAATTTGGAAATGACTAGCTAAAGGAATAAGCAAGTAGAACCAGACAGGTAGTTCTTATTAATGGATCAAAAATAATGGGACTGAGGAATTCAGTCAAAGAACAGCCTTCAATATCAAGCTTGGGTCCCTGATCTCTATCAAGCCATCCCTGATCTCCCCCCAGGCGACCATATGATCTTCTCCATAAACATTAGATATTCTCAGTTTTTCTTTTCCATTTTATATTCTAATATGCCTCAATATTCAAAGAATTGGAGAATCTTAACTATTTAGTAATGGAGAAAAGCTAAATACAAATGAGAATCCCTTACCTCATCATCTTGATCCTTCGGTGGACCCTGGAGGGGTTTATATTCAGGATCCTCACAATCCTTATCAAAGTCAACCCTAAAATTATTCAGAGGCATAAGCAAATATTAAAAATGTCTTCTATCACTAAGAGGGACATAGGATGAAGACCTGGCCAGTTAGGTACAGCATCTAACAACACAAGAAATTACAATAAACCAACAAAGTGACACTCACAATTGCCTGTATTTGAAATCCAACACTTTGATAAGAATGCACCCTTTACAGCCTTTTTATTGTTTAATCTATCCTTTGCCACTTTCAAAACTTTTACTCTTTATTATGTCATTTGAATGGTCCATGCTTTTTGTTCGTTCTACCACGATCCATTATGCAGTCAGGTGACATAATATATAATTTCCAGTGCATAAATGATCCAACTTTCTTTGAGGATTCTATGCTAAGCAAACTGAAATTGTGATCATCAATTTAAAAAAAACCTAAACTGTGTATGAATATGAAGGTATTTACCAAGTAGGCCAACCATTTCACATGCCCCTCAGGTTTTCATGTGAGAAGTTTTGTTTAACTCACTGGCACCCAAGCCAGGGCAACACTGCCCTACCTGGTGGCTCGGTATTAGCATGGCAACTCATCACTGGGGCATGTATCAAGGCTGAACAAATACCTTATACATCAGGTAGCACTGGAAGATGATAAATCAGGGCTGAAATTGCCTTGTATTATAATATATAGGCAACATACATTGAGCGGACTGCTGTATTTCAAGACAACAATCACCTATTTTCTCAGTTATGGCTATGCAGAAAAGTATGATAAAGAGAATCAGAACAGCAATGAATCAATGAGTCACTTGGGTGTTACACTGATTTTCATCCTTGGTTGCTTCTCAGGACATCCCGTACTTTATGTCCATTAACAAGTCCTAACTGCTAGTTCAAATCTTTATAAGGATTTACCATTCACTGAGTATAATCACCATTAAGAATCCGGGTCAGGGGTCAGGCACGGTAGCCTAATAGCTAAAGTCCTCACCTTACATGTGCTGGGATCCAATAGGGGCACCAATTCATGTTCCAGCATCCCCGCTTCCTATCTAGCTCCCTGCTTGTGGCCTAGGAAATTCAGTCAAGGACGGCCCAAAGGATGGGATCCTGCGCCAGTGTGGGAGACCCGGAAGAGGCTCTGGGCTCCTGGCTTCAGATTGGCTCAGCTCTGGCTGTTGTGGCCACTTGGGGAGTAAATCATCGGACGGAGGATCTTTCTCTGTCTTTCCTCCTCTCTGTATATCTTACTTTCCAATAAAAATAAAATAAATCTTAAAAGGAAATAATAAATCTTAAAAAAAAAAAAGAATCCGTGTCAGGGGAGCTATGTTGTCTCACAGGACAAACCTTTATAGGTTGAACACAAAGCTTTCAGAGAACCAAATCCAATGCTTACCCTTCTACTATGTCAGAAAAATTATCCAACACTCGATGTTCTGCTGCAATGGCTTTATCATCTGGCCGGCCAGCCTTTTCTAGAAAACATAAGGCTGGGTCTGCCCTCATAGTATTATATTTCTCATAGCCTATAAGAAACAAGAGCCAGAAGTTGAAGGAAATCAGAGATTCATTTTGCCTGTATGTTTATATGGAAGCTATGGAATAATTAGAATGTGTGTTATTAGGCTCATGATCCATAATACAGTTAAAATGTTGTATTATATTACCGTACTTAACATCTTACAACAATTTAGAATCATGAACACATTTAAACTAGTGATTGCTAATAGGAATTTAATCAAAGAGGAGCAAACATTTGGCACACTGGTTAAGAAGTTGCTTGGAATACCCCAGTTCCATGTCAGAGTGCACTGCACAAGTCTCAGTTGTGCTTTCAATTTCACCTTCCTGTTAATGAGTAACCCTGAGAGGCAGCAAGTGATGGATCTCTGCCACCCATGTGGAAGACCTGAATTGAATCCCAGGTTCCTGGCTTTGATTGGGTCTGGGCCCAGCCCTATCTATTGTGGATAATTCGAGAATTAAACTGGAGAAGGAAATCTCCTAAAGAAATTTAGTCAAAGAATTTCTACATTAGGGTGATAGATTCATAGAACCATTTAAATGGTAATCTTTCTATCATAATTCTTGCTACACAGAAGGAGAAATAAAGCCAAATAATTTAAGGAGAGGTCATATGTCCTCAATTGAAGAATAACAAACTTACCCTTCTACATAGTGACTCTGAATATTTGATGAACACACTCCAGTATAAGTGAATTCTTTTATATAATACCTGTGTCTTGCAAGTAAATCTAAGACAAATACTCACGATTTTTATCTCATTAAAGTCAACAAATGTGTAGGTCAACTATCACTAATTTTGTGTTATTTGACAGAAAACTATTTTTAGAAAAAGAAAAGTTTTCTAATTCATGAACTTAGTGGGCTGGAAATTAGCACAAAATGCTTTTAGTGCCTGTGATTTGTTATGGGATTAAACTGCATGAGTATATTCGCTTCTTGTATCCTATTTTTGCTTCAAATGAAACACTGCTGCTCATACCTACTGACTGCTGAACATTTACACAACTGGGACACATGGATAAATAGAACACTTTCAACATGCCACAAAAAGTCACACAAAATAAGTGTGGTCCTGTTAGTACATGAGTAGGCATTTATTACCTCCCCTGATTTGTGGAACCTTAACTTAGACATCACGACATACAATGGCCTACCATAATGTTAATCATGATTATGCAACAGATGGTAGGCTCCCTACCTTGAGATTTAACTATCCACTTGGTCATTCTTAAGCATTTATTTATAGCAACTAGTGATTTTGGTCTGGATATTTAGGAACTCAAGTATAAAGAGATTTCTAGTCAGAAATAAACCTATAGCACATCAATCATAGAACTCATTTACTGGTCATGAGCTTTTCACTAAATGTTTTACAAATGAACCTAAATCTTAAATGAGAAAGAAATTAAGCTACAAGAAGGCACCTACCATGTTTAAAGACTCCAATGAGGAGGGATTTGTCAGCTTCACTGTCCCACCATGTTGTTGGAACCTCCAGCTGATCCACTACTGGGAACCATATGTCAATCTCACTAGAGACACAAGAGGGCAGAGTCACCAAAGCAATGCTTGAAATTAAAGCGATAATCCTTAGAAAGATTAACACAGTTATTTCCCTTAATCTAGTAAATAAATACAATCACGTATCTGCCTTAATTCCTAACCAACAGTATCAAATACAGGATTAAAGACCGGATTTATAAATTTAAATTAACAGGTATCTCAAAGGACAACAGAGAATGAAATAAGCCACTAAATCTTTCTGGGAATAAGGCAGAACAGAGCAAAAAGTAAAAATTACAGCGAAACCATACCTGGCAATGGCACCCCCTAACACTTTCTCTGCCTGGTCTCCAATAACCTCTTGCCTCAGGTAGTACAACATTCGTACACGCAACAGTACCCTGGAAGGAAGCAAGGAAGGAAAGAAGAAGAGCTAACTCATTAACAGTGTAGAAAGTTTGGGCTGGAAAATCTCTTTGCTAAATTCTATTCTTACTTGTTACACTGATGCTTCAAGTGCTTTTTGTAACTCTCATCTTGGAACAAAGTGTCAGGGTTATACTTCCGTATCCAATCTGCTTTATGGATATCAAATGTGCTTTGTGATTTTACTTTTTTTCCTTTGCGTCCACGGGGCACAGGGATAGACAGACCTGGCAAAGGAGAGATGTCCAAGACTTGGATTGAGAAAAACCCTTGGAACTGCACAGGGACTAAATAACCGATAAGAGAGATGAGCAGGAAAGAGTTGATAATTACCTGAATGATTCTGCAATTCTTTTGTCTTGCCATTCTCAGCAGGGCTGATCAAGTCCCAAATGAAGCCCTTGATGTTTTCATCTCCACGGTAGTGTAGAAGACAGTAGACAAGGATGGCCCGGCAAATTGTCTCCACATCTCGTTCAGTCATACGTCGCTTAAAGCGTCCATGAGACAAAATATCTCGCCACCGTCCCCAACTCAACAACAGAAAACAAAACCATATTATTTTTTTTTCCTGGGAACACTAATTCAACAAGAATTACCCCTAGGAATAACAGCTTCCAAAATGAACGATGGAAAAGATCTTGAGCAGTACAGTCATAGAAAAGCAAGAGTCAACTCCCTTCACTGTAAAGATTTCTCAGATTCTCCCCTCTCCCTTTATATGTGGCCTCCAATTTGAAAGGTAAGCCATGGGTCAGTCAGGATTGAGATAGGGCACTTCTCATTGTAAGGTCTTACCCATACACCAGCAGGTGTTTTTCCACCCGAAAGCAATCAGTGCGCCCATAGGCATGATGACGGTCATGTCTTCGGGAGCGCGGTCGCTCATCGTCTTCACTTTCCAGATCAGAAAACTCTACCAGGTCATCATCTTTCAGTGTGCTGAAGTGACGGGTCTGTTTTCGTACTCTAGGTGTGTCAATCACTAAGTTGTTCTATGTAGAAGAAAGAAGAATTAGTTGTCTCTTGATATGCTCAAGAGAAGAGAAATAAGGACAATTAAGTTACGAAATAACCTTGGTCATAACATATGTAGAAAACCAAAGACATTTTCCAAGGACATTTAAAATAATCTTCAAGTACTCAGGAAGCCACTGCAACTGGTAGATATCAAAGTACATTTCTGGGGCCTCTTAGGTTAGAGTGTTTCTAGAACAGTCCCTCCATATATACCACCATAAACTGATATCAACAAAGAATCAGAAAAACTATGGAGACTCCTGAAAGTTGTGGGACTATTTGTATTTCTTCTCTAAAGGAACAGTAAACTCACCTTGCTATTCAGCAGATCCATGTCTAGGTCTGCCTTTTTGGCCCACTTCTGCCAAAAGTTGGGGTCATCTAGAGAAATGTCTGTCCTATTTTCAGAAGCAACAAAGCTTGCCTAGTAAGGAAAAAAAAAGGAAAGTTAAGTTTCTGCATTTGAAAGACAGAAAGGGAGAGGGAGAGCAAGGCTATGCATATCTGCTGGTTCACTCCCCATATACCCACAACAGCTAGCTCAATCCAGGAAGACTACATGGCTGACAGGGAACCAAGTACTCAAGCCATAGCCTGCTGTATCCCACGGCACACATGAGCAGGAAGACAGTAACCAGAACAGTTGGGACACAAACCAGGCAAGCTGATATGGGAGATAGTGGTGCCCTCACCAGTGCACCAAAATTTTGGCCTCTGTAGTTACATTTAAAAAAAAAACATTTAAATTCTATAGATTTGTGGTCCCATCCCTGCATTACCACCTTTTTGCACAAACAGGGCATACCTTAGCGAAGGTCGAACCTTTTCCTTCAGATTCAATGGTAATGGTTGTAGTTCGTCTTAACAAAATTTGGTCAATATCTTCTTCACAAAACTTGGAGCCCTCATCATCTTCTTCCATTATGGCTGCATATGCACCTTTTCTTAAGAGATCTTCAATTTCTTTCTTAGAAAATTGTTGGATCTGCAAAACACAACGGAAAGATGAAAAGGCTACTAGAACAGCATTATCCTTTTTTTTAAAAAAAAGAATACTATTTTGAAAGAGTTACAAATAGAGAGAATGATAAAGAGAAATTTGTTCCATCTGCTGGTTCAC